CTTTATGTCATGTTTGGTTCATTTCAAACACATTAAACGCTTTAAAAGAATAACTCTTATAGTGTATGTATTAGTTTAAGTAATAAACCCGAATTCTTACAATTGAAAACATGTGATTCTAAGTCTTGCTTGACTAGCAAAATAAGTCTTCAACTACTAACTATTGTGAATGATTAGACTTTTAACTTTTTTCATTGTTTGTGTTAGAGAGATATAGAAGATTTGAGAATATATGTATATAAAACAAAAGGAAAAAATGTTAATTTGCTTTAATCATATCATATCGTGTTAGTAATTCTATATCTTATCATCCACTTTTGACTTATTCAATTAACTTTTAAGTTTCATAGCAAAGATAGGAAGGAAAACGAGATAGCAAGTCATATTAAAATGGTTGGTTGTGATTCACACTTGCACAATAACTCATTAATTTCCCTCTTGTGCCAAATTTCTGTCTAATTTCGTCTGCCAGTCTGCCAACAAGGTCCACAATTTTAATATAATTACGCATTATTAGTATTTTTTGAATGTCAAAGAAGATCTAGGCAGTAAGTAGGCGATAACTCTCTGCCTAATGTCTAGAGGACTATAATAAATAGTGGAAATTTAGACGATTTTTAGCGCTTTAAGCAGTTTTGAAATAAAATAATATATTTTTATATTAATATAACATAATAAAATAATATAATAGAAATCATCAAATTTTTAAAAATAAATTTAAAGTGCGTATTTTAAAATATATCAAAATACAGAAGCAAGAAATATGAATATTTAAAACCCGATTTAAAAAAGAAAAGTTTAAAACGTTAGACACATGTGATGTGAATCTATCTACCTCGCCCAAATCCATCTAATAACCGATTAGTTTGCTTGATAACTTCAAAATCTTTTAAATTTAACTGATTGATTTTAGTAATATTTAAGTGATTTAGGGGTGTCTAACGTCTAGACAGCCGTCCAAACCGCTTTTTTAACACTAGTATTTTTGTAATTATTTATATATATGTATATACGATATATATATATATATATATATATCAGTAAAGACGTTATTGGAGAATATTATGATGACTCAACTTGAAATCAGCAAATATGGATGGTGTGTGTGATGTATAAGCAATTTGGTTTTGATAGCGTTTTTGAAGAATATAATGCTCAAAAAATGCTCAAACATGTTGATATCAACGAACTTCCTTGTTTGGATCTTGTGAATTGAAGGTTGTTTCTCTTCGGTTGTGGTCAGATCTCTCTCCGGTGTGGTCAGATTTCCTTGTCTTGGTTTTTTTAGTTTGTTTGCATTGTATTTCGGCCTGCGTTTGGTGTTTCTTCTTGTTTGTTGCGAGTGTGTTCTTGGGTCTTGCGATTACGGTTGTAGCGGCTTTGTATGTGGGTTGATAGTTTTAGCGAAACGTTTGGTTCCGGATCTGTAGGATCTACGGTACTGCTCTGAGAATTATGCCATGGTTTCACTGAATCCGTTCCTTCTGCTGTGTCGCGCTTGTGCTTATTGTCTCCAAGCCGTTTATGTTGAGTGGTGTTTGGGCTTTAATCAGGTTCAGTCCAGCCTTTGCTCTTCTCTCCGTTCCCGGTCTCCTCGTCTCAACATATGAATCACATTGGGTTCGTTTCCTTGCTAAGAAGAAGTTCAGTTTTGTTTGGTTGGATCGATAGACCTCATAGTTTTCAGTTCATTCTTCTCCCTGTTGTTGTTCGTTGTGGTTGTTAGCTGTCTCGATTTTCGAGTGGTTGGGCCTTTCTCCTTGTCCTTGCTTTCCTGATCTATTGTGATAGGATCGCCTTTTGAAGGTTTCTAGTTCGACGCTAGTGGACGCAGCAGTCGTCAGCAGTCGTATTCGGAAGTGTGCTCGAGGTTCCCTTAACTCTTTTGTCTCGCTTGCCGAGTTATGAAGTCTTGGTTCTTGGTTTCGAGAGATCAGCTCTCATCGTGATAGGAGGAGGTAGATGTTATCTTCGGGTTGGCCGCGGGCATCCTTGGTAAGTCTCAATCGCAGGTGCTTCAGAAGTTTTGGGTTTCTTGTTTTCTTGGGTCTATTGTTTATTTTAAGGTTTATGCCTTCTGCTTCTTTCTCAGTTTTTGGTTTCGACCTCTTGCGTTTGTGGTTTGAAATCTTTTGCTTTGTTTCTACTATTATGTTTAGTTTCCATTCGTTGGGGCTTAGCTTCCGGGGAAATCTCGTCTTCCGCCGGCTTTGTCTCCGGGGACTTTCATGTTGTCCGCCGGCTTTAGTTTCCCTCTTTTGGGCTTTGTATTCCACCTTGGTTCCACTTCAAGATCAATAATAAAATTCTAGATGACAAAAAAAAAAAAATGTTGATATCAACGAACTAAAATGGAATAATTTTAATATCTCATTATATGAAAGAGAAACACGGAAAAAAGTCTTAAATGAATTTTCAGTTTTATGACTGAAATTTGGAGGTCACTGATAATTTATACATAATATGACCGGAGGTCACTGATGATATAAAAGATTAATATTATAGGTCGTAATAAATTAAATAGATTTAATTACTTGAAAAGAGTTTTCAATAATGTAATTTGTTTTTTCGACGTAAAGGGTATAAATGTTTTATTTTCTTATAACAGATGACAATAATTAATAGCTTATATATAAAAATATACTCCATCTGTTTCAAAATAAAAGAGGTTTAAGGTAAATGCACACATATTAAAATAATTTATTTTTATTTAAAAACATCATTTATAATTTAGTAAAACAAATTCAACCAATCATAAAAAGACTGCAAAAATTAAATAGTCACAAGTTGTCAAATACATTTAAATTTACCTTGAAACTTGTAAAACATCTTGTAATATGAAACAAAATAAATTTCCTAAAACATCAAATATAATGAAACAAAGGGAGTACTTTTCTCTGTATTATTTAATTGATGTTTAAGATCTGTACACATGAATTAAAAATATACATAAATTTTTTATTTAATATACATCTTTTACATATAACACCATTAAGTAAAATGAATTCAACTAATTAGAAAATACATTTTAAATATCATTGGTCAAAAAAAATTAAATACATTTAATTTTTGCATAGAAAGTTGAAAAATCACTTTTAAATGACAAAAAATTTATCAAAAACATCACTTATAGTGATACGAAAAGAATATATACTACTCCATCTGTTTCAAAATATAAGATGTTTTCGATTTTTTATTTTGTTTCAAAATATATGATGTTTTGCAACTTTCTATGCAATTTTAATTTATTTGATATTGTATGACTGTTTGTATTCTACAGTCGAGTCTATTTTCTAATTGGTTAAATTTTTTAAATCAACTCTTAAATGATAGTGTGAAAGAGAAAATAAATTTTCTTAAAATATGTGTTTGTAACCCAAATCTATATATACTAAATCAACAGTCACTTTTACAATAACTGCTACTCTCTCCATTTGACACGTGTCATAAGTCTCAATTTCTTAACTTCTACTTCATTTTTTTAGATCAATATAATTTTCATTTATTATTAGACAAAAAAATAAGTATTACACAAAAAAAAAAAGATAGTATCCTACATCTTAGCAACTGCTCCTTCCCACATCAACAATGAAACAATATCTCCTCCGAAAATATTCGATGGTTTCGTTCATTGTTTCCTCTGACAGTTTTACTTCTTTCTGCAACTATGATATGCAATTTTGTTCTTCAAAATATATCCGCATTTGTTTCTATCAACCCCAAATTCTATATGATCGATCTCAATATATATATATATATAAACTTCTCTTTCTATTATATATATATATATTATCCAAATTTCGTGATTTCCATTCACAATAATCTTTGCTGATATACAAGGTTTTTAGAGTTTTTCTATCAAATACTATTTATAGCGATGTGGACATTAATTTTGGCATTTGTTTTTGCAGGAGAATAAAAGATCATTATGGAACAACAACAAGGTTAGTCATCTACTTCACACGCATTCAAATTCATATTCTTCTCTGTTAGACAATTTTATAAGCCTTTGTTTCTAATTCGTAATCTCATATACTGGTATACTTTTCTCAGACGTTGACAAAAAAAATTCAGAAATAAGATCAAACGTAATTTGCTCTTCTACTTTCTATCATATTTTTTCCTTGCTTGGCTTTCTCATGAGTAGGACTCAGTAACAAAATCTTCAACTTTGTCTCAGGTAGGCATCAGACATGACCCATCCAAAATCCATTGTGGAGAGATTGATGAATTAAATTATTACGATATGCATGATCTCACTTATAGCTCATTGATGCTATTTATGCCACTGACTTTCATTCATCTTAGGAGTGACAACGATGGATGATGAAGCATATGAGAAACAATACAAATTCAGTCATTATTTTTTGTTATTTAAGTTAAATTATGCTATCCATGATAGTCAAAATATTTGTGCAGGTCCTTGAATTAGAAATTTGATTTCCTTTTTATTTTTCAATTTTAAGTAAAATGCAAGATAATAAGACCCTGCATAGCAGGGGCCATAATGCTAGTATCCTATATTTTGAAAGAGAGGAAGTAGTAGTTAGTCAATTTATATATATATATATATATATATATATATATATATGTTTTATAACCTTAGTAGTGATTATTTGTTTAAGTGTTAATTAGTGCTTCTCCACTAGGCCCAACACCTCATTAGGCTATTTTTCTTAAGGCCCACTAGCTCAGCAAAATATGAAAAAAATCTCTTGAAAGCATTTTTGAGACCAAGTTACCAAACATCTTGAAGATAATAAAAAAAATATATTTTTATATACACATAATTTATTATTATTACTTCTTTTTTTGGTTTAATATTATTCCTTTTGTGTTAAGTGTTAACCCATAAATATTTGTATTCATCGTTATATGACTAATCATTTTACACGACGTAATTCATTGTAGAACTTTCTTTTACCTATAAAATTGTAGAATTTGAAATTGGATTACATTATAATACTTTTCTTTTACTCCATTTTAAAAATTTATTTTAGTTAAAAAAAAATAGATTATTGTAAGAAGGAGAAAAACTTGAAAGGACTACAACGACAAACTAACGCAGTCTGGTTCCGGTTTACAATTCAGATCCAAACCCAAACCCTGTAACCCGACCCGATTAATCCCATCGAATTCTCCGTCTCGAACGCCGTTACTATCCAACGAATTTCCCAACCCAAGATTCTGACTCCGTTTCCTCTTCTTAGACGGTAACTCCCGTTCAACAATACCGCCGTTAGCTTTCGCTACCGTTCGTGTCGCCACGTGTACTCTCCGTAATATCTTGAAAAACTCATCCACCTCTTCCTCCGTTACCGTCCGAACAACTTCCGTCGACGGTTTCTCTCTGTTTCCGTTATCTTCTTCCCGGCGTTCCTCTCTCTTCACCGAACTCATGTTAGCCACAAGAAACGTTAACGGCGTCGTTTAGCTTAGACAAGAAAATTTATATTTGCGGAATTATTTTGCTACCTTATAATTGAATGAAACTCTTATAGCCGTCGGTGTGGATTTTGGACGGTCGATATTGTCAACCACTAAATGAATGGACGGTGAAGATTGATGATGATGACCTCATCATGGGATGTTTTAAAGCGTAAGTGTCATGACGTCACTCTTTAATTGACTTTTGGAATAAAAGGAAGTCCATGTGGAAAAATTGGTATCGGCTATATTTTTATATAGAGAGATCTATATACTTTATTATTTAACAAAGACCAAGAACTTAGGCCAAAAAACAAATAAATTAGGAAGACTAAGACATTTTGAGACCAACATAAAAAGTAAGAAGACTAACGTGGGGAAGATTTTTCTTGCGATTTTTATTTCCTAGTTTATTTATTTATTTATATCCACTATCATTTTAAAATAATACGTGGATTTGTAATGATTTTTCGAATAATATAAGCATTAAGCACTAATTGATATTGGTGTTTTTAACTAAAAGAAAACATAGACCTCACATAAGTCTACATATGGGCCTAAAGGCCTTTTTAGTTAACCATACATTAGAATTGGGCCTTTATATGTTAACAACGTCGAATCAATTGTAGGGTCGATCGTAAGGCGGCTAAGCTGTTTCCAACTTCCGACAACAACTTCCGACAACAACTTCCACTTCTTGTGATCGATCCTTCGCTCTCTAGACTTCTGTTTTTTTTTCAACTCTTGTTTTGTCTGACGTGTCCACTTACTAATAATTTTTGAAAAGACTCTGCACATTTAAATTAGTATAGAAATTGCTTGATGGTTGTCTTCGATGGCTGAATTATTTATGAATGTATTAGTCCACATGGTGAAATGTCTACGTTTAAAACACCACGTGACACTGATAATCCGACACCTGTATCTCTGGATGCAATAATCCTTTTACTTTTCTTCCCACTGAAAAAATGAAATTGAGATTTTTATATAAGAAATATAACAAAATATTGCGAATTTGATCTAATAGTGTTTCTATACTACAAATTTCTTTTTTTTTTTTTTTTTTTCATCTGTGAATTTCATTAACCTTATAATAAGAGTTACCATACAATCCTTTAAAAGGATCAAGGGCAATCACCAACAAGGACAAATTTCTTATTTAAAAAGTTTATTTAATATATTGTTAATTTGTCTAATTTTTGTCACGACCGTTTTTTCTTGGGAGATTGACAAAAATAGCCCCAAAAAAGTTGTTTTTTCCAAAAATAGCACCTCATTTGAAAAGTTCCACAAATAGCACCATAAACTTCAATTTAACTTAATGAAAATATAAGATAGAAAATAGAAAAGAGAGCAAACACTAATCTAATATTAAATTGAATCAAAATTGTTTTTAAATAGTGGAAATATATACCCTAATTTGGAAATAGGGAACCCAAATATAATACCACAAAATAATATTAAAATAAAAATCTCTTTTAAATGGTGGAAATATATACCCTAAATTGGAAATAGGGAACCCAAATATATTACCATAAACTAATATTAAAATGAATCAAAAATTTTTTTTAAATGGTGGAAATATATACCCTAAATTGGAAATAGAGAACCCAAATATAATATTTTAAATTTATTTCTAATTTATTTTGTTGAATAGCTTTTATATAAAATTGTGGTATTATTGAAAAAAAAACTAGTGATAAAATTTTTAGATCAAAAACACTAATAATAAGTTAACTAGTGCTATTTTTGGAAGTTTATGGAGTGTGTGCTATTATTGTCAATAAAACTTGTTTTAGGGCTATTTTTAGGAATTTCTCTTTTTTCTTCACGAATAGTCTTTGACGTATACACTCTTCTAAATTTGTTGACATTTTGTTGTTTCTATACTTTAGAAAAATATATATGCAGTGTCTTTACTTTATTATTGCTTAAAATTTTTTTGTCTACTGTCGTCGAAAAATGTCATCAAATTAATTTGTTGCCTTCATTACATATAAAACGTTTTAAAACAAGAAATATCTACATTATTAGCAAGAGAAAAGAGCTATTATATGTCATCAATAGCGTTTTTATAAATGATGTTTTATGTCCCTGTTATGGTAGACCCCCCTACATAGGATAACGTTTTTTCTGTATGTTATGATAGAGTATTTTACCATAGCATTAGTTAATTAAACGCTTTGATATGGGTCATTGTATATGTATAGTGTTTAATTTGGTGGAGAAAATGCTTTTCTTACTTCTGTAAATGCAATCACATGCATTCACGCGTGCGTTCACTGTTTTCTTTTTTCTTCTCGCTTTTTTTTTTCCTACTAAATTGTTGCAGAAAAAAAGTTTAGTTTAAAGTAAATTAATTATCCAACTCTTTGAGAATGGCAATCTTGAAAATAAACAGGGGAGTAGGTCTGGACCAATGTGGCAATCGCTAGCGATAAGCTACAAAGGCTGTGTGGAATAAACAAAATTTGGAAATCACGAGTTCTTAACATTTTATGGAATTGAAAGAAAAATACACTTTCAATAAACAAAAAAATGCTTTAAATTTTTAATGGAATAAATCGTAATGAACCTTAACCTAACACAAAAATCATAAAATTTGAAGTTGATATATAAATTTCAATTTAGAGATCTTAACTTTTAGGATTAATCCGGAAGCGACCTGTTTTAATTTGTTTTAAACCTATTAAGACCGAAACCAAATAGAATCGAGCAAAACACGTTAGATCTTTTTTTGTATTCTTAAGGTTAACCACATATCCGTCTGTGGTGTAACTAGATCTCAAGTAATGGATGAGCTCAACTTCTAAAATACAAGCTTAAATGGATCAGTTCAAATCAGATTGAACTTAAAACAATTTGCAAGTTATTAGAGTGATCTAGTTCATGTTATATCACTAAATTTTGTAACCCCTGTAAAAGATGAGTAACCTAACTTAACCCCTGACTTAGTTGACCCAAAAAAGGACCATTGACTTAATGAAATGTTTGAGTGTTGAAGAAAAAAATCGAGTTATTCAAAAGAGTTTTGTGTTGTGAATTATTCTCATTGTATTTATTTATATCCACTAAAGATGGGAAGAAGACTTGTGAATTATGATGAAAAAGTCCCTCGGTTGGTAGCAACTAGCAAATGTGGGCATGTAACAATCCTCCACGTTCGAAATTGTTTTTCTTTAGCACAATAAAGACACTGAAAAGTAAACTACCTCTAATTTAATTAATTAACCTCTAATTTAATTAATTAAAAGTAAATTGTTAATTAGTGGAACTGAATTATACCCCTCGATCTTTTTGTAAGATATTTTTGTTGAATGCAAAAAATATAAAAATCTATAATTGATTTTAAAAATTCTTTTGAATTTTTTCTTAAGAGTCAATTTGGGAAATTGAGTTAAATAACACAGGTATACATCACATCAAATAATATGAATAATAAATAATTCACTAAAACATCTTATCGCAAAAAACAATGAGGGAGTAGTTAATAGTCACTCTCTTTGTTCTTTTTAGAATTAAAAAACGAATAGATATGTTATTTTTAATTCACAGAGCCAAATACCCACAGTGCAGTAGCAGTGACAAGTAATTGTCATGTATTATAATAAAAAATAATAATTTTTTGGATACAAAGTACATTATTCTTTTCTCAAACTAAATATACTAGATTATGTACCCGCGCGTTGCGCAAGATTTTGATTTTTTTTTATTAATGCGAATTTTTAAATTATTTGAATTTTAAAAGATTTTACTTTACTTATTTTCATTATCTTTCCGTAGTAATAAATATTTTACTTTACTTATTTTCAGGAAATCAATGAAATTCATCTCTAAATATTTCAGGATTCTGCCAATGAGGCCACAGACAACCAATTGTACGCGTATTTCATAGAGGCATCTGCTTTCCGGATTGAGCGTCGTCTGAAGAACTGGAACCCTTCCTCTAAGAAGGTGGAGAAGCTCATCAAGTTAGTGTCGGCTACAAAGAGGGCCGAGTGCCGTGTGATGCGTTGGGCAATGGGAGAAGAGTCAGTCTTCTCAAAAGGCCGGGACTATGATCAGCAGTCCGCCTCTAGGGCGTTTTCAAGAACCATAGGTCCGCTGCTCGTTTTTCTTGGATTCTGGGAACTCAAGAGGACTGCCTCTTACGCGTGGGACTCCTACAAGGAGGATTTGGCTGCTGCGGAGTTGAATGCGAAGCTTCTGATTATTAGCAAAGAGTCAGCTGCAAAGATGGAAGAGACTCAGTCAAAAGCCAAGGAGCTTACAGATGAAATCAAGACGACTCTTGAAGACTTGAACAAGAAGATTCTTCTCATCGCTACGAAGAATGAGAAGAATGAAAAGAAGACTCCCTAGTTTTTTTTTTGATTGTTTTTGGTTGCGTTTTGGACCTTTGGATATTATTTGGAACGATTTTTGCCCATTCCCATTATCTTTGACCATCAAAAAGGTCAAAAAGAAAAGAAAAAAAACAATACGTTGAAAGTTACCAAATGACGCCGTGTTTTAATCGCTACGTAGCGCGAGTTTTTAACTTTGTGAAATAAAATATTTCGGACAATTAGCTTAACTCAATAGGCCTGGAAGCCCATTAGTATAGAAGAATTGATCCGTCAATATTCAGATATTTTTTGTTATCTTTCACACCTTTCACTATAATTTTTCTTGTTATCTTCTATGATTCACTTGTCGTCTCCTGACATCTACTCTTTTTTCACCTTATATTGACTCACATATAATATATTCGACTACGAATTAGTTTTCAAGATATATCGTAAATATTTTTTCATTCATATCTTTCAATATTAATTTTTTTTTATAAGTTGCATGTTGTTTTTATTAAAGTGAATATTAAAAAATCTCGGGAGATATTTATCATAAAGTGTCTTTCACCATGTTTGGTGCATGTAAAATTGCTTTATAGACAACAAATCTTATATATAGACTAATTCCTATTCACAAACATCGTATTTCAACATCAAATTTCGTACTTTATCTTGACCGTTTGAAAAATACAAAAAAACAAATTCATACATATATAATTTGACGTATATTATGATTCTATATAGTATTCTTAATGTTCATTTTCGTAAAATTCGTAACTTACAAACTCATATAAATCATTCTAATTTTAAAATACATTTTTTTAATCCTTAATTTTTACTTCTAATTAAAAACTCTTCAATATACCATTACTATTCTAATTTCCAAATAGCATTCGCAAATATTATTATTACACAGTTTCTTATTAGATTGGATTATTTTATTTTTATTTGTGATGCTTAGGATAATTTTTGTTTTATTTCAAATCACCTTAACTTTTTTTGATCTATGTTAAAATTTCATAAACACTGATTAGTAAGTAGTTTTTCTTTTTTTAGGTATTCATTTGATTTTTAAAAAAACCCACCACTTTTTAATTTAGAAAACACTGAATATTGAAATTTTTTCAAATGTAACTATTTATATTATATTATAGTTATAAATAATAATATGTACTCAATCCTTCTTATTTTTAATCAATATCATGAATTGATACTTTAACATTAAAAATATTTTTTTAATTTTAAATGTGTATTTTTCAGAAATGAATCACTTTTTATTTTCAGTAAAAAACCTTTAAATTTAGTATTTTTTAAGTCTTATTTTTCTTTATTCTACTAAATAATTGTAACTCTTAAAAATGATTGTTTTATCATTTAAATATATGATAAGTTCTTTTTCCATATCTCTAGTCATTTAGGAATATTTACTAATTATATGTTAAGATACAATTATCTAATTTTATATTTATCCAATCTCTATTCAAAATTTTCATATTTGTGTTATAAATTTATTTTTTTCGTTTTTTTAATCTTTAATTTAGTCTTTTGTAAATTACTGCTTTTGTTTAATGAAATTTAATAATATAAATTATAAAATCTGTGAATTAATTATAGTTTTAATGTTTTTGTTTTAGGAAATAAAATATGTGGAGCCCACACAAAATTAAAATAGGATGACTTGGATGATGATGTGGACACCCTAAATGGAGAGACAACTCTCTCATTATATATATAGATTTACCATATGTCCATAATATAATTCCAAAAATAGTATGTTTGGTTACCATATTGTAAAAACAGTTACACCAATCCGAACCCATATGAAAAATGAAAAGAGTCATCGTCATATGTCGTCTTTGAATTAAAACTGTCCAGCAAAAAAAAAAAAAAAGGAAAAAAAACACATTTTTAACCCTCAAAGTGTTATTGAGAAACACTTTAAACCTCGAAAGAATTTCATTAACATTATAAATCACCAGGTATAATTTTACTAACATTTTAAACCTCCAAACTAGTTTATCTATTTGTCCCGCCAAAAAAAATTGTAACACCCCAGTTTCAGGAATATGGTGGGGCATGCGGAGAGGTTTAAAAGAATTGATTTGGTCACCTATATCACAAACATCCTGAGAGAACTCCACAGTTAAACGTGCTTGAGCTTGAGCAATTTCAGGATGAGTGACCTTCCGGGAAGTGATTGTCGGAACTGTGTGAGTGAGCACAAAACATAGGGAAATATCATGTGGTGATTTGTAGGGTCGGTAAACAAGTCTTTAAAGCATCCATGACGTAGCGAACCGACCGTCGGACACGGGTGGGCCCATGGGCCCGAGAGAGGATGTGTGCCCATTAAGAGAGGTGTGGCAGTCGGAGCGTTACAAAAATGATGGAATATTTAATTTCTATTTGTTTAATATACATTTATTTAATTCAATTTAAATTTAAATTAATTTTATTATTTATTATAGTTAATAAAAATCTAAAAAAGACAAAAAAAAAAAAAAAAACTTCACCTTCTTTGTTTACTCACCGTTCGACCATGAAATTTCAAAATTAAACCTCTAAAACTATAGACTTAAGCATACAAGAAGCAAATAGTATAATAATAGAAACCAACTAATGTAGAATATGAATTACAAGAAAAACTTAAATAGAATAATAAAAACCGAAGAGTGTCGAAGTTTAATCAGAAAACGAAGCACTCTTCGTATCAGAGGAATCTATTTTTTTTACTTTTCTTAATAATCGTAAAATCATAATAAATAATTAAATTAAATAAATCTATATTAAACCAAGATAAATTAATTGTTCCATCATATTTTATGGTAGTGCAAACATGAAAGCTAGTTTGGAGGTTTAAAGTGTTAGTAAAATTATTTTGATGGTTTATAGTATTAGTGGAATTCTTTCGAGGTTTAAAGTGTTATCTAGTGACACTTTGAATGTTAAAAATATGATTTTCCCAAAAAAAAATAAGAAGATAAAACCAAATACTAATAAAACAAAGAATTTAATTTCCCATCTACGTTTTTTTCTTACTTTTAATGCTTTTATTAAATTTTTATTGAGATCTGTGTTTGAACAATCGTTTTTTTTTTAGATTTTTAACATCTTTTTTAATTCCTCGGTCTCTTAAATTTTTCTCATTTACCATTTGATAAGTTACATAACTTTTTTTTTTTCCGACATAAATTAAAAGTTTTGTCTTTGGTATAGAGCAGCCAGAAAAATCTTGGCCATAGATTTGTCATCTGTTTTCGATTCGTTTTGATTCTTACTTTATCATCTTCTTCTTCTTCTTCTTCTTTTTGAATCTTTTATCTTCTCACTCTTCTTTTTCACTTTTGGGAAGCTCGAAGAGCTGAGGAGTGAGAGAGAGAAGGATCTTTGAAGTCGCCGGAATCGTTAAACCGGAGCTCCGACTATTCTCTCTCTTCTACTTTTCTTCTTCTTCGTCTTCGTCTTCTTCTTAATCGCTTTATGCTCTGTTTCTCTGGTTCATCAAGCTTCATCTACTGGCTCTCTCAGTTACTGATTTCTCACAATTTCATCGATTTCCATGCGTTTAAGGCCTAAAAGGTAACTGGGTTTGATAAAGTTTGTTCCTTTTTAAGATTTTCTTAGTTTCTCTGTTCGAATCTGAAGTGGGTTGGTGTGTTTTTGCTGGTTATTGAAACAGGATTTTTTCTAGGGTAAACAATTTTGGAGGACTTTTCTTGTTCTTGAGAGAGTTCATTTGTTGATTTGAAGCTTTTTCTGGGAATTTTGAGAGGTTCTTTAGGGTTTTAGGGGGTTTGGTTTGAATTTCGCACACCAAGTGTTCGATAAAATGGCTGAACGAAAGAAACGCTCTTCTGTTCAAACCAATAAACCCCACAAAAAACCCATGAAGAAGAAAACTTTTCAGCTAAATCACCTCCCAGGTTTATCCGAAGATTTGAAGACTATGAGAAAACTCCGTTTCGTTGTGAATGATCCTTACGCTACTGACTATTCATCAAGCGAAGAAGATGAAAGGGTTCAGAGAAGGAAACGTTATGTCTGTGAGATTGATCTTCCTTTCGCTCAAGCCGCTACTCAAGCCGAATCTGAAAGCTCATATTGTCAGGAGAGTAGTAATAATGGTGGAAGCAAATCCAAAATCTCAGCTTGTAGCAAAAAGGTTTTGAGCAGCAAAGTGTCGCCGGTCGTTGGACGTTCCTCTAGTGTCTCGAAGCCTGTTGGTGTTAGGCAGAGGAAATGGGGTAAATGGGCTGCTGAGATTAGACATCCAATCACTAAAACTAGAACTTGGTTGGGTACTTACGAGACGCTTGAACAAGCAGCTAATGCTTATGCTACTAAGAAGCTAGAGTTTGATGCTTTGGCTGCAGCCACTTCTGCTGCTTCCTCTGTTTTGTCAGATTCAAATGAGTCTGGTTCTATGATCTCAGCTTCAGGGTCTAATGTTGAAGCTGTGTCAAGCATTGATCTTGACAAGAAGCTAGTTGATTCGACCCTTGATCCGCAAGCTGGTGAATCGAAGAAAGCGAGTTTTGATTTTGACTTTGCAGATCTACAGATTCCTGAATTGGGTTGCTTCATTGATGAGTCATTAATCCCAAATGCGTGTGAGCTTGATTTTCTCTTAACAGAAGAGAACAACCAAATGTTGGATGATTACTGCGGCATAGATGATCTGGACATCATTGGTCTTGAATGTGACGGTCCAAGCGAACTTCCAGACTATGATTTCTCAGACGTGGAGATCGATCTTGGTCTCATTGGAACCACCATTGACAAGTATGCTTTCGTTGATCATATCGCAACAACTACTACCACTCCTCTTAATATCGTGTGCCCATAAGTTTTGCAGCTAGGTGTTATTATTAGCTATAGGAGCAACATAAAAAAAGCTCTTTCGGTTTTGTCTAAAGTTATTACAGTACAGCAGAGGCAGTTAATCTCAGGGGAAGCAATAACCCTAAAGATAGAAGCAGTTGCAGTTTTGTGTGTTGGTGTTACTAAAGAAAGTTTTGTTGACATAATGGTTTTGATGTTGTGGAGAAGATAGAGAGGTGAGATCGAAATTGTAAATCTCAGGTGGGTTTTTAAAGGCAATTGTCTCATTTAGGTTTTTATTCTAAATGAGGATTGTCTTTGAAAAGCCTTTAGATGGTTTTTTATTTCGTAAGCTCTCTCAATCTTTGTAAGTTTTGCCTGTTGAGTTATTGATATATATGTGAGACCTAGTTTATTTGTTTTGTGCTACAAACATAATGGTTTCTTCTTCTTCTCTTTTAAGTACCAATGTTTGATTTCGGTTTCATTCGGTTTGATTCCGAGTTGAAATCCGATATTATTTGGTTCAAAAAATAATGGACAGGTATGATGATGATCAAGGTATCGATGTTCAATCTAGATTTTAGTTGGCCGGTTATTCGGCTAGATTTTTTCGGTTTGGATCGTAAAGAGTTCTGTTTATTTGTACTGAACACCTCAAGATCGGGCCATGGATATATTCAAGCAAAGTAAACATTGTGAAATTTTATTGGGAATGCACTGGTTTTTCATCAAATTATCAGTGACATATCAACCTCAAAAAAGGAGGATTTCAAATGAAGTGGTCTAAGAGAAAGTGAAGCCTTGTGTTAGGGTTTAGGCTTATCCTCTTTTGAATTATATCAGTAAAGTTTTCTTAAAAAGTTCTACATGTTTTATGGTCCAAAAATAATGCAAGATAAAATTGTAAATCTCAGGTGGGTTTTTTTTAAGGCAATTGTTTCTCATTTAGGTGTTTATTCTAAATGAGGATTGTCTTTGAAAAGCCCTTTAGATATTTTCGATTTCGTAAGCTTTCTCTCAATCTTTGTAAGTTTTGCCTGTTGAGTTATTATTCATATATGTGTGAGACCTAGTTTATTTGTTTTGTGCTACAAACATAATGGTTTCTTCTTCTGCTCTTTTAAGTACCAATGTTTGATTTTGGTTTCATTCGGTTGGATTCCAAGTTGAAATCCGATATTGTTTGGCTCAAAAAATAAAGGACAGGGATGATGATCAAGGTATGGATGTTCAATGTAGATTTTAGTTGGCCGGTTATTCGGCTAGATTTTTCGGTTTGGATCATAAAGAGTTCTCTTTATTTGTATTGAACACCTCAAGATCGGGCCATGGACATATTCAAGCAAAGCAAATATTGTGAAAATTTATTAGGAATGCACTGGTTTTTGATCAAATTATCATTGACATTTCAACCTCAAAAAAGCAGGATTTCATTTTCAATTGAAGTTGTCTAAGAGAAAGTGAAACCTTGTGTTAGGGTTTAGGCTTATCCTCTTTTGAATTATATCAGTTAAGTTTTCTCAAAAAGTTCTACATGTTTTATGGTCCAAAAATATATGTGAACAAAAATAATGCAAGATAGAGAGGTTAATGGGTTTGGTTGATGATAAGTTGATAACAATAGCACCAATTATTGCCGCTCTAATTGCGTTGGTTCTTAAACCATTTCATTTATAATATTTTATATTTGATCTAATTATTAAAGCAACCTTTGCGTGTATTACAAGTCTTTGCCAAAATTTTCAACTAGTTCCATCTTTAATATAATTAGTATATAGTTTGAACTTTTTTAAAAATATAAAGAGTATAATTTGAAATAAAAATTAGGTTTATTTACATCAAGCAATCAATTACATAGTTATAAGATTAATTGTTAGAAAGTCGAGCGAATAAAAGACACTTCTACTAAGGCAATTGTGCGTTGGTCCCTTAGCTCCTAGTTCAGACTTTTTTCTTTAGATTCTCGTGGTTCCTTGTCATTTCACTCATTGGAGGACTCTAGGTTTGTTTTCTAAGTTTTAGCTTATCGTTGTATCATCGGTTGTTTGTTAGTTTCCCTCTTTTGGGCTCTTGTCTTCGGGGATATTTCCATTTTCCGCCGACTTATCTTACCGGGGATATTATCTATTTCCGCCGGTCGTTGTATCCTTCGAAGTTTTATCAATATCATTCAGACGAAAAAAAAAAAAAAAAAAAAAGACACTTCTACTTTTCTTTGGAGATTTGAGATTTGACATGCTCGAAGTCGATGTATAATTTGGTTTTATTAAGTGGCTATTTTCAATTGTCATTATCATTCGATGGAAAATTTTGTCAAAACGTGGAAGTTAGTGATTTCGAATGATTTGAAATAAAAATTAGGTTTATTTACATCAAGCAATCAATTACATAGTCATTCTAGATTAGATCATTTGGTAGTATATTACATCTTATCAATATTGAGAGATGGTCAATATATCAATATAATCCCTATAATCAAATTGCACCTAAAAAAAAAAATGATCCTGAGATACTGAAAGCCCAAAGCACGTAACACGGAAAGCCCAAATTACAAAACATTTTTTTGTTGGGCTAGTGAGACCTTCACGCTAACATAACATTGTTTAGGACTGTCAATGTTGTAAACAATAAATTTTTTTCTACAGCAAGTTTACTAATCAGATTCTACACTATTTTTTTTATAGCCAAAGTCATCATTGTCAAGGCCAACAAATGTTACAAATCTACGGCCTAATTGTAAAACTCAAAGCCATAGTTTTAATCAATTGGAGTCATATCATCTATTACAAGACTGTTGTTATTGAGTAGTTAAAACATGGTGGATATAGATTAGTGAGAAAATATTTGATTGCTTGACATATGAAGGTGAAAATTATCAAAATGATACTATATATATATATATAGGTTTTAAAATATATCCAAACTCATTTTTATTATAGTTAGATTCTTTTTAAAAAGTATGGACCATAAGTATGATCAGATCTAGTTAATAACAAATTTATATGAAAAGAAAAAGATTATATTGTAAGAAAATAATTATTCATTCTGTAATTGCTGGTTAAAAATGTGGAGAAATATGAGTTTTTAGTTTGTGAATTCAGTAACATTATAAGCTAATTAATATTTTATATTAGTTAATTTCAGATTAATTCAGGGATTGCTTCTGTTTTAACCTCAACAACCACAACGAACGAGAACGACCAAGCCCTTTTTCGCCATTTAGGAAACGATGATGTTAACTTGTAGTAAATATTTTACGAATGGTTGAACAAACCTAAGCTACTTGGATTCAGTGTGTCAATTTTTTACTGCAAAATTCAAAAATGTCTCATGGTTCGTCAAATATGTAAATGATATAAAAAGATTAAAGAGAAAAATATGGTTGATATCAAAATGTTGCAATAACGGTGAAGCCATGCCACATATGCTTTGCTTCAAAGTCAAGGCACAAGAAATGTGCATCGTTGACCCACCAAACAATACCATGCCGGAGACTTGTAGTTTTTCAACATTCAAAGATCCTATAGAGAAATGAAATTTAGGCTCCCAATATTTAAATTAAAAGAAGACAAAGATCCCAAATAAAATTAATTGAGAAAAATATAAACGACTCACAATTCTTGTAAAAACAATATTGTAAGCGTACAAAAAAGGAGAATGTGAAAGAGTACACTATTTCGATAATTAGTATATTATAAACTGTATAAACAAAATAATATGTTTCTCTTACAAATACTTTAAGAATGAACTTTGATACTTTGGCAATGACTTTAAGATATACCTTTCACATGACTGATCGTAGCTTTGAAAACAACTAAGAACAACTTTTTTGCACATGTAAATGTTATCTGTTTCTATTAAATTCTATAATAAATATTTATAAATGTTTTCTTCATGCCTGCATTTACGGCTACATCTTTGCCACACCTGTTAACAATTCTTGGTCGATAAAAAATAATATTTAGATCCTTTTCATATTTTGTAACCAACGTATAAACATATGTAATCGAACATAAGAAAATCCCATATCAAATTACTAATCTATGTTAAACTCGTTTATCGAGTTGATCTTTAGCTAATAGACAAAACAGAATAGGAATTTACGTTCGTGAACTACAAGTAAACGTATTAATGTGACAAATAGAAACTCTGAAAAAGCAACAAATAATAAAAGTGTGAGCATAGATAATTTGATATTTTGATTTAGTACTTAAATTTAGTAGGTAAAATTGATCAAAATTAAGTTGATGTACGCATGTATAATGTGTTTAATTTGTATGAACATAATTAAGAAAATTCCATTTCATATGTTTGACGGTGGAAAAATATATGAAAACGAGAAATAATTATTTATTTTTCGTCGGCAAAGTTGAAATTAGGAAAATATTATTATTTTTACAGATTAGAGAAACGCGTCAACACAAAAGATTATATTCCGAAGAAAAATAAATAATTTAATTTATTATCTGTAGTGGGCCTAAGCCAAGCCCATTATCCAAACATATAAGTGTAGAGGGAAACATGAAGCATCCGTTGTGGTTTTGATAGGGAAGAAAAAAAAACACAAAAGCGGCGTTGATTTTTTCGATTTTCCGACAAGATAAAAAATTCAAAATTTCTCGTGAGAAGATTTGGTCTGAATCTATCTTTCGAGAGGTTTTGAGTTAATTTCAAAATGGGTTTGGAGAAAAAATCTGCATTGTTGGAAGATTTGATAAAGAAATGCGGCGGTTGTGCGGTGGTCGACGGTGGTTTCGCTACCCAGCTTGAGATTCACGGCGCCGCCATTAATGATCCTTTGTGGAGTGCTGTTTCTCTCATCAAAAATCCTGAACTCATCAAAAGGGTTTGTGAAATTTTTGATTTTTTCTTCATTTCTGATTTTTGATTGTATCCCTAAATTTGAAAATTACCATCTTTAGGGTTTGTTATGAATATCTTAAGCTAAGAATTTGGAGATTGATAGATTGGTGATATCACAGATCTCTGGGTTTTTATTTTTGTATAATAATGGATAGAGTTTAATGAAATTTATTTGTTTAGGTTCACATGGAATATTTGGAAGCTGGTGCAGACATTGTGGTTACTTCATCTTATCAGGTAAATTTTGAAGCAACCCAAATTTTTTATTATATTTGTTCATTCTCTTTCGTGTTTAACAATCTATCTGAGTTCAAGGTTTTGTAATTTCTGGTGATTAAAAGATTAAGACAACAGAAAGTTAAAGATTTGTAGGGTCAGAACTTAGAAAGATACTTTACTTTAAGATTGAAGAAGTCTTTTTTTGGTTATTGTAAAGATTACAAAGTTAGGATTTTTAATTAGTATCAGTCTGATTTCTGTTTGTTTTTTTCAGGCTACTATCCCGGGTTTCCTTTCGAGAGGTTTATCGATAGAAGAGAGCGAGTCTTTGCTACAAAAGAGTGTACAATTAGCTGTTGAAGCTCGTGATAGATTCTGGGACAAAGTGAGCAAGGTTTCAGGACATAGCTATAACAGAGCTCTTGTAGCTGCATCTATTGGAAGTTATGGAGCTTATCTTGCTGATGGCTCTGAGTACAGGTGCCCTTTTAAGAATAAATTAAGTCACATTAAGTTATTTTGGTTTTGAGAAGTTATAGATGTTTTGAATAGATTCAATATTCTGTTAATGGGGGTCTTATAGTTGTTATCGATGTTCTTCTTGCAGTGGTAACTATGGTGAGAATGTAAGTTTGGATAAACTAAAAGACTTTCATAGGAGAAGACTTCAAGTCTTAGTGGAAGCTGGTCCTGATCTTCTTGCTTTTGAAACCATACCGAATAGACTCGAGGCTCAGGTTTGCTTTTTTGTCCACTGAAAAGACTGCTGCTTACAAATATCTTGTTTTCAGTCTCTTTTAATATTGCAAGTCTTCAAATTCTCAGGCGTGCGTTGAGCTATTGGAGGAAGAGAAAGTACAAATCCCAGCATGGATCTGTTTCACATCTGTAGATGGTGAGAAAGCTCCATCAGGAGAGAGCTTTGAGGAATGCCTCGAACCTCTTAACAAAAGCAACAATATTTACGCGGTTGGTATAAACTGCGCGCCTCCTCAATTCATCGAAAATCTGATTCGCAAATTCGCCAAGGCAAGTAGTAGTTTAAACTTCTCTTGGATTGTATCACAAAGTAACATCGAAAGTCTTACTTTCTATGTCACTTTCTTTGTTTTCAGCTGACCAAGAAAGCAATCGTTGTGTACCCGAATAGCGGAGAGGTTTGGGATGGAAAAGCGAAACAATGGCTGGTATGTTGTTTTCTCACTTATTCGTATCTAATCTCAAAAATAAAATGAATCCGTAGAAGAAAAATGATCGCACCAGTCTCATAAGTCAATCATAGTCGCTATGAAAATGCATCAGTGACGATTTGCAGTCAAACCTGGACCGAGCAATTCAATATGCTGAATCTAGAATGAATCAATAGAAAAGTTACACTATTGTTGAATATGCTCTATAAATCTGATTTTACTGCATTAAGGTTGAAGAAATGAATCTCTTCTGATTTTTGGGTGATATTTGGCAGCCATCACAATGCTTTGGTGATGATGAATTTGAGATGTTTGCAACGAAATGGCGTGACCTTGGAGCTAAACTCATAGGAGGATGTTGCAGGACTACACCTTCTACCATTAAAGCTATCTCCAAAGATTTGAAAAGAAGATGATTTTTCTTCTGGGAGAAGAAGATTGAAGATTCTTTCAACTTGTTAACTAGCTTGACCATTGTTAGGGCTACATTTATCTGTGTTCTGTTGTTTTCTTCTTGTTCACGTTTCCTTTGTTGTCTATGATATGTATCCGTCAACTAGGCCTTGGGCTTTTTCAATGTAATGGCCCATTATCAAAATCACCCGATTTGAATCTTTAATACCCAGCAGAATAATTTCATTAACAATTTCAAAAAAGTGATTAGAGTCCCACTTATGTTGTAAATTTTTTGGTTCCACATAATTATATTTAGAGTAACTGTTTTTTTTTTGAATGAATGTTAAATTTATTCAACAAAAAAAAAACCATGTTACGATATATGCATCCATAAATCGAATGTTTTTGAGTATTTAAATCAACTTTAGAACAAAAGAAGAGAAAGCACCCATGGACTAGCTTCTTAAGTTGAATCAAATCCGCAGACCATCTTCAAGCTTTCGTGAGCCAAAAGATTGGATGGAGGAGATCTTAGAGTCACTGTTTGAAGAAAAAAAACAGAAACATAATTCCTTAAATATGTAGATATAGTTTCTTTGATGTGGTTCATCATATTTCTTGTTATCGATAAGGGTTTTTGGCTTATAAACTATAAACATTGTATCTATTCTTTTATTTAATCATTACCAAAAAGAAAGAAAAAAGATCTTCTGATCAAAAAATTAAAAAAATCTTCTGATCCACCAAAATTCAAGACTTTAATAAAATAAATTATGTGGGTACCAAACGATTCATGTTTGTTTTACATCAAGATTTAAAAGCAAAAAAACAAAGAAACAAACAAATTATTAACCGTACATCATGTGAAACAAAAGATCTTAACGTTTTAGGTAAGACAAATACAATACTTACATAAAATGTCGAGATATCGACCGACTTTATACCCTTTATTAGTAGTTCAAGGAAATAATATAGTAGTCGTACATTAGCCAATGTGTTAATAAACAAGTAATTAAACCATAGATTTTGTCTCGTATATGTATAGGGTTACACGTTACAGTTTCATCTAATTATTATTTATAAGGCCAATTAATTTAAACGGATATATATAAAAAATTAATGTAAAAAACTTAGATGATCATACAAAATATTGTGGCTGACACCGTATAAATGAATACCAAAAAACATAAGTCAATAGCTATTATCTTTGTTGTCAAAACGTAATTTTGCACATTTGGACAATACATTGTTTTGCAAATCTGTTTATTAATTATTTTTTCTATGATCATTCATAGCACATTGTTTTGCAAATCTCGAAACACCAAAATTATTAGGAACCGAGAAAATAATATTTACTAATTTAGAGAGTCAAAGAGATTCTAAAATCCAAACAGAAAGGAACAAAGAGAAGACACGAAAACCCCTTCGCCGCATATTACGTGGCGCTTCACACACACATTGGTTACTACTCTGTCTCTCATAAAACACCCAAATTCGAGACCTCTTTTTCCTAAACTTTTATTCTACAAACTTTTTTATATTTATCTTCAAATTTTTTTATATATAAATGCTTGACTTCGTAATTGACTACTAGAATACAATCAAGTGGCAATAAAATGGAAGAATTTCGAAAACTGCTAGTCTTACATAACAAAATGAATCCATAGAACTTGTTTTGACCCATGTTTTGACCCTAACAATTTTTTTTTTTTACCAAAAAAAAAAAAAAAAAAAAACTTATTACTAGAAAATTATGTATTTTTAATTTCTAAAACCATTATAAACACTTTCACTAGAAAATTGTACATTAAAAAAGACCATAAGAATACTATTTTTTTTGGAATGCATCATATATCAGTTCTCAGAAGAGTTCTAAAACGTAAAAAAAAAACGTTCATTATTTTGTTATTGTTTCTACATTTTTTTATTACTCTTGGATTTCAACAATTTAAACAAATTTACTTTTTCTATTTCAAATTAAATGGCGTTTTGTATCCTAAATTTTGATTTAAAATAATTATCGTTCTATATTTTCTAATGTAGATTCTGATAAAAGTTAGGATTTTATTCTTAATGATTTAATGTGACTAAATAACTTTTTTTGTAAGTACAATATAGTAATAGAGGATAAGACAAAAAAATTATTTGGTATTCTTAATATATATGTCAAAACCTTAAACAACACTTATTTACAAATAGAAAAAAAATATTATTTGTATATAAATAATATTCTTTCGACTTTGTTCTTCAAACCTTAATTTCATCTAAATGAAAAGTTGATGATACAAAAATTTAAAAGAATATTTTTATTTTAAATAAAATTTCGTACTAAATTTTAGTAGGTCACGTTGATTTCAGTTTTACTTATTCCCATGCATGAAGCTTTTAATTTGGTCATTGCAATCGATTACAAGTTGTCTCCGTTTGATTTTATTAAGAATTGGTACAATGGAGTTATTATATTTTTAGTATAAAAGAATAATTCCAAACGCTACCGTCCATAACATTTCTTTTATTTAATCATTTCGTGTTTTAAAAAAAATCTCAGAGGTCTCGTGTCACTAACTTTTCACTAGTCCGCAAATCCCAATGGTAATTAAACCTTCTTTAATTTTTGCCATAATATACCTAAGCTAATCAAACCCTTTCACACAAAAAAAAATCCTAAGTTAATCATCAATTTATCGAACTTATCTGTGAACTGTGATCGCTAGAGAAATGTATGCAATGAAATTGATTTTGATCTTTACCAATAGAAGATTCAATGCCATGATGATTAATTTAACACGTAAAGCTTTGTATATCCCTTTATCCGGTTTACAAAGTATCATATATATACAAATTTGCTCATGTTTATTATACCAAATCATATATTTAAAAAAAAAAAATCATATATTTTAACAAAACAGAAAAAAACTCTAAAACCTAAAACATTTGTATTCGTTTAGAAAGTTTATAAACCGGTCTTATTAATTAGACAAATTTGACTCTAGAGCCTTTAGGTTGTGGAAAAAGGAAAAGCTTTTGGATTTGTCAGTAGCAAAAGCAAAGAGACTTTTATGACTCATATACATACTTACGGTCAACACTCAACACCACTATTCCGGCTAGAAAGTCAATTAATCCGACGGTGGTTAAAAACTCCCACCATGCACAATTTTTCATTTTGCTCTTCAAATTTTATTGCCGTGATTTTAGTTTTGATTGTTGTTACAAATAATTGCATCAGTAACCTATTTTTTTGAAGTTAAATTCCCTGGGCCATGCAATAGAATATTTAACTTGAGTATATGATCTATGAATATTAAATATATATAATCTCCCGGTTTGGTGAAAATAAAAGAATGTACAAAAACATATTAAATCACACAAACATTCTAATTGACCAAAAGTAAAACCATGTCTCTATATATCCATGTATATATATCTATGAACGTCAATCTATAAGTGTATATATAATTTGGAACATAGTTTCAATCAATAATATTTATATATTAATTTGATTCGCTGCTAATGAATGTGTTATCATCAGAAATGACGAGTTACCAAGAAGAAATGATCAGGATTTTTATTTTAAAATCAGGACTCTGTCGTCTAATAAACAACAATTATTAGGGTTGATACTCGTCCTTTTCTCAATTATATGCAGAATCAAAATGCAGAAAAGCAATTATAAAATTATATAAACTATAACATTTCCAAGGAAATATAATTATATATGAAATGGTTATAGAGCAGTGATTAAAATATCCAAAATACCCTCGTTTTTCCCTTATATTAACGAGAAAAACGTAGGTATTTTGGGTAAAATACACTAACTAGTTGATTGATCATTAACATAAACAAGAAGAAAAATATAAATAAAAATGAAAAAAAAAACAACAAGAAACTGCTTCTACTAGTTATGCAGAGGATCTGGACAACTTGGTACTATTCTTTTACTTTCACTGCTCCCTTTTCCGACAAAAGAATCCACCGGTGGAAATTTCCCGGCGCCGAAGTACTTCTTCATTAGATCTTCTTGTCTCTTAGCCGGAGCCGGAGTTACTGGAAATACCCGAATTGCCCCTACCCGTGAATATACACAAAAGAGATGGAGTAGAGAAGAAAGCAAGATCACCATTAGAAGAGTAGTAGTCAAAGAGCTTCTCCATTCTCGAGCATGAGTCATATCCCAAACCTAAACCCTAACCATAAAGTCTTCTTGATTAAACCCTAATCATCGATATTCGATTCTGTAGTCTTCTCTTCTCTGGGTTAGATCTACCTTCTATGACTATTTCTGAAGTTGAGAGAGAGAGGTAAAGAGAGAGAGAGAGATTGAAGTTTTGTTTTGTGAGAAGAAGAGTGGCTTTCATGCAAATTTTGAATGGCCCACGTGAATGGTTATATATAAATACAAGACAAGATCTGAGAATTGATTAATTTAGATTTTTTTTTCGTTTTTATTACTAGTACATTATTTCACATATCTAATTATGATAAATAGTGGTATAGTACTATTATTGGTCCATAGTTTTGGTGTTCAATTGTGTACATACAGTATTATTTAAGCTGTACTACCATTATTAAAATAGTTCTGTCTCTTATTATGAAATTTTCAAGAATTACATATATTGATTTATAATTTATATATAGATTTTTTAGATCTACGGAAAACATAACTTTTAAGAAATCAATAAATGTATCACCCACCAACGTACTTACCCATATTTGGTATGAATTTCAAATTGTTGTCGTTTTTGAGTTCCTTTATACATAGATGTAGAATAGGTTTACTTTAGAACATTGATGTAATAATTAAGTGCATAACTTATATATACACGAAACTGTGAATTTAATGGGTTTCAATGTGCATCACTGGATCTTATGTTAAAAGAAAAAACGTCACCATTCCTTCTTTGAAAAAAATAAAATGGTGTCATCATTCTTTACATTACTATATATTATAATGTAAGCGTCTTGTATATATCTTGAGAAAATGTGAAGATAGTAGTGTGACGTAAGCAAATAGTGATTACGTTTGGTTTTGTCACAATACAACACAAAAATGGTTCGTTTGGATGTTTGAGATGAGTTTGGAAAAAGGGTGTCGTTTCATTAACTGCACTTTGCCGTTTTGTGTTTGTTTGTTCTCTTTAATTTCGTCTCTTCTTCTTGCTTTCTTTCGCAACTTCCTCTTCGTGTCAGAATTATGCAAGATCCCATCATCATTATTATTATGTCACTCCAAAATCCCTTTTTTTTTTGTAATCCTTCAGATATAAGGAATTATATAATTATGGATATCATAAGAAATCTGTGTATATTTATCTCTTTTATAGGGATGTGTCGTATGTGAATAAATTTCTTGGGTTTAATTAATTAATAAATAATAAATTAAGTGGTACAAAATCTTAAAAAGTCCCACATCGGAAAACGTGAAGCAAAAGAAGTTATTTATATATGGAGAGAGAGGTAACAATGTTCGCTGAGCTCAGTAGCGAGAGCTTGTGACTCAAGTGAGGGCAAATAAGTAATTGGGACGTTGGTTCGGTCCAAGTGGTCGGGTTCAGGCTGGGTTTTCACTGACTCGCCCGATCCAAGCCAGGAGTTGTGCTACGTGGCTCGAGCGAAGGCTCGGGTCTCGTGGCTCCTAGAGTGGAGGGCATTGCGTGAGGCTGGTTTCACAGAGCAGCGAATACCTCCCGCTTCTGGCAGTGGATGGATAACGGGTCGGATCCGCTTGGGCCCATATGATCCCATGGGCTGATCTCAATTGGACCAATTACTTTTTAACATTCCTTTTAAATTATTTGATACAAACAATTAGTCTGCTTGGGGCCCAATTAACTATTTGACCTTTGAATCATTCTTAAAATTATAATTTTACTTTGAAAATTATAAAAAATAGTCTAATTATTTCATTGTGTCACTCAACTGGACTAATTATAAATTTCTTTTAAATTCGTTTTAAGGTCATTATATATTATTCACCCAGTAATAACAGTTTCAATTTTTTTTCTATGGAATTATGTGAAAATTAGATTTACAAATTTGTTCTTAGCCCAATAATGAAAGTAGCTCTACAAAGGCCCACGTCCACATATAATAGAGTAACTGCCAAATTGCAACATCTTTTTTACATGCATCTATTATCTATAGTTCTTAATTCTTCTTTTTTTTTTTCCTTTTCTTAATTCTTGTACTAGGCCTGAGACTTATTATCCGGGATCCGGGATCCGATCCGGGATCCGCTCCGATCCGCTCCGAAAAACAGGATATCCGGTGTGGGCGGATCCGGATCCGGATAATGAATTTACGGATCCGGCCGGATCCGGATCCGGATCCGGATAATAAGAATATTGAGAACCGGATATCCGGATCCGGTTATATGTTTATATAATACTTAAGTTTTGTCATCAAACCCATTAAAGCAAGCCCAATATATTTATATGATAAGCCCAATAATGAATCATAAAACCAAAAAGCCCAATAAAACTTTAGTCTCTCTCTAACTCACGAGAAAAACCTTTCCATACCTCTCCAATCCTTCATCCCAAATCAACGCTTGTTCATTTTTCATCTCCGATTAATCCCAAAAGACCTTGTTGGTGTTTGATTCGTCTCTACGACGGAGGAGGAAGTGCATGTGTCATTCGTTGTGTGATTCCGGTGACGAATCGACGGAATTGGTGTGATATCGGGAAGATTTCCATGAAGATGGATTTATTTCTAACAGATCTATGAAGGAAACGTGATGGATCTATGGTGTGGTTAATAGATTTGGTGGTTGAGCTCGTGAAGATCCAGAGATCGTGTGGCTTTAGTTTCCCAAGAGCTTCTTTTGTCGACGAAGATGACGACTCTTTACACGGACGGCGGCGGAGCTGGCTGACTGCGGCAGAGCTTAGACGACATGCCGTGACGGTGGCTGAATTTTAGATGTAATTGGGATCGGATCCGGATATCCGCGGATATCCGGTTTTTCTTACGGATACCCGGATCCCGGATATCCGGGAGTTTCGGATCCGGATCCGGATAGTAAAAGTGTGGATCCGGCGGATCCGGATCCGGATCCGGATACACTTGATTTTGCCGGATATCCGGATCCGTCTCAGGGACTTGTACATATGATTAAACCGATTGAACTCTTTTTACGCATAACCCGTCTGTTAAACATAATATTGTAGGTTTGTTTTATGAGCCCATGTTTAGGAGACAGATTTGGTATAGTAGATATTGAGAAATGGTAATTTGAAATTCTTGGATATATCTTGAAACTTGTTATGCTTATTTCATAGTTCTAATATCAATCATTCACTACTCGAGCTTTTTTCCTTTCTTCAAGAGAGGGAAAAACTATTCAGGGTCCAATATTCAACACTAAGTATTGCATTTATAACTCTGATGTTGCTACTGGTTATGGAGTTGGATCTTTCATATTAACATCTATTTTGGTTTCAGATTTACCACAAAATCATACTTTTTATATCTTTAATACAACACTGGTTGAATAATCAGTTCAAGCCAAGGGAAGCTTACGAGATTCTTTCAAATTCAAGCGTAACTTGTAGTAATTAGTTTCGAAAGTACGACCATTGCCTGCAAAATTACGCATTGATTTGCAACAAGTTTAGTAACTAACAAATCACAGATACATCCGGACCTAGAGAGACAAACCTATAATCTTGAAGTTAATAAACAAGAGGAAAAGGTAGATACAACGGTGCAGCGATGGCGAAACCGAAGCGATTAAGCTTAGGAGAACGAGGAGGATGTAGACTAAAGTCGATCCCTTCGCTTCTCCCATTTTTTCGATTGAGAGAAGAATATGGCAATTAGTGAGACAGAGTGACTCTGTGCTTTTTACTTGAACTGTAGGCTTCCTCATAAGAACCAAACCGAACAGAACGAACCAAACCGAACCACAATTATTAATTTGAATCCCAACCGATTTTCAATATACCAAAATCGTTTAGAATTTTCTAAAACCAAATTATTTTAACTGACTTTGAATATTGTACAATACTACAATCAAAGGGAATCAACCAAATTTGAAATAAATTAATATTTTTTATATATAAAAGATATATAAAAATATATTTTTAATTACTAAACAATAGTATTTTCTATTTACTTAATAAATAATTAAAAAGTATCTTGGTAAGATTTCTATTTTAAATGCTACTTCTCAAATTTCTATAAATATTTAGTGTATTTGTCAAAATTCTCCAAATATTATTTGTGCACATCATTTTTCTTTCAACAACATTGTGACAATTACAGTATTTAATCTACTAAAATATTTTAATTTAAATAATTTGTATGAATTATGAACTAATATTACGAATTTTTTTAAATAATTAATACAAGTCCAATAAATTCAAATTTCATAACAAAATTTAGTCAAAATTTAACTTTAAAATCAGAAGAAAATAGACATGTAGATAAAATGTCGACACGAAACTTTGTAACGTTGTATAATAATAATATCTCTATAGCTGTTTCATTGTCTTTTCTCTCGAAAAAAAATAAGTAAAGAAAAGTAAAGTAGCCGCCTCATCTTCCTCGTCTCTCTCACCTCGTTAGCTATCTCAATGAGGAGCCCGATTTAGGGTTTCCTCCATTGATTCTATCAAATTCACCATCAATCATCGCAACAAAAGCTCTCTTAAGACTCTTTCGGTGATCACATCTTCTTTTTCTTGTACTTTATCTCTCACTCTCTCTTCGTTTCGGGTTTTAGGGTTTTCTCCAACATTGGCGTTTATGATTCTCACTTTTTCTACTTGTATGAATCTGTATTGATCTGGGTTTTTCTTTAATCGAACTATTAGATGATTCGATTTGATAAAGTTGTAAACTTTCGTTGATTAGGGTCTCTTGACTAGACTTTTCTTTTATCGTGCGTCTATTCTCAATCCGATTAGACTATGAACTCAGTTTTTGTGCGATTGCGGATTTGTATATATGAATATGAAGCTGTGTATATAGATCTATAAAGTTCTTCCTTCAGGCATGTCAAATCTCTGGATTGTTGTTATTAGCAGATACAAATTTCAGTTTGATGTTGCTTATGAGAAGGTTACTTATTATTGCAGGTCACTTTGTTTGCATCATAACAAGGGAAGTTAGATAGATTGTTGTTAGTTCTAGAACATGCCGAAAGAGAGGAAAGACCGGTCGGTATCTCTTGATAAGTATAGACGATCGCCATTGTGTTGTGAGTCAAGCTGTGCTTTGAAGCCTAGTGAGAAACAAGTTAAGGAATGGGAAGAGGCTCGTTGCCCTGTTTGTATGGAACATCCTCACAATGGGATTCTTCTCATTTGTTCTTCTTATGAAAACGGTTGTCGACCTTACATGTGTGACACTAGCCACCGGCATTCTAACTGTTTCGATCAGTTCCGCAAAGCCTCTAAAGAGAAACCGTCTTTGTCTTTACTTCATGAGGAAGAGGAAAGTAATGAACCAACTGAGATGGAAGATGTAGCTTCTGACTCAACTGCTGTAAATCTAAGAGGAGAAGCTGCATCTCAGTTAACAGATGTGAGTTTAAGAGAAGATGAGAGAGGAGAAGAAGAAGTAGTAGAAGAAGAAGAAGAAGAAGGTGAGACTGGAGAAGAAGAAGTAGTAGAAGAAGAAGAAGGTATTGTAGCAACAGAGGAAGACCAAGAAAAAAACAAACCGCCGAAGCTTACTTGCCCGTTATGCCGTGGACATATAAAAGAATGGGTAGTTGTTGAAGCAGCTCGATATTTCATGAACTCAAAACATAGAAGCTGTTCGTCTGAGACTTGTGATTTCAGCGGAACCTATTCCGATTTGAGAAAGCACGCAAGGCTTCTGCATCCAGGAGTTAGGCCATCAGAAGCAGATCCAGAGAGACAGAGAAGCTGGAGGAGGCTAGAAAGGCAGAGAGATTTAGGGGATTTAATTAGCACACTCAATTCTTCTTTTGGAGGAGAAGAAAGAAGTAACGACGATGGGATTCTATTTGATGGTAGCTTGCTTACAGTGATCTTTCTCATCCGCGTGTTTAGACCAGAGTCGAGTGGCTCAAGGAGTAGTAGTAGTAGCTGGTCTGGTGCATCTAGAGCTAGGTCACAGATAGGTGGGAGAAGAAGGCCACATAGATCTCCAGGGCTTTGGGGAGAGAGCTATGAAGGTAATACAGGAACATCAAGAGATGAGGAGAATAATAATCAGTCTTCTGATGAACAAGAGTCTGTAACTCGGAGACGACGTCGTTCTAGGAGAAGAGCTGTCATTGATGATGACGATGATGATGATGAGGAAGAAGAACCGTGATGCTACAATTTGGTCTTTGGAGTTTATGATAAAGAATATGGGGGAAACTTTGTAGTAATAACCCCACTTCTGAAACCCTATTCTGTAAAATTTCTTTGGAGATTGAAAAAAAAGTTTCTACTATTGAGAAACAAAATGTTCAATAATTTTAAACACAAATCTTTTTTTATAAACGACTCTTTAAACAACAAAATGTAAATCTCTTAACAATACAAAAAAACTGAAAAAGACTAAAAGGAATTGCAACATTAACGCTTCTCATAGACAATTTTATCTCTGCAGATTTACAACATTAAAAAGAGCTTGAAAATGAAGTAATTTAAGCAGAAGCTGCTGGCTCTGAAGTTGCTTCTGCTGCTGCAGCCCTCTTCTTGGCAAAGTATTCATCTGCTCGTGCTTGATTCTTTGCAACGGATGGCTTAACCCATTTCTTTCTTCCGGGCAACACAGTGAGTGTACATCCTGAAGCTTCAAGCTTCTCTTTTGCTTGTGTTGAGAAGGCGCGAGCTTTGAAGGTGAGCTTCATGCTTAGTTCTCCGGTACCAAGAATCTGAAATCCAAGACCAATCAAAGCGTTTAAATAGAGAAGAAGATGAATGCATGATCGATTAAGAAGCAATACAGTTTGGAAATTAACCTTAAGAGGGAGTTTCCTTTCCCTCCCTGAAGGATTGATCAAACCCTTTTGCTTCAATGTCTCCAATGACACTTCATCTCCTTCTTGAAACCCAGCTGTTTCGATGTCTTTGAGATTAACCGGTAAGTATTTGGGTAATCCTGACCGCATACCTGTTTAAAAAACACAGCAACGCGATCAATGTATCAGGAACCTAAACGAGGGTATGGATCAAAGGAGGACCTTTCTTGATGGTTTGAGCTTATTAGAAAAATAAAACCATCAAATATCTCGATTCACTAACTCCAATCTTAATCCTTGATTCTCAACCCTTGCCTTGAGGCACTAAGACTCTCTTAACATGGTCACATAAAGAATCTACGGAACAAATCTGCCCTAACTAAATAAACTGTAAGAAGCATCACCAAATTCAAAACAGAGCTTTTTGGATGAGACATTTCATCGAACACTTAGCCTACACAAAACTTCTAAATTCAGATTATATCAAACATTACCTCCGGCGATTCCTCTAAGTTTGGGAAGACGACGATAAAGAGCAGTTTGACCTCCTTCAAAGCCTCTCATAATCCCAGGACCCGATCTTGATTTCTGACCTCTCATACCAAAACCACAACTCGCTCCTTGTCCTGCAGAGATACCTCTACCTTTCCTCTTCTGCCTCTTTCTCGAACCTGGTTGAGGTCCAAGATTATCCAAACGGAATCTCTCCGGAGCTACAACTTCCGACGTCGCCGCTGCTTGGCTAACCACAACAAGTGGTCTCGCAGATTGTTGTTGTTTTCTCGTTTTAAGCTTTTGGTTGAGTTTCAGAGACAGAATCTGACTTGGGTTTGCTCCCAAAACGCTTACATTTCCCTGTAGACATTTCAAATTCGGATTTAGTAGCGAGTGTGTGTTTAAATTGACATTCGTAGAAGAATATGAGATTACCTTGAACGAAGTAGAAGGAAAGTGGAGACGGTAACAATGGCGGGAGGTGAGAGGATTTGATGAGATTGAGAGTGGAGAAGCCATGGTCGCAGGGAACAACAGATGAAAAAAGCTTCAAGGATAAGGATGAGGAAGATGGATAGAGAGAGAACTTTTCTTGAGAAACTTAAGAGTTAAACGACACCGTTTTAAAAGCATAAACATTCCATTGTTTATTGGGCCTTTCGTATAGGCCCTTTTAGTCTTGTGGAGAATTTCAATTTGAATTACTTGGTCCGAGTTTTGGATACTAAAAAAGAGTCGTTTTACTCGTTCGTTTTAATTTATTTTTCATGTTCAAATATAAGAGATTAGTAAATTACACTAACTTTATATATATTTTTTTTTGTCATCTGGATATTTTATTTATTGAACAAAGGTAAAAAACATACAACAGTGGAAATAAACTTCCCAAGAACAAAGCCAACGGAAAACATAATTTCCTTGGAAACAAAGCTTATAAACGAGAGAAACAGGGCAACGCAGGAACTAATTGAACGAAGAGATCGAACAGAAATTCAACAGAAAATATAAGTAAGGGTAAAATTAAATCTCTCACTTAATCCCTATCCCATGAACATTTACACTTAACGCGCGACCCGGTAGAGCCATGAGTGCAATCTAATAAACCCTAAACTTATGAAAGATCTTCAACTCAATCCCTATCACTAACTTTATATATATAAACATGAATATTTATATTTACACATAACACATATAATTATAAGTTCAACTACAAGCCCACATCATAATAATCATTACACAATCTCAACCACAGAGACAATGATATATATATATATATATATATATAAATATATATTTTAGCAGTTTGTAACTTCCTCTTTAATCTTTGCGAATTGTTTTCTTCACGACAAGAAGAGAACAATCTGTATTACGTGTACACCTGCATTTTATTAAAAGATGTTCATTATCACAACTTTTTCGTACACTCATAAGTTTTTTAATTGAATAAAAATAATCATGATTAATCTTACTTTTTTAGATTTTGAGTTTGTTGATCGCTCGTAACTATTAAATGGATATTTTGCTCTTGAATTATCTTGCGGATTAGATCTTTAGGGTCTCCAACATCTGTAAACGTCTCTGCTTTAATCTGTTTTCAACATGATTATGAGACTAGATATTAAAACAAATAGTTGTTATGAAAAGAACTATAAATTAAATGATTTAGTCAAGACTCAAGAGATTACCCCATGATTTAAACATATCTTCTTAGCTTTCTCTAATATACCCAAAGCAATTTTCATATTCTTTTCTTGAGCCAATCTTATGAGTTCTGCATCTGCAAAACACACAAGAACACGCATAGAAACTAATCATCAGTTTTAAAAAATATAGATATTTTTGAAAACTTGTAAGAATTAATCGAGAAAACGACTTACTAGGTGAAAATGGATAGAAAATTTGAGCAAAACCGACTGATGAAGAAAGTACGGTAGGAGGACTAAAGGAATTTTGTGGCTGCGTTGCAAAGATAACAACTTTGGAGCTGTCAACGGTATCTTTTTGGTTTTCAAGAGCCCAAATGAGTAAATCATAACTTGAATTGCTCTCGTCAATAATCACCATAACATTCTTCATCTTCTCTCTTGTTTCTTCTTCTACTTTATTCTTCAAGCTTGTGCTAAAACCTCTTGTCAATGTCCAACTTTATAGTATATTTGGAAGTGGATTAACATGTCAAAGAGAGTAATATAAAAAAAATGTCTTAGGTGATTGGGTAATTGAAAGGCATGGTTTAACGACTTGATTCTTTCTTCTTCTCATTTCCAAAATAAAATTATACATACAAATAAGAAAAATACCCTAAAATACCAAACTATTATATTTTATTCTGAATATATATCATTAGTTTATTTTTCCAATAATACCACACCGCAAATAATACCATATTAAATTTGCGCGTGATGTTGTAATAGTATTGGAACTCGCTATAGGCTCAAGTTCAATCCGACAATTTACAAATTCAATGGATGGATCACTTAGATTTGGGATGTTTAACTCGTGATTAATTTGCGGAAATTTTTTTACGGAAAGATTCAAAAGACTAATCAGAAGCTTATTCAAATCCGGATAGAGACAATGCTAAGTCTAAACAATTAACATTATATTTAAAAAAATAAAAACAATCGAAAAATATGATTTCATTCTACAACAGAATACGAATTCAATTCACCATTGAAATATTCCATTAATAAAATGGTCTTAGTGGACGGTGTTTGGTAATTGCCGGATACACGCCATTGATCATGACATAAAACATTATTCTCCTTGTCGGAATGTTAATCAAATATTATTAGTTGGTAAAAGAAAAAGACACAATTAGCTAAACGGGCTAAAAAGAAGTTTAGTTAATGGGCCTAACGGACACCTAGAAAGCCCATTATAACCTCTGCATCTTCTACCTCTGAATCTAAAACCCTAGCGATTTTGTTGTTTCTCTCTCGAGACGCTCTGCGAAAGCTTCTTCGATTGTAATCAAAGGTACTCGATGATTCTCCTTTTCCATTGTAGTTCTCATTAAAAGGTTTTCTGTTAAAGATTGTATGAGTTGTTTGGTCTGTGAAAGTCCCGATTATTCAATTTTGAGCTGGATTTTGGTGTTATAGATGACAATAATGGAGAAATTGAGCTTAAAGATGGTTACTTTAACTCATCCAATGAGAAAGTATTAGTTTGTTGTTGTATGATGCATAAAAGTCTCTTAATCTTCTTTTACCAATTGAGACATTATTGTAGAGAAGAGTTATGTTATTAATTTTTTTTTTGTGTGTGTGTGTTTCTGTTATAGGTTTTATAATGGAGAAATCTCGAGAAAGTGGTTTCTTGTTCTGTAACTGGTGTGGGACGATGCTTGTCTTGAAATCAACTAAGTATGCAGAGTGTCCATTATGCAAAACAACGAGAAATGCAAAAGGTATTCATGAGTTTCTCTTTATATCAGAATCTAAACAGTTTTGTTTCTTGGTTGGTTTAGTCTTATTGTTGTGATTTTATCGTCATTGTTTTTCAGAGATCATCAACAAGGAAATAGCTTACACAGTTACTGCTGAGGTATGTTTTTGCTGCATCATATAATCTATATCTTAATTACAAGCTATGTGTAAATCAATTGCATTGGTTTCGATTTTTACTGAGTAGCGAAAGATCTCTCTGCTCTTGATTTGTGTTAGTCCATTGTTATTAGGCCATGAACAGTTGAACACACATACAGCTACAAAACCAGTTCCTTGCTATGTTATTTGTTTCAGACCTGAAAAATGGACTGTTTATTATTCTTGCAAGAACATTGAATCATGTAACAATGCAGAGGTAGTATACAATTCATGTCATGATCTTTTCTTTTTACAGGATATCAGAAGAGAATTAGGAATATCATTGTTTGGTGAAAAGACTCAGGAAGAGGCTGAGCTACCAAAGGTTTGTAATAACAAAACAGTTTTTTACGCGTTTTTTTCTCAGTCCATGACCTGTGATTTTGATGATACTTGTCTTTGCAGATCAAAAAGGCGTGCGAGAAATGCCAGCACCCGGAGCTTGTATACACGACCAGACAGGTATAATCCTCAACCTTTATGATTGTGTGGTTTCAAGTTCTTGGCTTCTTGTTTCAATTTCAAAGTATATGTTTCATCGGCTTTGCAGACGAGATCAGCGGACGAAGGACAGACAACATATTACACATGCCCCAATTGTGCTCATAGATTCACAGAAGGTTGATGTTATAATCATCTCCAGCATGTGATTCGGATTCACCAAGCATACCAGTTTTGTTTCTTACATTCAATGTTGCAAATTCAATGATTCAGTGCCATCATTAGAACCTTATGTATATGTAACCAACTCAAAATTTTCAATGTCATCATCAGGAATAGCTGCAACTGTAATACAAGTTTTCTTTAATTTTACTTATTTTAATTAGTGAAATAGATAAATAAAATATTGAAACCCTTTAAATACGAAAAGAATATCCAAATAAGCACCAGAGCATAACTTGTAAGCACGCTCACTAAATTACACATACACGTCAAAAACTAATCTTACTCCTTAATCCAACGGCTACAAAGCCTACGATGATTTGTTGACCATCTTAAATATACCGTACATTCCATACACCTAACCACACCAAATCATTTCCACCGCTCAGTTTAAAAACAGAACCTGTTTGGGAGCAAGTTACAAAACAGAACCATGGAAACGGCGTTAAGTCTTTCTTCTTCTCCGGCGACTTTTCCGTCGTTCCTCCTCCTCTTTGTCTCCGTATACATCGTCGGCTATTTCCTTATCTTCCGTTCATGGAAATCATCATCACATTTAGGCGCTAGCTGCTTAATGTCACTCTTCCACGGCACTCCCGCCGTTATAATGGCTTCTCACGCGCTACTTACAACCCAACGCGCCTCCGTACACTCCTTCGCTTCTCCCAACACCGCCGCGGAATCAACCGTACTTGATTTCAGCATGGCTTATTTCACCGTTGATCTCCTCCATTACCTAATCTTCCTCCCTAACGACTTCATCTTCATCCTCCACCACATTGCGACGTTATACGTTTTCGCTACGTGTCGATTCGCCGTCGGGAACGGAGCTCACGCGCTTCTCCTTCTCTTGATCCTCGCGGAGGCGACGAGCGCGTGTCAGAACGTGTGGACGATCGCCGGGTATAGAAAAAACGACGTCGTTTTAGCGAGGAAAGTGAGAGAGCTTTTGTCTCCGCCGTTTTACTTGTTTTACACTGTGGTTCGTGGTTTGGCTGGTCCGGTGGCTTTGTACGATATGGCTGCGTTTTACGGTAGTGGTGCGGCGGAAGGAGCGGTTCCACCGTGGGCTTGGTTATCGTGGCTTGTTGTGATTGGTTCTGCTATTTTGGTTAGTGTCTTGTGGGTTTTACGTAATTGGGTTGATTGGTTTAGAGAGAAAAACAAATATAAGTGAATAGATTAAAGTTTTTCCTTTTCTAACAAAGGAGAAAATTGTTTGATTTGATATAAGAGTAGATTATTAGCAAAGTTCATATAAATTTAGTTGATTGTATTTGTGTAATGTACTATTAACAATATTGTACGTTTATGTGAATCTAAATCTTATTGTTAATTTGTTATTCACTTATTTGTATCGTTTTTTTTTTTTTTTTTTTTTTTTGCATCAAACTGTATATGTGAATCTTATGTAAAAATAAATGAAATTATGTTTTTTTTTCCAGAAGGAGAAAATTATTTGATTTATAGAAGTATAGAATTAAATATAATTTATATAAAAAGTATATAAATAGATTGGAGTGTTCATAAAATTTATGATATTTGTGGATCTAAATCTTGTACTGTTATTTGTATTGTAAAGTTTTTGTTTTGAATCAATCTGCATATGTGTATCTTATGTAAAATTGTAACAATACTTGAATGTTTTAACTTTTAAACCTCCCTTTTTTTCCAGCCCTTGAAATTTTTTTGAGCCATTAATATTTTTTATAGAAAAAAAGTCAACATCCTTTAATTTATGATTTGTCAAAAAAGTTGCCTAACTCATGGTATAAGTAAACAGTTTTAGAAATGTTCACGCCACATTTGGTCCTCATGGGATAAGCTTGGATGACTCACACACTTGTTTATCTCCAACAAATTATATTAGATGTTTAATTAAAATTGATTATGTATTTTTTTTCAAACCAAGTCTCTTGCTGCTTACATGTCTTATCTCTAATGAAGGGACTTCCATTATCGATTAAACCGTGAGATAAACTGATCCGTCAAAAAATTATAATTCAAATACAGATTGATAACAAAACTTAACTTATATAATAGTCAACTCTGACCTTTTAGTTGCGCAAAAACCAACTAGCAGTGACTTTAACCAAGAACTGAAGCTTGATCAAACCAATTATCACAATCAAACCACTTTGGGTCTGATTGGTAACCAAAAGCTGTATAAGTTTTGTAGCTGCTAGCTGGAACTGTAAGCTTTAACGGAATAGTGCAAAACTGTAAGAAATAGTAGCTGTACAAAAAAGCTGAAAGTAAAACTGTTAGTAACGCTTTTGATAAAACTTTTGTGATTGGTAACTGTCAAAGTTGTACTCTCTGTACGGCTTTGATAATGAGTTACCATGCAAAGCCTTTATTTCCTGACCCAAATCCTTCAATCGTCAAATAGATCTCTTCACAAAGTTATAAAACATTGGTCTTTCAAAACCACAAGTAAAAAATAGATCAAACACAGTTTCAAGCAATAAGTTAAACAAAATAGATCAAACATAAAGCTTTGATACAAAGAAGAAAATCATTGTATCTCTCCATCACTAAGGGCCTTCTTCTTCAGTCTCTCGATATCTCTATTATTATTATTGGTTTTAAATTAAAGAAACAGTAAGTGATTTAAAACAAGAACTTATCGTCAAAAAACAAAATTTACACCAATAAGTGAAGCTTGATCAAACCCATTATCAGAATCAAGCCACTGCATTTCCTGAGTCAAGTCTTCAATCATCAAATAAATCTCTTTCGAAAGAGAATGAGATCGGTCTTCAGCATTAAAGGCATTAACTTGATTTCTAATCTCAATCCAGCTCCAACCTGGAACTTTCTTTACACCTCTCTCTTTCATCATCTTCTTCACATTTGCTTTCTCTTCCCATTTCTTTAGATCACTATACATATGAGACAACGAAACATACGTAAAATGATCTTCTGGTTCGATCTCTAGCAAATGGTTAGCCACTTGAGTAGCCATTTCGATCTCTCCACAAGCCCTGCAAACTCCAAGGAAAGTTTTCAACACCATTGGATCAGGATTCAATGGCATTGATTCGATTAACTCTTTCGCTTTGTTCACAAGCCCTGCTCTGCCTAAGAGATCAACTGCAGCTGCATAATGTTCCATTCGAGGTTGGATTTTGTAAACAGATTCCATCGAGTTGAGCAACTCGAGTCCCTCTTGTATAAAACCGGTGTGGCTACAAGCTGTTAGAATTGCAGTGAAGGTTACATGGTCTAGTTTCACGTTTTGGTTACACATTTGAGAGAAGAGATCAAGAGAGACTTGGCCTGAACCGTGTTGAGCGTATCCTAGAATCATCGCGTTCCAAGCTATTGTACTGTGTTTGGAAGAAATCTGCTCGAAGCATTTTCTCGCGTTCTCAATTACTCCACATTTTGAGTACATCAAGATCAGAGAACTGGTTACAAACTCGTTTGATTCGAAGCTTGATTTAGTGGCAAGAGCGTGAGTCTGCTGACCTAACTGGAGTGTTGCTAGGTCCGAGCATGATCTGAGAACTGCAGAGAAGGCGTAATCGTCGACTTCTATGTTTGAAGATCTTAAGTAGCTAAAGAACTTTACTGCATCCTCGCTGAGACCTTTTTGGGAGAACCCTGTCATAATTGAATTCCAAGAGACAAGATCCTTAGATTTTAAGGATTCAAATAGAGACAGAGCATCTTTCATGACGCCTGTAGGAAACTGAATATACATAGAGATCAATGCATTTGAAACAGAAGTTACTTGTTCAAATCCCTTCTTTATCACCAAACCATGCAAAGACTTTCCAAAACTCTGATGTTCTTCGCCAGAGCAAGCACTTACGATGCCGGTGTAAGTATAAATGTCAGTTTCGATCCAATTCCTATGCATTTCAATAAATAGTTCAAAAGCAGATTCCTTTTGCTCGTGTTTAGAGAAACCTGCGATCATCGAATTCCACGAAATCAAGTCTCTTGAGCCACCCAAGCCATCAAAAACTCTCTTTGCATCGGATACTGAACCACAATCTGCATAAGAGCTGATCATCGCATTGCATATAGTAATCTCGTGTTCAAGCCCGAGTTTCAAAACCTTAGCATGAACTTGCTTCAACAAGTTACAAAACATCGGATCATCAAGCAAAGTAAGAAGTGGAGCAAAAGTGCCATCATCCATAGTCACAGCAGCTTTCATCTCCATCAAACCCAACAACCAAAAAGCAGTCTCGATATCTCGCACTTGCACAAATCCAGCAATCAAAGCATTCCATGAAACAGAGTTAGGCTCTGAAATCTCCATAAAAGCCTCAAAAGCATTTTCAACTCTTTCACATTTCGCATACATATCAACAAGCGAACTTCCAACATACACATTACACTCATAACCTCCTTTTATAACCAAACCATGCACTTGCTCTCCAAGATCGAACCTTTTCGCAGAAGCAATCCCTTTCAATAACCTACTAAAACTATACCCATCAACATAACATCCACATCTCTTCATATCTGTAAACAAAGACCATGCATCCTCCAATTTCCCACAGCTTGTGTATCCAGAAATCACCGTGTTCCAAGACACAGAATCTCTCTGAGGCATTTCATCGAACAACTTATGTGCATAACCCAAGAAGCCAAATTTTATATAAGAATCCAAAATTCGATTGGATACGTAAATATCGGAGACGGAACCATATTTGATGGCGTAACAGTGAGTGAATGAAAGCTTTTGGAAAGAGTTTAAAGAGCTGTCTAGTAGAGAGGCTAACAACGTTTTCATTCATCTGTTTCTCTGTGTTCCTGTGAAAGTCAGCGAACAAGTCAACAAGAAACTCTCTTTTCTCAAAATCAAAGATATTTTATTTATTTATGTAAATAAAATATTTTTAAATATGCATTTTTTTTTTGTCAAATAATCAGTTTATTATTAATTCTATATTTCCGAATTTACATAGTAATGGATAATCAAGTGGCTAGTTTGTCTGGTAATTTTATGTGTTAATAACCTTAAGTGGATTAATTATAGGTTTATTAAGTAAATAGAAATACATTTTGAGGCTTGAGTTATTTGTAAAATGGTATTTGTTTCCCTTCATTTTTTTTGGTTTTAGTGTTAAGATTTCATTCTATGGAAAAAATTACAAGCTAAGCTACATAGTACAAAATTAACCCATTATCACAGGAACAAAAGACAGAATAGAAAAATTATAATGGATAAAAAGACGACTAAAATAAAAAAATTACAACAGATTTCATTTCCCTTTTACTTTTTCCATTGGTGTTGTTTCTTGGCTCGGTTTGTAGCTCCCGATCATGCGTATCACGGCCCGATTGCGGTAGTCCGACCAGACACTCATTGGTCTTATTTTTGTTTGAGTCAACTAGACTTCGTTGATAATTTTTCTCTCAAAATTCTTTAGCTTCATGCTTAGAACTGACTGAATTTTCCGTGTTTCGTTTTCGTTTCCCGTGACTTTCACCAAAAATCCTTAAAAAAGCAAAAGAGTTCACAATACATACAAAAAAAAAAAATCAAAGATTCAAATGAATGAAAACTAAACTTAAAACAACTCTAAAATACGATATAAAAAAAAATCATTCGCTGTCTATATACATTTTACATAGATATAGAAATCCGAAATTGGTCATTGCCGAAATAAAAATAAATTTTCTTAGCCATTTTCAATAAATTTCAAATTTCTTTCCATTTTTTTTTAATACATTTATAATTTTAGTGGGATTTGATTAACCTTAACTAATAACTATATCACAAACTAGCCGTTGTAAGCGCATTTCCGAGGAAGACTAGCCGTTACGCTCTTATTCCCCTTTTCTTTTTTAATCTTCTCTCAATTTTTTTTCTCCTTTTCAAAATCATCAAAACCCTAAGCGACACTCTGACTCTTCCAAATTCAATTTGCTTCCACAGAACAATAGATTTTCAAAATCACAGATCCAAATCGCTTCTTCAATGGCGTCCAAAACAGCGGCTGCTAAAGATATCATCACTTTACACGGATCTGCTGCCATCGTCAGCGAATTCTTCTGTGCGTATTTTCAATCTCTCATACTCTAATTTCCTCAAACTTCTCACTCCTTCTCTTCGATTTGATGCTTTTTCTTCTTCTTCTTACAGGTTACGCAGCGAACAGGTGAGAATTGAATCGGAATTTCAAATTCAGTTTCTGCAAATCTCCGATTCTGTGATTTTTTCAGTGAAATTGACTCGGTTTTTGGTTTTTGGGGTATAGTATTTTGTATAATCGTGCAGTTTATCCAGAGGAAAGTTTTGTGAAAGTGAAGAAATATGGACTTCCGATGTTGCTTATTGAAGATGACTCCGTCAAATCTTTCATGTCTAATCTCACTTCTCAGATCTCCGGTAATGCATTTTTTAGCATTTCCATGGTTTTGTTGGTTAGTATTCTTAAGAACAGAACAATAGACATAGATTTGAGATATAATTTGAGACTTGATTTTGTTTTCGTGTCTAAAGAATGGCTTGAAGCTGGGAAGTTGCAGAGAGTAGTGTTAGTTATAATGAGCAAAGCTACTGGTGAAGTTTTGGAGAGGTGGAATTTTCGGATTGAGACTGATAATGAAGTTGTTGACAAAGGGTCAGTCTTTTTTTTGAAAATTGTTGAATGTGATGTTCTTGGTTCTTGTTTTCACTATAATGTATATCATCGTTATGGAACTTTCAGTGTGTCGAGAGAGAAAAGTGATAAGGAGATCATGAGGGAGATTCAAGCTATCATGAGACAGGTTGCTTCAAGCGTTACTTACTTGCCTTGTCTTGATGAAACATGTAAGAAGGAACTTTGAGTTATCATTTCAACACTAGTTTGGGTTTATTTGGATTCTTATTTTTTATTGTGTTTGTTTAGGTGTGTTTGATGTATTGGCGTATACGGATACTGATGTGGCTGTTCCATTCACTTGGATTGAAAGCGACCCGAAATTGATTGCCAATCCACAGATGGTTAAGTTACACGGGTTTGATACCAAGGTAAGGAGGAGGAAGAAACCTGAAACCTCTATTCAGTTCACTTTGAAATGCGTAAAGTGTATTGGTTTTCATTCTCTGCAGATTCACAAAGTCGACACGCTCGTCTCATACAAGAACGACGAGTGGGATGAAGAAGAGTAACAGAAGTCGGGACTCGTATGCAATGCTCTTTGTTCCGCTTTCGTTCATGTCTTTGGGAGTTCTTAATGTTCTAAAGGCACGTGAATCCTTTATTCACACACCTATGTTTTTTTCTTTCTGAATTGTATGAGAATTCTGTACCTGTGTTGTGTTGTGTTTCGTTCAAAAGTTATCAGCTTTTCCAATGTCTCTGTCCCTTGCATTTCTAAACAGCCAATCAAATTTCTCTGATTCACAATGGAATGTCAAAAGAGGTGCATATTTACAGTGACCGACGAAAATTAAGGTTTTTGGATTAAAAAAAAGATCTCTAAAAGCCAATCAAATCTCTCTGATTCACAAAGATGGAAGGTGTATTTACAGTGACATGAAAAATAAAGGTTTCTTCTAGCCTTCTGTAGACCCGTTTTCTCATCTCATTCCTCGGTATAAGACACCCGACTGAAGATCGTCCATATTGTCTATGTTACGAAACGCGTCAATCTCTCTCAGACATGTCCAGCCTCGCCGAGCCAAGAAATCTCGGTAATCTTCTTCAGTATAGAATATCTTCTCCTCTTGATGGACCGGTAACGGATCAGATTCATCATAGTGGCACACTCTAACGGCTATCCCTGAATTTAATTGGATATTGAGAAACCTCAAACCAGAGAGTATTCAATGAATAGCAGAGAAAGAGTGAATTTACCTTCATCAACGCGGAGTGTATAGTTCCCTAAAGGCATGTCACGGTCAAGAGAGCGAATAACCTGTTCTTCATCTTCTAGCCAAAAAGCTCGCCTTGTTCTTAATCTAAACGCGGATCTGATAGCTTCCTTGATTGCTTCAGCAGCACCATCAATCCCAAATCTTCTTGTATAATCTCCAAATTTTACTGTTATGATCCTCCCAACAAATGGCTGACCATCACCCCCTGCTTCAAACATGAAACCGAGAATCAATTGTCATAAAAGTTCAAAAGCTTACTGAAAAACAGAAACGCTTGCACTCGAAGAGGCTAAGTTATATAAGCTTTTCTGGTTACTTACCATTTCCAGCGGTGTCTCTCCAACTCCAAGGAGGAACTCCATTTGCCGTGACGGGGTCAGCAGCAATGGGGAGAGGAAGACCATCGTGATCGAGCTGCGTTTCAAGATTTAGCGTTGGCCTGCCATTAGCTGCACACAGATACAACTCATATCAACACTAAACAACTTTTACAAATCAAACAAAATGCCCATAGACAAAATCGGCTTCACATTATGACTAACATTCTACAATTTGGTATTGAGTTCACTTTTATTTCACTGAATAATAAGGAATCATAAGTTGTTGCACAATTGTTTACCCAAAGCTAGGACTGATACAACCATTTCTCTCAAAGTAATTCCCCAACTAAAAGGGAATTCAACACCACCATTTATATATACACACAAGACTCAAGAAATGTGAGATCAATACCTTCAACAGATGTAAATGAAATACCAGTATCTTCAAAACCTACAAGAAGATAAAGATTAAAGATCAATTTTAGAAGAAAACCCAAAATTTACTATAAAAAGTCAATATAGTTTAACAACCAAATCAACAACTTTATAATTAGCCACTAATGGTCAAAATCCTCTTAACCAGGTTTAGCACTAAAAGAGGAACAACACTAAAACCAAAAAGATCAGTCTTTATCTTCTCAATCCAAATCCAAATCTAAACCAAAACCCATTAACAAATCTTATCAAAACCTGCAAAAAATCCATCAGAAACCCCAAAATCAAGCAAAAGATTCTACCTTTATCAGTAAATTGCATAAAGGAATCAACTTTAGCCGAAGATGGTGGAGTAGTAGTCGAAGGACTCTTATACAATGCCACTTTCTTGTTTCTTTCTGCAAAAATGTCTTCAATCTCTTTGTAATAAGACATCTTCGTTGATCCTCCACTTGTTGCTTTATCATCATCTTGATACTTAGCTTTCTTAAACTCTTTCAATATGTTCCTCCACTTGTCCGTACACATAGTTGGTGATCGATCAAACCCTTTCTCTCTCATTTTGCTCGAAATCTGTTCCCAAAGATGTTTGTTAGATTTAGATGTGTTGAAAAGATTGTCCATTTCTCTCCGTAACGAGATTAAGCATCGAGTCTCGTCTTGTGCCCAAGTCTCTGCTCGTTTCTTTGGTGCTTTGATGATCTCATGATCCTCTCCTCCACTGCTATCACCGAGGATGATCTGGTGATGTTGTTGTTGTAGCGGTAGATCTCCGTTTGATGATGTAACATCTATCATCATGTTCATGTCCCGTGAAGGATTGTTATCGGAAACAAACATGTTTTCTCCGAGGAACAAGGAGAGAGAGAAGAAGATGTCAAAGAAAACAACACTTTTTTCTTTAACCATATACGCGTGGAATCAACGCGCTGATATAAGAGCGCGTCCCTTTGATATTTAGTCAAAGCTTATCTTAAATTGTTTTGAGTATAATAAAACAGACATGGATCAAGAACAATCCAAAGTTACAAACTTTAAATCCAAAGAGTAATCTTCATGATAATAATAACAATAACAATGTGTCCAACAAAGATGGAAATGGAGCAAATTTTTATTATTTTTAAAAAGTTTTTAAAGATAGTTGAAGATCATCTCCATTGAGCAAAGGTATATCACCAACCTGAAAAAACAGTCCTGGATTCAGTATTTAAGAAACGTCTAACCAAAGATTAATCTATGAATAGAGGCAAATTTACCTTCATCGAAATGGAGTTTATGATCTCGAGTAAGAAACTAGACAACCAAATGATTATGTAGTTTCTTGTCCTAAATGCAGCTCTGAGGTATCCTTTAGTGGCTTCAGCAATGTAACATCATCAATGACAAACACTTCTTGTGTAGTCTCCAAATCCAACTTCCATCTACCAAACCAAATAAACCACATTCCGTAGACAGACCTATCCTTCATCATACTTCATTGACATTGAGTTTATAATCTCGGTCAAGAAAGCAGGCCAACCAATTTCTTCATCTTTTTGACGACCAAATGATCATCTGCTTCTCAACCTAAATGCAACCCTGATGGCTTCAGCAGTGTACCACCAATGCCCAAACTCTTCTTACTACGTAGTCTCTGAATCCAAACTCAAACCACTAAAACAGTTGACAAATCCCATCACTTGCTGTCAAACATACTACTCAGCCTATATCTTGGGTTTTCTTTTTGCAGAAGTCATGACTTTCTCAAACTAAACAATACACGACATCATCTGTTTCTCGAACAGCTTCAACAGTACCATTACTAGTCCTCCCCCACCAAACTACCCTGCTTCTTTCTTGGATATTTCTATTCCTTATTCTTTCTTTTTTTGTCTTTTCTTTGTCAAACCAAATAAGTAATACTAATATACATATGGCAACTACAACCACTGGAAGATACAGTTCCCACAAACTAAAGCCTAACCATGGAGACTGAGCCATTCAACCATAGAGAAAAGAAAGGCTCAGATGGAATTTCATACCTAGAGAGTTAACTTAGGGGCCGGCTTCGAACAAACAGCACACAAAAACTCTAAACAAAACGTTTCTTCGTATTCGCTGTCATTGATGCACCGACCACAGTGATAACACCTCTGTATGCAAAGAGAACAAGCACGGCATTCCTCAGAACCTTCTTTTTTCCCTTTACAATCTTCTGCTGGACAGTCGTACACAAGCCTAGAATTCTGACACTTTGGGCACATCTCAATATCTAGCGCCCGGTCATCATCACAGGACACACATGCATCTCCTCTATGGTAAAAACGAGGCTTCTGAATAGTCTGCTCGACTTTATTGTCTATGTTCAACAAGTCAAACAATTCATCGTAGTGATCTTTAGTAACTCCAAAGAGGCCACCAATTTCTAAATGCTTCACTTGAAGCTTTCCCACAGACTTCAGATCCCTCAAGATGCTCAAAATACCATCGATAGTGATTCTTGTGCATCCAGGCACACCAAGCTGCCAACCAATAAAAAACATTAGGTTTAAATAAGATCCCACAAATCAATTCAAACACCAAGCACTTCTACAAAAAGCTTACAGTTTAATCATTAGCAATCCGGATAAATTACAGTAAATGGAGAAAAGAAGCTCACCTTGACTACTTGTGGGTTGCGCTCCAACACCCGCTTGAGACAATCATCAGTAATTCTACAGCAATCTACGAGCCTCAAACACTGCATAGTACCCTGAGCCCTCTCAGTTAAATGCAGCAAAGCCTCTTCCGTGATCTTCTCATTCAACGGTTGACAAATGTGGATATGTTTCCACAGTAACGAGTCATCACAAACAGTAGTATGCAGAGACTTGCAAACCATACTAACTGAAAGAAGATCCTTCACTCCCAAATGATAAAGACAAAAACCAAACGCTGGATGAACATTTGCATCCTCCCCTCCATTATTGCAGCGATCACTACTTCCTACAACTCCACCATTCCTCGCATCCTCAAGGCTCAATACCTCATCAACACTACTAGCAGATATAAAAGCACCATGACAAGATCCATCACCATCAAATGCTCCTCCAACCACATTATTGTCCCCACTACTCTCCGGGAATTTACATGCGGAAAACAAAGACCCATCAAACGTCCCACCAAACCCATACAGCGACTCCGATCCATTACTATACCCACTACTCTGAAACTGCATTGCATTGTTCCATATGAAACTCAATCCAGCAAAGAGCTGCTGATGGTTTCCATCACCAATCCAAATGTCATCTCCTCTTCTTCCATATTGGTTATTATAATCCAAATCCTCAAGCCATCCAGTAATAGCCGTGAAAGTATTGTTGATATCCATACCAAACGGATCAGATGGCAAAACATCAAGTATGTCAACAGAAGAAGAATCTCCATTACTCTTCCTTCCATTATCAAAACTTGAACACCAATTCCCATTGGCTATCTTCATTGGTTCCTCAGATAGATGAGAAGCAAAGGGTCTATGTGAAAAATTTAAAGCCATTTCTATTAATCTCTATATACACTTTACACCTAAAAAAAATCCCTCTTTTGTACACAATCCCTGAAAAAAAAAAAACTCAAAACCCCCCTAAGAAGATAGATCAGATCCGAAAAAAACTAAAGGTTATTTTTTTTTGGGGTTATAGATCTATGGAGAGAAAAAAGGAAACTCTTGATTTCAGATGGCAACAAAAAAATACTAGGCACCAGAAATTTTCAGAGCTTCCTTGGAACCCTAAAAAACCTAGAGAAAAGAAATTCGAAATTGAGACGTATTAACAACCAAATTGGGTAACACAAAAAGAATGAATTGAATAAAATTGATTTTTTCCCTTTTTTTCTTTTTCCTTTTTCTGTTTACTCTTCTTCTTCCTCAAACAAAACTAGGGTTTTCAGAAATTTCGAAACCTAATCCTAAACATTATCAAGAAAGATACGAATTTTGAATCTGTGGGATTGAATTGAAGAAATTGAATCAAAGACACCTCTCTTTTTTCCTCACCCACGAAGAAGAACAACAACGCGATCAACGGGAAAACCAAACCGAACCCTCGCCGTGAAACTAAACAAGATCTCCTTTTTTGAGGGAAATCTTCAAACTTTCGAATTGGGAATCAAACAATTCAATAATCACTTTGGATTCAAGAGAAAGATGGAGAAAGAGAGAGAGAGAGAGAGAGAGAGAGCAGGTTGGTGAATTTCGTCGACCGAGTCAAGAGAGAAAATGATGGAAAGGACGAGAAAATTGTGCGAAAAATCTCAACTTTTTTTTTATTTTTATTTTAGGGGTTGAGATTTTACGTGGGAGAGAAAATAAATAAAAATGGAGACAAAATAAATTTTAAAACTTAAATAATAAAATGGAAAGAGATAAGATTAGGGTAACGGTGAATTTGTCAAAGTCTTTGGAATAATGGACACGTGTCGTTTGTTTAGTTCTTTGTCATTCTTTCCATATGCCAACAAACTAGGGATATCTTATTCTCTTGTTCTTTTTTTTTTTAAAGTCTATTATCCAATAAGAGATATTTGAGTTAATTATATTAGGATGATATTCAACTACTTATATATAAAATACACCCAATTACGATAAACAATTTTTACAAATAATAATTTAACGTCGCAATTTTTTTTTGTAATATTCAAATTTTTAACGGACAATTTTACATATACGACATCTTCACGATAGTTTTTAGTTAAAATAAAATATCTTCTAATTATAGTTAAATATATTGTTATTATTAATAAAATGATATTTTTAATACTCTTTTAGTTTGTTGATTTAAAATAGAATTTATTTTGTCTATTGAGAATCATTTTTTTCTATTTTTGTTTCGATGTATGTTTATATAAAAAAATCATTATTAAAAAAAAAGAGAAAATGGTAATCTCGTTGCAAATCAATGGTTTTATTTTAGGTTTATTATTTTGGCCAAATTTTCTTTTAAATGTTTATTAAATATACAGTGTCATGACTTTGAGACATATTTATTTGGTAGATTTATATATCTAGAAAGTGGAACAAATAATGTTTTGCTTTTAAAACCACGAAGATTCACAATAAAAGATAGATAAGCTTTATTAAAAAAAAAAAAAAACTTGTAGATAGATATCTTAAATATGATCCATTAAACCAACCTATGAAGGCTATTTAAAATGTGGCATTTAATCAAAGCACAAATCAGGTAACAAATGTGTTCTTAGTTAATGGCAACCAATTATTTATAAAATCATGTTTAATAGTAAAAAAAAGAAAAGAAAAAGGAATATGTTAATTATTTAATAAAGTTCTTAACAACAACACGTAAAGTTTGATATATATCGTTTTTTAGTAAGGATACTTCGTAGAAAAAGATAAACTTCGAACATAATAAAAAGATGGAACTTCCAAGATTCTTCTCCTCTTTGTGACATATTCTAGAAATAAAAGAAATAATTAGTCAAGGAACACAACAGAAACGACTAATTTTTTTATAAGATATTTATTGGGTCAATAGTTTATTGAATAATATAAGTCATATCCAACCGAATGACCGGCGTTTTCAGTGTATTTGGAGGAATTTCAGAGCGACAAAGAAGAATTCTCATCATTCTTTTTATCTTTAATTTCTCGCAATGCTAATGTAAAAGCGGATCATTTGACACGAAAAATTCGTACAGTACCGCTTCATATCACATTTGTAAACAACATTCCATTGGAATGATTCTTTTAAGTTCTAATTAATTTCGGATGATAAAAAATGTCATATTACAAAGTGTTTAAATAATACAAGAGTCATACATACGTCAAGTGAGAAAATGTGAAACAATTGTCATATTGGGCCTGTAAAGCCCATAAGGTCTTGAAAAGAGAAGTGGCCAATAATAAGGTTTGGACAAAAAGCGAAGTGAGTGGGAGTGTGAGACAATGACTGTCGTCGTCGTCGTCTTTCTCATCGTTCTCCAGAAACTAGAAACCCTAATTTCAAATTCGAAAATGGCGACACAAAATCAAACCATAAATCTCACAGATGCGATATTGACGGAGATTATAGCTAGGTTACCATTGAGAATCATCGCTAGATTCAAATTAGTAAGCAAAACATGGAAATCAACAATCGAATCACTCTATTTCCGTCGTCTCTTCGTGTCTCTGCACCAAAAATCCTCAACGTCGTGGTCGCTAATGAACTATGGAGACGAATTCTTTGGTTTCCATGGATGCGAGACATGGGATCTTCAAAAGTCTCTATCTTTTTACATCCCACCGTCTCTTCATGTGATCAAGGCTTCTTCCCATGGATTGGTTTTGATTTCAGATTATGGTGATTACTGTTTTGTGGGCAATCCAGTTTTACGACAATGGATCAAAATCCCTCCAGCTCCAGGTAAGTCTTCTGTGTTTGGTTTGGTGACTCGTGTGGACGACTATGGCTTCGTTTTAGGCTTCAAAGTCGTTAGGTTAGCTAAAATGCGACCGACTAGTATTTACCTTTCAAGTGTATTGAATGTGTTTATGTATTCCTCTGAGACTGGGATTTGGACTTCGAAGACAATTCACTGCCCTTATCAAATCACCAACCCTGGTTCTTTGACTTTGGCTGGTACCATTTACTTTTCCCATCTTAGTGAACCTGGATTACTCGTAGCTCATGATTTCTATTCTGAATCATCCGATCAATTTCGGGTTATACCTCTCCCGGATCATCCGAATCACGACTTCAAAAGTGCTTTGACTTCATCTGGAGGATTTGCTATGTATATCAGAACATTATCTGAATCGTCGTCTAATGATTTCAAGGCTTGGAGGTTGAACAATGATTCAACTTGGCAACTTCTGTGGAATATCGCCCTCCCGATAAGTCTTATCAGTGATTATGTACCCATGGCTATGCATCCATTTGATAGTGACATTGTCTATTTTTGGAGTCGAGAGAATCGTCATTTGGTATCTTGTAACTTGCGGACACAGAACAATAGAATCCTCGGAGCCGAAGATAATGATGATGATCATGAAGATTATATCTCGAATAAGTCAAATTGTGAGAAGGAAATGGATGAGATATGCGGCTTTAAAGTCTCGGCCGGGTTATTACAACTCGTTCTCCCACGGTGGATGGAATCGGTGCCTCGTCCTCCTCAAGTTGAGATTATGAATACAACTTCAGTAATCTCTTACGTCACTTCAATGCAAGAGACAAGAAGAAGGAATAGAGACACATATGGTTATTGAATCAATGATTTCAATTTGGTTTCTGGTTTTTTTCTTTTCTTGTCTTTTGGTTTCTCCATATGCTGCTTCTTTTATCAGTCCAATGACATGTTGCCATTTCATCTTTCTAAGTTTTTACCACGAATTCACTTTCTTGAAAATATGATTTTTGTTAGCTTTACTTCCTTGAATAGTAAATTGATGCGTTATTTTGTTGGACGTGATTCAATACATGATACGCTTAATAAAGGGTTGGTTTCTTGCATGTTTGATTCCCATCCAAACTTATTACAGACTCTCTTAGCTTTAATCGTAGTTTCAAATACCATCTAGCTACTAGATAGCTCAATTGATGTCACTAGTCCAGTTAATCCGCCGATGACAAAACTTGGTAATGGTTAGCACTTAGCGGTAAAGTGAATACTAAGGTAACCAAATTTCTTAACTTAAACGGCACCGTTACAACTATAAAAGCTAAACCAAAACGACGTCGTAAGTGCCCACTTCAAAATTTGTAATCATAAACACAACTACACATGAGTGTGTTTCAACCCGGACAAATCGCGCGGTGCATTTTTATAACTCAATAAAGACTAAGTGCATTTTTCAACCTCATCATTAAAACTACTTAAAGAAACAATCCAAACTCTTAGATTTGAGTTTATAACTACATTGACTTAAACAAAATTAATCAATCGTATGTTTTGCTCACTCAGACGACACATATGTGACAAAGTGTCATTTTGTCTTTAAACAAACGACATCCTTTTGATCATTTGAGTCCATAAACTCAACAACGCGACGTTGTTTGATTATGATAAAATGACACTGATAAACACAAAATGACTCCAATAAACTCAATAGTTCATACTTTATAGAACATACAAGTCATACAAATTGTTTAAAAATACAATTGTCATAAAACGCATAAAACGTTAAACAAAGAAAATGTGATTGTGAAGTATAATATTTGGTTCTCTCTTTTTTCACAAGTTAAGAAGTGTCTGAAAATAGTCATGGCTTCTCAAAAGATTTTCGGATTAGGCCTTATGAGGCCCATTAAGGTATTGAGAAGAGAGAAGTGGCCCATTATCAGGTCTTCAGAAAAAAGTGTGTGAGTCACCGACTCTCATTCGTCTTCCTCAATTATTCTCCAGAAATCCCCAAATTCGAAAAATGGCGACACAAAATCAAACCATAGATCTGACAGAGGCGATATGGACGGAGATTATAGCGAGGTTACCATTGAGAATCATCGCTAGATTCAAACTTGTGAGCAAAACATGGAAATCAACAATCGAATCACTCTATTTCCGCCGTCTATTTGTGTCTGTGCACCGAAAATCCTCTACCTCGTGGTCGCTAATGTGGTACGGATTAAAAGATCTCATAGGTTTCCATGGATGCGAGACATGGGGTCTTCCAAAGTCTCTATCTTTTTATATCCCATCGTCTCTTTACATTGTTGCGGCGTCTTCCCATGGATTGGTTATGATTTCAGAGTATGATCATGCTTGCTGCTTTGTGGGCAATCCAGTTTTACAACAATGGATCCAAATCCCTCCAGCTCCAGGTGATTCTTCTGTGTTAGGTTTGGTGACTCGCGTGGACGACTATGGCTTCGTTTTGGGCTTCAAAGTGGTTAGGTTAGCTGAAATGCGACCGACGAATAATGATGTCTCCGGTACTTTGAGTGTGTTTTTGTATTCCTCTGAGACTGGGATTTGGACTTCTAAGATAATTCACTGCCCTTGTCGAATCACCAACACTGCTTCTTTGACTTTGGATGGTTCAATTTACTTTCACCACCTTAGGGAACCTGGATTACTCGCAGCTTATGATTTCTATTCTGAATCCTCCGATCAATTTCGGGTTATACCTCTCCCAGATCATCCGAATCACGGCTTCAATCACAACTTCAAAGGTGCTTTGACTAAGTCCCACGGATTTTTCATGTATATCAGAACATTAGCTCAATCCTCGTCTAATGTTTTCAAGGCTTGGAGGTTGAACAATGATTCATCTTGGCAACTTTTGTGGAATATCGCCCTCCCGCTACTTATCGGTGATTATCTACCTATGGCAATGCATCCATTTGATAGTGACACAGTCTATCTATGGAGTCAAGATAATCGTCATGTGGTATCATGTAACTTGCGGACTCAGAAGAATAGAATCCTCGGAGCTGAAGATAATGATGATGATCATCTAGATTGTTTCTTGAACCAGCCTATTTGTGAGGAGTGTATGGATGAGATATGCAGGTATAAAATTTCTGTCAGGTTATTACAATTGGTGCTCCCACGGTGGATGGAATCGGCGCTTTGTCCTCCCCAAGTTGAGATGATAGATACATCTTCATTACATTCTTACGTTAAGTCAATGCAAGAGACAAGAAGAAGGAATTGGAACCAATGATTTCATTTTGGTTTTCTGGTTTTCTTTCTCATCTCTTACATTAAGTCAATGCAAGAGACAAGAAGAAGTAATTGGAACCAATGATTTCATTTTGGTTTTTCTGTTTTTCCTTTTCTTGTCTTTTGGTACTATCTATATAATGAAAGACAACCATATCCATATCATCCAATATTTGCTTTTCTTATTTTTCTATCAGTTCAATGACATGTTGCCATTTCATGTTTCTAAGTTGTTACACAAATTGTCACTTCCTTTGAACAAGAGTTCCTTCAATTGATGTTTTATTCCAGCCGCGCGTAGCTTCTTAAATCGAAGTGTTATCTGTCTGTTCGATGTGTTTCAAGAAATGAAACACTTAATAAAGGAGACTTGATGGAACATGAATCAAGAGCTTATAATGGAGCTGCACTTTAACCTTGAAGTTGAAGCAAGTAGAAGAAAGAAAAACCCAAAGGGATTTTGAAACCAATCTAACGGGTTGATTTCTCGCATGTTTCGATTCCCATCCAACTTATTAGAGACCCTCTTAGTCTTAGTTTCAAATACCATATAGCAGCAGCAACTAGATAGCTTAATTGATGGTTATATACTTATATCTGGTTGTAGACTTATGTCATTTGCACTTAGCTAAAGCAAACTAAAACGACGTCGTACGTTGCATATCCCATTATTGAAATGTAAGTGCCCGCTTCAAAAATTCGTAATCATAAAACCACAAGTAAGACTTGGTAGCCTCTTCTTACACAAAAATTAAAATACTATTTTAAAACAATTAAAAAATATAAAAGCAAAAAAGTTTGATCGATGAAACGAAGACCGTTGGATCAAACCATCGAATTATAAAAACTAGATCACGAGAATAATAAAAAGAAAAAAGAAAAAAGCAGAAAATTCATCTTCTTTGGTAGAAAAAAAAAAGAAAGAAAGAAAAATTCATACTTCCAAAGGAAAGGGGAAGAAAAAAAAAAAAAAAATCTCAAGTCAACAAACAACAACGAAGGTCTGAAGAACTTTGAATGTTGTTATCATCATCATCATAATAATCATAATCATCATCATCATCGTTGTTTTCGTGTCTTGGGTAATTTCTCTTGTTGACCTTCTAATTCTGTCATCTCCGATTATTGATTTTTTGTATCGAAGCCCTTTTGTCTCTTGTCTGAAATCAATCTGAAAAAAGGTTCTGTTTTTTGGGAAATGTGAAACTTTTTGTTCTCTGATTGTTTCATTTTCCGATTGTTTCAGAAGAACTGGAATCGCCGTAAAGTGGAATTTTTTTGGTTAGATTGTATAAAAGGGCGTGATTAAGGAAGAAGAAGAAGAAGATAAAAAGGGGATTTTTTGGTTGTTGTAATCTGGGAAAGTTTGGGACTTTGTATCGATCTCAGGTTTGTGATTTGATTCTGTTTCTAATTTTATTAGGCTGATCTACGATTTGATGGATTTTGCTTTTTTTTCAGATGGTGAAAAGACCAAGTCTCAGTTTGAAAACTTGATGAATTCTGGTGTTGAGAATTAGAAACTATGTGGAAACAGATTCTAAGTAAGCTTCCCAACAAAAAGTCTTCAAAGCACGAACATCGTGGTGGACGTGAACACGGTGGCCATTCTTCTTCATCTTCTCATACTTCTGGTGCCTCTACTTCGAAAAACAGTGATAATGGTACCGGGAAATCAGGGAATTCGCATGCTAAGAACGCTTCAGCTGGTGGAAAATCGGCTGCTTCTGACTCGGGTTATAAAGATGGGAATCTAAAGAATAGTGGGAACAACAACAACAACAGCAACAACAACAACAACGGAGTCTTTACTCCTTATGAAGCATTGCCGAGTTTTAAAGATGTTCCAAACACGGAAAAGCAAAACTTGTTCATAAAGAAGTTGAACTTGTGCCGTGTAGTGTTTGATTTCACAGATCCTACAAAGAATATCAAGGAAAAAGAGATTAAGAGGCAGACATTACTGGAGCTTGTGGACTATGTGAATTCTCCGAATGGAAAGTTTAGCGAAGTGGGTATCCAAGAAGTCGTTCGAATGGTCTCTGCTAACATATTTAGAACGTTAAATCCTCAACCACGGGAAAATAAAGTTATTGATGCCTTAGACCTGGAGGAGGAAGAACCTTCCATGGATCTTGCGTGGCCTCACTTGCAGCTTGTGTATGAGCTTTTCTTGAGGTTTGTTGCTTCGCCTGAAACTGACACTAAGTTGGCGAAGAGATATATAGATCAATCTTTTGTCTTGCGGTTACTCGATTTATTTGATTCAGAGGATCCTAGAGAAAGAGATTGTCTGAAAACCATTCTCCATCGGATCTATGGTAAATTTATGGTACACCGACCTTTCATCAGGAAATCCATAAACAACATCTTCTATAGGTTTGTTTTCGAAACAGAGAAACATAACGGGATTGCTGAGTTTCTTGAAATCTTGGGTAGTATCATCAATGGATTTGCTCTTCCCTTGAAAGACGAGCACAAAGTGTTTCTTGTCCGTGTTTTGATACCTCTCCACAAACCAAAATGTTTGCAAATGTATCAGCAACAATTGTCTTATTGTATCACACAGTTTGTGGAAAAGGATTGCAAACTTGCTGATACAGTTATAAGAGGATTGTTGAAATATTGGCCCGTGACAAATAGTTCCAAAGAAGTCATGTTTCTGAATGAGTTGGAGGAAGTACTCGAAGCAACTCAGCCACCAGAATTTCAACGGTGCATGGTACCACTGTTTCGCCAAATAGCCCGATGTTTGAACAGTCTGCATTTTCAGGTACCTGTCATTCTCCATTCTTTCTGAAATAATAGCACCTCACATTTTTTCTAAACTGGCGAATGTCCCGGTGCTTTGACGTTTCCTGAAAACTGCTCTGTTACTGTTAGTGTTGGGTTTGACACTCTCTAGGCCATATCGTGTTGACATACTTTAACTGTATTCTGTGTATATATGTTACATTACCAGCTTATGAGAAGTCGTTATAGCCTACCAGTTATATCAAATGGAAGAGTTGATTTTGTGGTATGGAGAGTATCAATGTTTAGGACTGTTGTATTTAGCTCTAGATGATTTCTAAGCTAAATTGATATATTAAGGCTATTGTTAAGTAGAAAGTTAAAGAAGGAAAAAAGTATCGCATTGAAAGGTATCTGTTTTGGCTAAACAGTGACTGCATATGATCTTTTAGAGGAAAACATTTGTTCATTGCATATAACTCTAGTAGGTTCAGGATCTAGTGCATTGTGACTAAAGCTTAAATCTTTGATTCAGTCTATTAAATGTATCTGTTTGAATATTGCAGGTTGCAGAGAGAGCTTTATTCTTATGGAACAACAATCACATTGAGAATCTGATAATGCAGAACCGTAAAGTCATTCTTCCAATTATATTCCCTGCGCTGGAGAGAAATGCACAGAAACATTGGAACCAAGCTGTTCATAGCTTGACACTAAACGTGCGAAAGATATTTCATGACCTTGACCCTGAGTTGTTCAAAGAATGCCTTGCTAAGTTCAAGGAAGATGAATCAAAAGCAGCTGAAATCGAAGCAAAACGTGAAGCCACTTGGAAACGATTGGAAGAACTCGGTGTGCGAAAGGCTTCATAAAGTTAGAGCTGTAGACAAGAGAGAGAGCTTCTGTGTCTTATATCGGAATTGGCATGTTCTTCAGATACATACTTGAGAAGAGAAAAGTTTCATATTGGTCTCTTCGTTTGAAACGAAAGGAAACTCAAACATGTAAGATTGTTCCCGTTTTGATTTCCATTATTTTTATTTCTTGTTAATGGGTTTATTTTTGCTACATTGTATGATGATCTCTTGTTCCACTTTCTTGAGACTTGTCTGATTCATTTCATCTTCTGCTTTGATGATACCTGCAAAAATTGCAGCTATAGGATTTGCCTCTCTAAAAGATTCAGTATGTTGGTTGTTGTATTAAATATTCTTCCTTTTGGATTTTCATTTGTATAATTTCTTCCAAATCAGGAAAAAATCGTATCTTTATAAGAAAAAAAAAACACTTTTTGTTACGAACTCAATAGAGAAATCACTGTCGAGATGTTTCAGTTCTTTGAGTTTGTGGATTCGGTTACGAACTCCACAAGTCTAGGAGGAACTCTCAAAAGATCTTCATTGAGAGATTGGTTTAGTGGTTGGATTTGAATCTTTTATTGTTGATCCATTGGTTATGACTTGAACTGAAAACACTGTCGAGATGTTTTCTCTTGTCCTGGTCAGTGAAATTTTTCTCTGGTCTTAGGGTCTTCTCTCAGTCACCATCCTCTCTTTCTCTCTCTTTCTCTCTCTTTACTCTCTAATCTTTATCCATTCTCTCTCTTCCCTCTAATCTCTATTGCCAACGAAGCAATAGCTATGAAAAGCTAAACCCTTTCTTCTTCTTCTTCTTCTTCTTCGATTGTTTAGATCACTTGGGTCAAACCCAAGTCTGCTTGTTTCTATGATTCATCAATCTAGATCTTGCTATCTGGGTCCAGAAACGATTCACGCGCTTCGTTCATGATATAAAGTTACTACCTTTTTCTTGCTTCTGGGTCATGGTTCTGTCTGCTTTTCGTCTTTTGCTTTTGTCTAGATGATTCATAATCTCTGAGATCTAGTATGTTCACAAGAGTTGTTCTTATGCGCGGTGAGATGATCTTAGGAGTAGTTCAGTATCTTTCTTCAATTCAGATTTTGAGTTTCTGAGATCTGTTTTTTTTGCTTAAAGAATCCGATCTGAGTTTGAGGAAGTTGACTAAATAGATCGAAAGATGTTTAAGCAGATACTTGGGAAGCTTCCTAAGAAAACTTCTGCTAAGTTTTGGGATAATGGTGAATCCCAAACTGTAGATAACAACAATCAAGGAGGTGATGAAGTTTTAAGTCAGAGATCATCATCAAATGGAGATACTTTGGATTGTGTTTCTTTTGATGTATTGCCAAGGTTGAGAGATGTTTCCATCTCTGAGAAGCAAGAACTGTTTCTTAAGAAGCTTAGACTATGTTGTGTTGTGTTTGATTTCGTCGCCGAGCCTCAACAGAACTTCAAGGAGAAAGAGATCAAAAGGCAAACACTTCTTGAAGTTGTGGATTATGTTATCTCTTCAGGGAATGGGAAGTTTCCTGAATCAGTTATTCAAGAAGCTACAAAGATGATTTCGGCGAATCTCTTTAGTAGTCCTCATCGGCAATGGAAGAACAAAACTCCTGAAGCATTGGATATGGAAGAAGAAGAAGGATCTTTGAATCCTTCTTGGCCTCACTTGCAGATTGTTTATGAGTTCCTTCTAAGAATCGTCGCGTCTCCCAACACTGACCCCAAGATATCCAAGAAATACATTGATCATACATTCGTTCTCAAGCTATTGGATTTGTTTGATTCTGAAGATCCTAGGGAAAGAGAGTATCTGAAAACGATACTTCATCGGATCTACGGGAGGTTTATGGTTCATCGCCCATTCATCAGGAAAACTATGAACAACATCTTGTATGATTTTATATTCGAGACCGGGAAACACTCAGGAATCGCCGAGTTTCTTGAAGTTTTAGGATCCATCATCAATGGATTCGCTTTACCACTCAAGGAAGAACACAAGCTCTTCCTTACTCGTGTCTTAATTCCTCTACACAAACTGAAATGCTTACCAAATTACCATCAGCAGCTTTCTTATTGCGTTATACAGTTCGTTGAGAAAGATTGTAAGCTCGCGGATACCGTAATTAGAGGGATGTTGAAGTACTGGCCCGTTACTAATAGTTCTAAAGAAATCATGTTCTTGAATGAATTGGAGGAGATATTAGAAGCAACTCAATTAACAGAGTTTGAACGGTGTATGATTCCGCTCTCTCGCCAAATTGCTCAGTGCTTAAGCAGTTCTCACTTTCAGGTACATTTAAGAGTTTATTAGGTACACTTACCTGATTGTTAGATTCTTGAATTGTTCATAAAAATCAACTGCTTGTGTGATTAGGTAGCGGAACGGGCTTTATACTTATGGAACAACGATCATGTCACTAATTTGGTGAGACAGAACAGTAGAATCATTTTACCGATAGTGTTTCCCGCTTTGGAGAAAAACGGTAGCAGCCATTGGAATCAGGCTGTGAAGAACTTGACCGAGAATGTTCTCAAGGTTCTGTCCGATACAAATCCAGATTTATTCGAAGAATGTTTGCGCAAGTTCCAAGAAGATCAGCAAAAAGCAGAAGATACTAAAAAGAAGAATGGAGAAACCTGGAGACAGCTAGAGGAGATTGTTGCTTCAAAGGGACACACATCAATGGCGAAGTAAGAGTTTTTTCTGCACTTTATGCGATGCAACAAGAATCGGTTTATTGTTTTGTTTTGTTTTCTTTACGCCTGAAAGGTATATACATTTACTTTGCTTTGCTTGCTTCAAGTCTCTGGTTTCGACTTCAAGACTAGTTTAATTCAGTTAAACAGTGTGAGATTTTAGCCAAATGTTGTTGTCCTCTTTCAGATCTTGATTTGTCTGTATACTTCGTTCATGTAAACATCTTGTTATGAAAACACGAATTTTCTATTGTCTGAAGTCACTTAGTTTATAGGTGAAAGAGATTGCTCTAATATAAAAATTGGTTCTGGAATAATGGTTTTGTCTTTTAGTATACAGAGGATCTATTGGCATTTTCCTGCAAGAATATTTGGATTTTGTCTGTTAAAAGGTTCTGTTACTCCAGGTTTATTCTTCTAACCAAGAAACCGAAGAAAAGCTCTCTGCGATGACTCTTGGTCGGTTTTTCGTCAGGAGGTTTCATCAGATGAGAGTTGATGTTATCTCCAGAGATATCATCAAACCGTCATCTCCAACTCCAAACCACTTAAAGAAGTTTCAACTCTCTCTTTTAGAACAGCTCGGTCCAACGATCTTTGGTCCTATGGTTTTCTTCTATTCAGGTAACAACAGAATCAAACCAGCTGAGCAATTGCAGAAGCTGAAGAAGTCGTTATCTGAAACTTTAACCCATTTCTACCCTCTCGCTGGACGGCTCAAAGGCAACATAAGTATCGATTGTAATGACTCGGGCGCTGATTTCCTCGAAGCAGAAGTCAATTCCCCGCTTTCGAGTCTCCTACAAGAGCCTTCTTCGGACAGCTTGCAACAACTGATTCCTACATCAGTTGATTCCATAGAGACAAGAACCAGACTCCTTCTTGCTCAAGCGAGTTTCTTTGAATGTGGAAGCATGGCTATAGGAGTTTGTATCTCTCATAAACTCGCTGACGCGACTTCTATCGGTTTATTCATGAAGAGCTGGGCTGCAATCTCGTCCCGAGGGTCTATCAAAACTGTTGGAGCTCCGGTTTTCGACACGGTTAAGATCTTCCCACCTGGAAACTTCTCTGAGACTTCCCCTGTACCAGTGGTTGAGCCAGAGATCATGATGAATCAGACTCTTTCGAAGAGATTCGTATTCGATTCTTTAAGTATTCAAGCCCTGCAAGCAAAAGCTTCAAGCTTTGAAGTGAATCAACCTACAAGAGTCGAAGCTGTTTCAGCTCTTATATGGAAAACTGCAATGAAAGCTACAAGAACAGTTTCAGGAACATTGAAACCGTCGATTCTGGCAAACTCCGCGAGTCTGCGCTCTCGTCTCTCTCCACCATTCACAAAGAACTCAATCGGTAATCTAGTGAGCTACTTTGCAGCAAAAGCAGAGGAAGGAATACACCAGACAAAGCTTCAAACTTTGGTTTACCAAATCCGAAAAGCGAAACAGAGGTTTCGAGATAACCATATACCAAAACTTGTAGGTAACCCAAATGCTACAGAGATCATTTGTAGCTACCAGAAAGAAGCAGGAGATATGATTGCAAGTGGAGATTTCGATTTCTACATCTTCTCGAGTGCTTGTCGGTTCGGTTTATACGATACCGATTTCGGTTGGGGAAAACCGGTTTGGGTCGGGATTCCTACGGTTAGACAGAAGAACATCGTGACGCTTCTCGACACAAAAGAAGCTGGTGGAATCGAAGCTTGGGTGAATCTATATGAACAAGAGATGAATCTTTTTGAACAAGATAGAGAAATGCTCCAATTCGCTTCTCTGAATCCTAGTGTGATCCAACCTTTTCTCCATGTTCTTTGATTCTAAGTCCGGTTTAATGAGCTAAACCGGATAAATTTGTTGAAATTGGTTCTATTTTGACTAGCCGTTAGGAGGCCACTAAAAACGTTAAAATTCAAATAACGGGCAAAATTTGGTGATGTAATAAATAGTCCTGAAGAATCACTTTTTATGATATATAATAATAAATTCAGAAGTCATTTTAAAGCAATTTCATGTTAAAATTAAAAACAAGTCTTTGTCATATTTTTTTCATAAAGACACTTTCAAAACTTTTATTACTTTCTACAATTATTAATTTAGCACTAAAGATAAAATTTAACTTGAAGCACACTCTCATTTAATACTAAATGTCAAATATTAGTGTTTATTATTAACTAATATTTAAACAAGAGGACAACAAGAATTACCAAAATGATAATTGATAGCTAATAAAAACATCCACATGTAAAGACTAAATATAGTACAAAATAAAATAAAATAAAAATTCTATAAAATGTAAACATAATATTTTTTCATTAATTTATTTCTTGTTTAGCACTTGTAAACACTAAACACTAGTGTATATAATAATTATATTATTCCAAATTTAGATAAAACGTTTTCTATAAATGACGTAATAAAATAAGGAAGTGGCCGTTGGGGAAATTTAAATCATATGCTTAGAGTTCGGACCTACTTTCAGATTTGCAGCCGAAGAAGCTTTCAGATTTTTTAGTTTTCAGTTTCTCAGCGAAACCACCAGATTTGGGGATAAAATTAGGGTTTTTGGATCTCCAGCAAAAAACAATGGGAGAATCAATTTGCCTTGTGAGATCTTTCTCGCAACCTGCAGAGTTTTCATTGCATGAAATCAACAACGAGGTTAGTGTTTCAGATTTGTGAATCTACTTCGATTTCGTGGATTCAAGATACAATCTTGGATTTAGGGTTTTGATTCTAGGAATTTGAGATTTGAGATTTGGTTTTGCAGGTGGTTCCTAATCGTGTGCTTACGGAATCAGTATCGTTTGGTAGATTTGCGAATGAAACACTAGCGTGGGAGAGATGGTCAGCTTTTACTCAGAATCGTTACTTGGAAGAGGTTGAGAGGTTTACTAAACCTGGTTCTGTGGCTCAGAAGAAAGCTTTCTTTGAAGCTCATTTCAAGAACCGAGCTTCCGGGAAAGCGACACAGACGAAGAAGATCGAAGAAGTTAAAACCGGTGATGAGATTGTATGTGAGATACCAAAGGATATTCTCGTTGATTCAGAAGTGATACTAGTGGTGTCTAATGGTGAGGTGGATGAAACAACTGATGTGAAAACTGGCGAAGTGGAGAGCCTGAAGTCAGTAGTTGTTCTTGAAGACAATGGTCTTGATGAGGTAATGCATCAAATTCATTTTTTGTTACATTGGAATTTTATGTTTTGTTCTATTCTCTCAACGTCCATGGTGTTTTTCAGGAGAATTCTACTTCTTTGAGCAAAGAAAGACCTCCTAGTTGTTCGGGATCGAAGGTCTCAAGTTCAAAAGTGGAACCTTCCGTTGTTATAGAACTGGATCATTCACTTAACAACACTAGCAAAGAGTCATCCTTGAGTAGTACAAGGTCACTTAGTGTATCTAAGAACCGAAGTAGATCACCTCCTGAATCCGTTCAAATGTCAATCAGCTGTGCTCCTTCTGGTAGTACCGAGAAAAAAATTGTCAGGATGCCCCAAAACGGTGCTGAGAGTGCAGTGAAAGCAGACAAGAAGAAGAGATCAGGTCCGAGTTCAGTTCACATGTCACTCAATCTTGCTTCTTCTGCTCGTCTTACGACCAAAGAAGCCCCAAAACCCTTGGCAAGAAACTCCATTACACAGGAAACAACTTCATCAAAAGCTAGAAACAAAGTTTTGCCAAAGAGAAACGAACCAACAGGAGCTTCAAAAAGCCGCAAGAGACCATTTTCTCAGACATCCAAAGAAGGTTTTAAAGCTGCAAAATGTTCAACCAGCGTAATTCTCTTCCCGAGTATCTCTCATTGCGTATTTCCTATGCATATTTGCTGAGACTGACTCTTGCATGTATTGCAGGCCTCTGCTGTCACATTACCCGAACTTCCTCCTCTCAGTAATCAGCTATCAGAAAACAAAAGGTTACTGATCCACCCATCTTCAACACAATTTATCGCTTTACGCTATTACTTACTAACTTGGCTTCTTCTTATATACAGGAAAAACATAACTGTAGGGAAATCAATTTCGAGCAGAATACCCAACAATGTGCAAAGACAACCTTCTGTCCGGTAAGCGGATTAAGTAACAACCTCTTGGAGTTAGAGAAACACTTACTATCTTATGTTACTTACTGAAATGGCATGAGTTGGTTAATTGAAAGTGTTTGTGTTAGTTCCCTGATTTATGTGGAACTAACGAGATGTTTTTGTCTAATGCATTTGCAGCTGTGAAAATCTTTCAACTCATAGCAGAACCAAAGCAAAGTCTTTGACTGTATCTTCTCCCTTCATCTTCAGAAGTGATGAAAGAGCAGAGAAGAGGAAAGAGGTAGAACTAAAGAATACTCTTAATTTATCTTTCAGATCAGAGGACTTATAGAGCCATAGTTTAATGAAGTGTTGTGGCTGTGTCTTGTCTGTTAGTTCTTCAAGAAGGTAGAAAAGAACAAGAAAGAGAATACTGGAAAAGATACATTTTCTTGCGGCTTCAGGGTAAATCAAAACACTCACTTAGCATCTAAAGAACACAAGAACTCACAAGTTGGTGGTTTTCAGGTATAGTAGAAAGCTAACTTATCAGACTGTAACTTGTCATAGTTTTTGTCATTGAATCTTGATGTATGATGACATTATAATCATCTGCAGGTACGACCGATAACCCTGACTTCACCAAGATTCCGCAGGAACCAAACTCCAGGAAAAGAGAACATAAAAACTCCCCATAAAGCTTCCTCAATGAAGATCATAAACACCAAAAAAGTAGTCATGGAGAAACAAAAAAGCAGCAAGATTCATCCCTCCAAACCACAGACAACAAAAAAAACTCAAGAAAATATGTCTCCTAATATTCTGCAGAATTAAGGTACATACATCAGAGACAAACCCCATCAATCATTCCTCTTCTTCAAACCTCTAGTTCATCGTAAAGATTCGGCTTTTCACTTTGAAGATTCCGAAAGTTTTGTCCTTTCAGCTCGTAATCTCATCTCAAGCTTATGGTATAGGTAACTAGCCCTTGATTGAACCACAAGCTTTTAAGGAGCTGTGTAGAATAGATAGAACTCTCAAGTCTTCATACAACTATGTACTCAATAGTTCTGTGTCTCAATCTTGTATCATTTGTCTACATAGAGATATGAAATAAAGAACACATTTCAAGGTCTAGTTTTCAATTCTATTGGTTCTTTCTCATTGTTTTCTTTCTTGATTTAGTATAGACAGAGGAAGAAATACAAGAAACATTTGTTTTAAAACGACGTCGTAATGTGTGATGTTGTGTTGTTGTGGTGTGGGCCTCTCGTTTCAGAGGAAAGAGAAAAATCTTATCTCTGTGGACTGTGATTGTGTGATGTTTCCCTATCTTCATCTTCTTCTACTCCATGCTCTAACCACGTCCTTTTAGAGGAAAAGAAAAAAAATGGCTGCTTCATCTTCCTCTTTCACTCTCTGTAATCACACCACACTTCACACTCTCCCTCAGAGGAAGACCCTTGTCACCAAAACCCATTTTTCAGTTCCCACAAAATCATCAGAATCTAATTTCTTTGGCTCCAGACTCACTCACTCGTCGAATCTCTCCCCAGTCTCTTCCTCTTCTCTCAAAAGCTTAATCTTTGCCAAGGTACATTTCACGAATCTTGCTTTGATAGATTGTTTGCTACAATTGGGTAACAACTAGTTCTGGGAATTAGCTTCTTTGTTAGACCAATGTTGTTTGGACAATTTAAGTTGTGTTCCTAGACAACTGCTGTAGTAATCTCTGCCAACTTTTTCTTATATGTTTTTGCCTTCGATCCCAAGATATACATGTAAAAATTGAGTATTTTGGGTCTGAATTTGAATGTTATGATGATAGATTCATGAATGTGTTAGTGCAGAATCAAAGACAAAATCAGCAAACCTCAAATCAAAGAAAATTGTAATCAGTGTTTGGTTTAGAGACCATAAACTTTCACATACCTCAAAATAAGCAAATGCTAGAATGCTCTTGAATATTCAATCCTCTATTAGATTATCTCTGAACTCTCTTTAACCTTCTTTGAATTGTTCTCTTTTGTGATGTTTTGTGGGCAGCAGGTTAACAAGGGTCAGGCTGCACCAGACTTCACATTGAAGGATCAGAACGGAAAGCCGGTGAGCCTCAAAAATTATAAAGGGAAGCCTGTTGTTCTCTACTTCTACCCTGCAGATGAATCCCCTGGCTGCACCAAACAGGTCTTTAAGTTTTACTCTCTTCTCTTTTCCGCATTCGTCGCGGGTATTTAGTATTGTTAAAACGTAAATGGTTTCACTTTTATACGACAGGCTTGTGCTTTCAGAGACTCTTATGAGAAATTCAAGAAAGCCGGTGCAGAGGTCATTGGAATTAGTGGTGATGACTCTGCTTCTCACAAGGTACACACATCATAAGCTGATTTCTGAATAAAAAAACCGATTTTGTTTTACGGGTTTTAAAGAGGGTTTGGGACTTTAAACATTGTTGCAGGCGTTTGCAAGCAAATACAAACTACCGTATACTTTGTTAAGCGACGAAGGGAATAAGGTGAGAAAAGATTGGGGAGTGCCAGGAGACTTGTTTGGGGCATTGCCAGGGAGACAGACTTACGTCCTTGACAAAAACGGTGTTGTTCAGCTCATCTACAACAACCAGTTCCAGCCTGAGAAACACATCGACGAGACCTTGAAGTTCCTCAAAGCTGCTTGATCATTCTCTCCTTCTTCTTCTTTTCTGCATGTCTCATGTCTGGCTCCATGACCTTCCTATCTTGTTTCTGTTGATTATGAATTTTCAATAATACCATGTTATACCAATGAGAAGAGAGTTGGCTTTTGTCTGGTACAAAGCTCACAACGAGATAAGTACTAAAGAGTGGTTAAAATGTTGGTCAGAGTTGGATTGGCAAAGACTATTGTAACATACATTAGAGACAAACCCGACCAACCATTTATCGAGTTTTGCTTCTTTAACCTTGATAATATCATAGTAAAGATCCGACTTTTCACGTTGAAGATTCCGAAAGTTTTGACCTCTCAGCTTGTTATCTCATCAAGCTTATGATATAGGTTACTCTAGCCCTTGATTCAAATTGTGAAACATAAAGCTTTCTTGATTTTAACTATAGAGATTGGAACTCAAGTCCCAACTTTGTATCATTTCATTTGTATATATATATTAAGATTGAGCCTGTCTATTCTAAAAACAATTTTCTCATTGTGTTTCTTTCTTGATTTTAGTATAGACAGGAATAAAGGTAGAGCCTTTGGCTAGTTGTATGAATATGGCAAAGCTCTCTTTTTCACATTTGTATATTTGTATCAAAACGACGTCGTAATGAGTCGGCAACACTGAGGACCTCTCGTTTCATCAGACGGAAACAAAATAAAAATCTTATCTTTGTGTCAGCGGTGGTGGTGTGTGATGTTGTCAGCCATGGCAAAGACAGAGCAACAACGATCTCTCTCTTTTCCCTTCTTCCGTTTCTGTCTTTAAACAGACTCTCTTTAAAACGAAGCAGTGCTCTTAAAAACTCCATTGGAAAAGCTTTGTTCTGTATTGATTCCATGGCTTTACCTTCTTGCTTAAAGACTGGAGTTTTAATGTCTCCGGCCACTGGAATTAATTTTTCCGGCAGTCTGATGAAGTTGGACAGTGGCTTTGCCGTTCCGACAAAGTTACAGAGTAATCGAAAAGGTGATCGAGAGAGACTGAGAATCCAAGCTGTCTTCAGTTTCCCTCCTGCGTTTCTGACAAGAAACGGTCGAGCTGAGAAACAGAAACAGCTCAAACAAGAACTTCTTGAAGCCATTGAGCCTCTTGAACGTGGTGCTAAGGCTTCGCGTGATGACCAGCTTCGTATTGATCAGGTTCTTAATTTCTCTTCCTTTAGGAACCATTAGGGTCTAGATAGTGTGACTGAGAGACAAATCTGAGTGACTTTTTTGTTTGTTTGGAGACAGTTAGCGCGTAAAGTGGAAGCTGTTAATCCCACCAAGGAGCCTTTGAAATCTGATTTGATCAATGGGAAATGGGAGCTCATTTATACAACTTCTGCTTCGATTTTGCAGGCAAAGGTTAGAACTTGGAAATCTTTGGAAACTTGTGTTGTTGTTTGTTTTTGGCTTTGTTGTGTGATTGGCTCTATCTATGCAACAGAAACCAAGGTTCTTAAGATCAATTACCAACTATCAATCTATCAATGTGGATACATTGAAGGTGCAAAACATGGAGACTTGGCCTTTCTATAACTCGGTAATGTTTCAAACCGCTGAATTCTCTTTTTTGTACCATCTCACAAGTAGGTTCGCAATGTTTTAGACCATATACTAAGCTCCTTTTTCTATGATGTGGAAACCTATCAATGTTATCCATTGATATAGATGGTTAAGATGTACGAAAGTGTGTAAATCTAAGTAGCTCACATATAAGATCACGTTTCATTGTGGCTTGACTTGGCACTAAACAAAGGATTAAGACCAAACTTTTTATCATCAATATAGCTCTTTGGAGAGTTTTTGCTTTATGTAAGTAATATTCCTTTAGCAGAGTTTGTAAAATGAGTCTCACATATTAGCAAACTACAATGTTTTCATAGGTAACTGGAGACTTGACACCCCTCAATTCGAGGAAGGCTGCTGTGAAACTCCAAGTGTTTAAAATTCTCGGCTTTGTAAGTACACTAAAACTCTTACTGCTATATGTGTGTGTCTATAAGGGGAACCTTTACTGATTCAGACACCATAAGCTTCTTTTACTTGTTATGCTGTGCAGATTCCTGTAAAAGCACCTGATAGCGCCCGCGGTGAACTAGAGATTACCTACGTAGACGAGGAACTACGGTCAGTAGGGAATGAACGTTTTCATTTCTATCAAACAAACATCCGAAGCGTTTGAATCTTAAAACAATGTTGATTTTTTGCAGGTTATCAAGGGGTGACAAAGGGAACTTGTTTATACTGAAGATGTTCGATCCCACTTATCGAATCCCTCTCTGATCTATCGAAAAAAAAACGGTTCTGAGCCATCATCATACATACCTTATATGGCTTGTTCTATCTCTCTTCATCATGTATGTAATCTAACATAAAGTCTAATAAGAGAGAATAAAAAGAGACGAGCTTTTGTCATTTTTTCAACTTGTTCAAATCAAAGATTCTGAATCTTGATTTGGTTGAATTGTGCTTACTTGATCAATTGGCTCCAATCCTAAACTATATGATGCTCAAGCAGTACAACTTACGAGACCTCGAAGTTCCTCAAAGCAGCTTAAGATCATTCTCTCTTTTTCTTTCTTCATCTTTCATGCATGTCTCATGTCTGGCTCCATGACCTTCCTATGTTGTTTCTGTTGATTTTAAATTTTCATAACACTAATTTAAACCAATTGGTTATGGTCTGGTACAAAGATCACAACCGGACAAGGATTGAAAATTGGTTAAAGTGATGGTCAGAGTTGGTTGGTTCTGTTGAACCAGGAAGAAAGGTAGAGCCTTTGGACAATTTGAAGAATATGGCAAAGCTCTGCTTTTCCACATTCGTTTCAAACGCCGCCGCCGCCGTTATGAGTCAGAAACAACGAGGGCCTCTCGTTTAGAAGAAGAGAGAGAAAAACATCTTATCTTTGTGACTTTCGGTGGTGTGTGATGTTGTTGTCGGCCATGGCGGAGAAAGATCAACGATCTCTCTCTTTTTCCTTCTTATGTGTCTATCTTCGGACTTCGAACAGAGTCTCTCTGAAACGAAGCAGCGACTCTTGAAACTCCATTGGAAAAACTTTTTGGCCTGTTTTGATATCCATGGCTTTACCTTGGTGCTTAAAGACTGAAGTTTTAATGTCTCCTCCGGCCGCCGGATTTAGTCTTCCAGGCAGTCTTATGAAGTTGGACAGTGGCTTTGCCGTTCCGACAAAGTTACAGAATATTCGTAAAGGTGATCGGGAAAGATTGAGAATCCAAGCTGTTTTCAGCTTTCCTCCAAGAAACGGTCAAGCCGAGAAGCGGAAACAGCTCAAACAGGAACTTCTTGAAGCCATTGAGCCTCTTGAACGTGGTGCCACTGCGACGCCTGATGATCAGCTTCGGATTGATCAGGTTCTTGATTTCTCTTCCTGTGGGAACCATTCTTGAGAACAGTTTTGGTACACTAGGGTCTAGAGAATGTGACCGAGAGATTAATTTGAGTGATTTTTGTTTGAATCGTGGTAGTTAGCACGTAAGGTGGAAGCACTAAACCCAACCAATGAGCCTCTGAAATCTGATTTAATCAATGGGAAATGGGAGCTCATTTATACAACATCTGCTGCGATTTTGCAAGCAAAGGTTAGAACTTGTTGTTGTTGTTGTTGTTGTTGTGTATATCTTTCTTTCTTTTGCCTTGTTGTGTCATTTTCTCTGTCTCTTTGACAATGTAACAGAAACCAAGCTTCTTAAGATCAATAACAAACTACCAATGTATCAATATGGATACACTAAAGGTGCAAAGAATGGAGACTTGGCCTTTCTATAACTCGGTAGTGTTTCAAACCGCTGAATTCTCTTTTCGTACCATTTTCACAAGTAGGTTTTGCGACTTTGCGTTGTGTTAGACCATATACGAAGCTCTTTTCTCTGTGATGTGGAAACCTATTGATGTGATCCATTGCTATAAATGGTCAACATGTACAAAAGTTTTGTGACTTTGTCACATGTATGTATGATCACGTTCCATTGTGGCTGACTAGGCAAGAACAAAGGAGAAGTAATACCAAAAGTTTTCTCATCTTTGGAGAGTAATATTCCTTTGGCAGAGTATGTAAAATGAGACTCATATATTATAGCAAACTACAATGTTTTCCTAGGTAACTGGAGATTTGACACCCCTCGATTCGAAGAAGGTTGCTGTGAAACTCCAAGTGTTTAAAATTCTCGGCTTTGTAAGTATACCAAAACTCTTGCTGCTATAAGAGAACATGTACTGACTCATACACCATATGTTCTTTTACTGATTAGTGTTTGCTGTGTAGATTCCTGTAAAAGCACCTGATAGCGCCCGCGGTGAACTAGAGATTACTTATGTGGACGAGGAACTACGGTCAGTAGTGATTTGAATGATAGTTTTCATTTCTATGGAAGTGACAACCAAAAACGTTTGAATCTTAAAACAATGTTCTTTTTTTACAGGATATCAAGGGGCAAAGGCAACTTGTTGTTTATTTTGAAGATGTTCGATCCCACTTATCGAATCCCTCTCTGATCTATCGAAAAAATGGTTTCGAGCTATCAATACATACCTTAAACACTTCATATGTAATCTAACATAAATCTGCCATAAAATTTAATAAGAGAGAATAAAAAAGACGAGCTTTTGTAAACGTTTCAACTTGTTCTGATCGACATTGCACAATATCAGATAACATGCTCAAAAATTGAGGAAGCTCACGGCGATACTCCAGTTTCAAAGGGACTCCATTGATGTTGTTTGTTGCTTGCTGCTTCTTGAGATAATAATACAGACAATTATATCATCCTTTTGAAAGTTTTGTGATACTAGCATTTGCATCTAACTGGTTTGGTTTTAACTCACCAACCTTGCTCCCTATAAGGCTATTAATAACTTCTTTTTTATGTCAACAACCAAGCAAGACTTTAATTTTGATTTTGACAACTTTTGGTAATATGTCACCTAATTAGAATTCACTAGTTGTTCTGCTTTAGAATCTTAACAGAATCTAAAACTCAAGCATACCTCTGAGTCATGGTAGATGGTGACATGGTGTGTAGGGCCAACCACACCTCACTGTACTGATGATGTCTGATGGACCCTCTCTCACACACACACATGCACATAAATTTACATATTCTAAATACAATCTCTGTATATAATAACTTCTTCTGTCTTCAAAGTTTCAGAACAAGGTTCCTATCTCTCATCCAACGGTCATTAACTCATTATTCACTCCAACCCCGCTCCTCTTCTTCTTCTTCCAAACATGTCTCAGAAGCCAAAGCATATATCTTTAGTTATGGCTTCACTTGTAACTCTTTATCTTTTGGCCACTTTATTATCTTCAGCAGAGTCCAAGACTTACTGGGGTGATGTGGCAGCTCTCAAAGACTTGAAAAACTCAGTAGATGCCAAATCGATGCGTCCAGGCTCTTGTCTAAGTACCTGGGACTTCTCCGTCGATCCCTGCGACAGTGTCTTCAGCGACACATTCACTTGCGGGCTCCACTGCGTATCGGGTCGGGTCACGGAGCTTAGTTTTGACCAAGCCGGTTACTCCGGCTCCCTCTCCTCCTTCTCCTTCAACCTCCCTTATCTCCAAACCCTCGATCTCACCGGCAACTACTTCTCCGGTCCAATCCCCGACTCACTCTCCAATCTCACTCATCTCACCCGCCTCGCCCTCTCCGCAAACTCCTTCTCAGGATCCATACCCGATTCTCTCGGGTCGTTGTCGCTTCTCGAGGAGCTCCTCCTCGACAGTAACCGTCTCGACGGCTCTGTTCCGGTGAGTTTCAACGGTCTTTCCAACCTAAAACGGCTAGAGATCCAGGTCAACAACATCTCCGGCGAGTTCCCCGATCTGAGCTCACTCAAAAACCTGTATTACCTCGACGCTAGCGATAACCGCATCTCGGGTCGGATCCCATCATCGCTACCGGAATCTCTAGTCCAAATCTCAATGCGAAACAACCTCATCCATGGAACCATCCCTCAAAGCTTCAAACTTTTCAACTCTCTCCAAGTGATCGATCTTACCCACAACAAACTCAGCGGCTCAATCCCATCATTCATCTTCACTCATCAGTCTCTACAGCAACTAACACTATCCTTCAATGGCTTCACCTCTTTAGATTCACCTTACTATTCCCCTTTGAGTCTCCCCAGCGAGCTCATATCCATCGATCTCAGCAACAACCGGATCCAAGGCATGTTACCTCTGTTCTTGGGTTTATTACCAAAGCTCTCAGCTTTGTCCTTGGAGAACAACAACTTCTTTGGTATGATTCCGACCCAATACGTTTGGAAAACCGTATCGTCCGGATCCGATTTCGCAGGGTTTCAGAGACTCTTATTAGGCGGGAATTTCTTATTCGGTGTCGTACCGGGTCCTTTGATGGCCCTCAAGCCTGGCTCAACGAACTTGCAGCTCGCCGGAAACTGCTTCTCGTGGTGTCCAGCGACCTTGTTCTTCTGCCAAGGGCAAGAGCAGAGATCTCCCACGGAATGCAGAAAGTTTAGCCGTCTTATTCCATGATCTTCTTGTTTCTTGTTACATTCTCTTTATCTCTTGAATAACGCAACATAAACCAAGCTTTTGTCAATGTGGTTACATCAGAGGCTTGCCTTTTCTATAACACAGTAAAGTTTCAATTTTTTCGATCACAATAAAAAAATTTGTTTTTTTTTTTCCATCTTTCTTGGTGTGTGTTTAAACGACGCCGTCCGAAGCTGGTGCGACACAGACCTCTCGTTTCGTGTCGTCAAATAGCTTTCTTCTGCCTTCTTCCCGTCAAAACTCTTCCTTTTGTGTGTTTTGGAAACAGAGTCTCTATGAATCGAAGCAACATACAACTTAAGAAAAAAACAGACGAAAAATTCTGATGGGTTTCATCGCTCTGCAATCTTGGAGCAGAGGAGCTTCAACTTCTCTTCACCTCCTTCGTCCAGGTAGGTAAGTTCGATTCCTAAGTCCGTATAATCATATTTTGTGTATTCGATAATTGATTTTGAACTTTTTTTGGTTGAATTGTGCTTACTTGATCAGTTGGCTCCAACCCTAAGCTATATGATGCTCCACTAGTACAAGCAGTTACTGTAAGATTCTTAGATTCTACCTCTTCTTGGTCGGAATACAATCTGCTAACAGATATGATCTAATTGTCTGATTATTACTCCTATATTTAGGGTTTTAAGTTTGATGTAAGAGCTTCTTCGAGTCGTAAATCACTTAAGAAACTTAGAAGAGAGTCTCAACAAGGTAAAGACATAACCACAAGAAATGTTACAGAAGAAGAAGTTTCTTCTCCAAAGTTTGAGGAAGCTCAAGTTGATACTCCAACTTCAAAGGATTCTACCGATGCTGTTGTTGTTGCTCCTCGAGACAAAGTGCTTCAGGCGTGTACTGTAACTTCTGGTTCAATGGCTGCACTAGGTCTGATCATCAGAAAGGTGGAATCCTTTTGTCTTTTGAAAGTTTAGGTTTTTGTGATTCTAACATTTGTATCTAACTTATTTGGTTTCTACTCGCAGGCGTCTCATGTTGCTTCGACTGAAGGATTACCGGTTCCAGATTGCTCTATAGATGTACCATGTAACATCTCTAAAAATCAGATTATGTGGTGTACTCATAATCCTTTGAGAGAATTATTAAACAAAACTGGATTTTGTATTGTCTGTTCTTTCTTGCAGTTGGGTTTGAAACTTGGCATCTCGGTTTAATTGCTGGAATCGTTGTGTTTATATCGTCAAGTAGGTTCTTGCTACTTAAATCTTGGCCAGATTTTGCTGATTCTAGTGAAACAGCAAACCGACAGGTAAAAACATTAGTCATTACATTGCTATGGTTCTCTAAACTCCGCTTAATCGCTTCCTTTGGATTCACTACTTGCAGATTCTTACTTCGCTTGAACCTTTAGATTATCTTGTGGTTGCAATGTTACCTGGAATTAGTGAGGTAACAATTTAACAATCAAGGATACAAGCACAAAAAGTATTTCCTTTAAAATATTTGGTTCATTGGTTTGATTGATGATCCACAGGAGATGCTCTTTAGAGGTGCATTAATGCCTTTGCTTGGAACCAATTGGAACGGTATTGTAGCGGTTGGACTCATTTTCGGTTTACTTCATCTTGGGAGTGGAAGAAAGTATTCTTTTGCAGTTTGGTAAGCCATTTTTACTGAATATTTTGGTACCTCAATGATGATGAGAATCACCATGATCATTTCTTTGATTGCATTCACATGTTCTTGCATTTCTTTATCGCATTTCCGGGGCTTACCTATTAAGTTCTGTTGCGGTTTCTTGAAATTTTCAGGGCATCGATTGTCGGTATAATCTACGGTTATGCAGCTGTTCTATCTTCGAGTCTTCTTGTTCCGATGGCCTCGCACGCGCTCAACAATTTGGTCGGAGGTCTGTTGTGGCGACATAGTGCCAAGATCAAGTCATTGGAGTGAAAGCAAACAAAATTTACAAAGGGGCTGAATTGAAAAGTATACAATTTTAATGGGTGGGTTTGTCAAATATCTAAGTATAGGGTGGTTATTGTAATTTTTAAGGTTAATCTACCAACGTCTCACACAAAGGACAAAGTGAAAATTGGATCTCTCATAATTAATAAAGTGAAAAGTGAAAAACCAATCATAAAATTTCTTGTTTTATTTCTTAAATTTACAATTGGTTTAATTAAGTTTTTTTTTTTAATTACTGTTAATGTTAAGTACTGGTATTAAACATTTTTAATGAATTAATTGAAGAATAATGTTACTGGAAAAAGAAGTGTTTTTTTTTTCCTGGTCAAAAAAGTCAGAGGAACAGAGAAACGTGAACAATGGAGAGACAAAGACGTCTCTTCTCTTGTGCGAAGTGTGAATTTTTTTAAAGTTTCTGTTTTTCTAAATTCCAACATCGATAAATCAAGTTTCTTTCTTTTATTGAAATTTGCACACTTTACCTTGACATTAAAGCAACAAGCTTTGAAACAAACAAAAAATCACAAAAACCCAGAAATCGAGTGGAGAAGAGAGAGCTGATATGCTACAATAGAAATGGCGAGTGGATGTGCTATACATGGTGGTTGTCCCAGCGATTACGTCGCCGTCGCAATTTCAGTAATCTGCTTCTTCGTGTATGCGTTCCTTCTTCTTCTGTTTGAGCTCATTTCATCACTTTTTTCTCTAAGTTGTGAAGATCTGGATTTTTCATTTACTGGGTTTGCTTGTTGACTCTTGACTTGAGTCGTCCTCGACGAAAAAATCTCGAATTTTGGGTTTTTGAATGTTCGTACGATGTCTCTCTTTGCTGTTTAATTATTTGTCTTGTAAGTGTTTGATGTTATGTCTCAAAGGATCTGTCTTTTGTTTCGTTTCAGTTTCTTTTGCTGGGAATTTAGAAATTTTCAGTATCTTGATAGCAAGATTCAATTACTTATGTCCTAACCAGTGAATGATCTTAGATTTGAAGTTCAAAAGCTTGATTTGAGTGAATTATCTTCCAAGTAGCTCAATTTCTCTACTAGTTGATTCTATCTGATGGATTTCACTTTGTTTATTAGGCTTCTATCGCGCTCGGTGTTACCGTGTTTGATTCACAAGGCTCCTCGTACTAACAGTAGCAGTTTCTGGATCCCTGTTATTCAAGTTATCGCCAGCTTCAACCTTCTGTTCTCAATTATGGTTAAGACTACTTCCATTGCTCTTAAGAATCACTTCATTTGTTGAGTTTCTACACTAATATTTCCTTAATGTTTAATTTTTCAGATGTCAGTTAATTTACTTCGATTCAGGACGAAACATTGGTGGCGATATTGCTATCTTTGGGCAGGTTTGTTTGGAAAGCATGATTCCTCATCTTCGTAAACAAATCGATAGTTAGATCAATAAGTCTTGTATAATTTGATCAATGTAATGTTTGGTTTCAGTGTGGATTGAAGGACCACTTGGATTTGGTTTGCTGATGAGCTGCCGTATAACTCAGGCATTTCAACTATACTTCATATTTGTCAAGTAAGGTTCAATTTTGATCAACATGTTTTCAATTATCGGGGATATTGGATTCCCAATTCTGTCTCTATTGATATAATTGTGTTTCATGCTGTTTGGTTGCTATATATTCTTTGCAATGTAGGAAACGTCTACCACCCGTAAAATCATACATTTTCCTCCCCCTTGTTTTGTTGCCATGGATCTTCGGAGCTGCAAGTAAGAATTGTTCTGAACTTTGTATGTACTGAGCAGTTCTTAGTTTCTCTTGTTTTGGATAATAACTCAAAGCTTTTGAATTTGCATTCAGTTATCCACGCAACAAAGCCTCTCAATGATAAATGCCACATGCGTCTTCAATGGACTTTCCCAGTTGCAGGCCTTCATGCTCTCTATGTCCTTGCTTTAATTGCATTCACAAGAGCAGTCCGACATGTAGAGTTTCGTTTTGATGAGCTTAGAGATCTCTGGAAAGGAATTCTCGTCTCAGCCACTTCAATCATTATATGGGTAACAGCGTTTGTGTTGAATGAGATTCATGAAGAAATATCCTGGCTTCAGGTTGCTTCAAGATTTGTGCTTCTAGTCACGGTATGAAGCTAATACCAGGACTGTTCTTTATATTTGTAGTTGGAAAACCTTTTAACAGACTACTGAGTTGATTCTTCTTTCAGGGTGGGATTCTCGTCGTTGTCTTCTTTTCCATCTCGAGTAATCAACCTCTTCTTTCACAAATCAGCTTGAAGAAAAGAGAACACTTTGAGTTTCAAAGAATGGGTCAAGCTCTAGGCATTCCCGATAGCGGCTTATTATTCCGAAAGGAGGAATATCGACCTGTTGATCCAAACGAGCCACTCGATAAGCTTCTTCTCAATAAAAGATTTCGCCAATCGTTTATGGAATTTGCTGATAGGTACTCTATTTGACGACTGACCTCATTTTTTAATCCCGGTTTCGCCATTTATTTAAAGTGAATCTTTTTATGATGTTAGCTGCTACGCTGGAGAAACATTGCATTTTTTCGAAGAAGTGTATGAGCATGGTAAAATCCCGGTAGATGATTCGATAAGAAGAATCTACATGGCTCGACATATCATGGAGAAGTTCATTGTCGCAGGTTTATTATTTATCCATCTTCTTTCTTCTTCATAAACCTGTCTCAGGTGTTCTCTGTTTAAATCTAATTAGCAATTCCTCAAACGCAGGAGCGGAAATGGAAGTAAACTTATCTCATAAAACCCGACAAGAGATCTTAACCACTCAAGATCTAACTCACTCTGATCTCTTCAAGAACGCATTAAACGAAGTGATGCAATTGATCAAGATGGTAAAATAACATCTATCTTTCACTCTCTTACGCCTTCAAGAAGCTTATTCTCTTGATTCTCATTTTCTATGTGCTCATTTTTGTAATGAATTTGAAGAACTTGGTGAGAGATTACTGGTCATCCATCTACTTCATCAAATTCAAAGAAGAAGAAAGCTGCGACGAGGCAATGCAAAAGGAAGGATGGAGTTTTTCATCTCCAAGACTGAGTTCAGTTCAAGGCTCTGATGATCCTTTCTATCAAGAACATATGTCAAAGAGTTCCAGATGCAGTAGTCCCGGTTAAGGAGTCTAAACCGGTACTAAACCAGAACCCAAAACCAATGTTCATAGCAATCCAATTCATATAATCTTCTTCACATTTCTTGTACATGTCCTTTTCTTACTCTTTTATACCAAACTGAAGAGAAAGTGTCCGGTTCTGATTTTGGTTTAGTTTTGAACGTGTATACCGGAAAAAAAAACTATGGAACCATACTAATTTAATATCTGGAAAAATTTATACGTTTATGCCATCTGTTTGAGAGTAAACATAATAAATGTCTTAAAATATCTTTAAAAATTAACTTGAAGTATTTTCTATGATAAGTTATATTAGATTTTGTTTTTCATTTAATATTTTAATTTTTGTGAAATAATTTTTAATAATTATTTTAATACTTTTATCTATTTGTGGTGGATCCGTATATCCACGGATATTGGCGGATTCTGATCTAAATATTCCAAAATTTAAGATTATTCGATCCGTGTCCACCTCTAGTTCCGCGTATAAATAGATTAACAAGAACAATTTTTATTACATAATGGAATGTTAAAAAAATCAAATTATATGTGTAGGTAAAGAGTCTTGTAGGGAATGAAAAAAAAAAGTTTAAATTAATGTTTCATTATTAATCTATTATGGTGACTCTGTCCCAAATATTAGTGGTTCTCATCTCATAATATATACTCCCAAAGAAGTTTTTCAACATTAAAACCATTTTTTTATTTATTTGCTATCTACCATAAGGTTTTGGTCAAAAATATATAGCAATTATTGGGTGTTGTCGCTTGCAACTCTTGATGATGTTCTCCCCAAGATAGTTTATAAACTTGAAGGGAAACTTTATCAGTTTATCTTTCACCTAATTATACAATTTCAATATAATTTTTTTGGTTTTTATCTTGTGGGAAATTCTCTAAATACTAGTTACATCTGTTTTGTGTTCCAAAACTATCATACTTTTAAATTTTCGAAAATGCTACAAACTTGTATATAAAAGAATAAAAGAGGTTTTAAAGAGTTCGCAAATAGCTCTTAAAATGTTTCTTTCCTCTAATTTTCTGTTTTGATTATTATTTCTACTTGGAAAAATACCAAAATGTCTTTAGCAATATATATATACCAAAATGCACGTTAAATATTCTTGTAGATAAAGCCACCACTTCCACTTTGTAGATTAGCCAGGTTGGTACTGCTTCTAAGTCTATAAGGTTAACGTAGAATGAGCTGGACATTTTATTTTCCACTCTCAATGTACCAAAAAATAACTTCAACGTAGAATGAGCTTTCATTTTCAATCTTCTATTTCTATCTTAATAAACTCATTCTCTCTTGTTTTAATCTAATCACGGATTTCACTATAACCTTACCATCTAGACATAAAACTCAAACTAAAATGAATTTTTAACAAAATTACTTCTACTTTGAGAGTAAACATGAAAAAGTATGAGGATGTCATCATAGTGGATAACTATGTCAGGACTCATGAATAATAGTAAACTATTTAGCAAATACTATCATTTGTTCTTCTCAACTTAATAAACTATAAAAGATCCGTTGGATGGATAGATAGATAACTTGTTCTACCACTCAAACCAAGTTTTGGATGCACACGTCTATATACACATGCATACATGCCTTAATCATCATGATGTTATACTCCATTACAATCAAAACATATATGTGACATATACGTACACATCCACAAATTATCAGAATTTTAGAGAGAGATCTGATTGCTTTATAAGTCCGCATAAAGAGACACCACAACTTTCTTTCTTCTTCATTCACTTCTCTCAACGCCAAATTTGCAGACTTTCCCAGGACGAAAACTAAAAAAGATCCTTTTTTTTTTTTTCTTCACAGTCAATTCTCTAACAAAACATTCTCCGATCATTCTTTTCATCTTCTATGCTCTGATCAGACAACAGAACACAAGACAAAGAAACTCACTTTAGCTTTGTCTATAAATTCTGATGTTCGAGTCCTTGTTGTTGATGATGAATCTGATGATGAATTGATGATGATGATTGTTTGATGCAGATTGGTTTTAAGAAATTTCAACTTTTTTCGTAACAAGTAATCATTTTTATCCATCTCTCAAGTTTCTGTTGAATTTTCTATGATTTTGTTTCTGATTGTGAATCTGGGTAATGATCAAACTGTGGTATTAGTTAACATTTTCCCAAATTGATATTGATCTCTCTGATGGGTTTGTTTGGTCAATCTAAATTGATTTCTGGGTTTTCTTGTTGTGATCATGGTTTGGTCAAAACTTTGAGTTTCCGTGTGCAGAGGAGAAGGAGAAGTCCTTTGCGTGTGACAAACAGTTTTCTTATTATCTTCCGTATCAGATCCAATCTTTCTTTAAGATTCCTTTTTTCATCTTTGTGTTCTTTATAGAATAATCATTGTTGATTCCTTCACTTCTCTTCCAAGTTTCCTTCTTTCATTCTTGGTTGATTTGATTAGATTGACTCACAGATTCTTTCTTTGTTCTTCATTAGTCAAAAGGTTTCAACTTTTCTTGTTATTGATTATGATTTGGATCCTTACTAGTTTCTGTAGATCAAAAAGCTTAGAACTTGTTGAGAAATACTAGAGACTACAGAATTTGCAGGTAAGTTTATGGGGATCTTGTTCTGTGTGTGTTTTCTCATCTTTCAGGCAAATCAGAGTGTGACTTTGTCTTAATTTGTGATTTGTAGATAATCTTGTGGTTAAAAATGGATGCTACAACTAGTGGAACTCCGGGATTACAGTATCTTAACTTACCGGAGCAATCGGTTTCGACTGCTTCTCCTCCTGTGTCACCATTTCAGAGGCCAAAACGACATTGCTTTGGTGACTCAACTCCTGGAGAGTTTCCTTTAGCAGCTAATCCGTCCATTGTCCTTCATGTTCTCACTGAATGTAGATTGGATCCTCGTGACCTCGCTAATCTCGAGGTTTTGTTTCGAAAAATGTCGGAAATGTGTACTGATATTTCGAGGATTGATTGTTCTGCTGATTTGATTGTTGTTGTTGTTTTAGGCAACATGCTCGTTCTTTAGCCAGCCAGCAAACTTTGCCCCGGACATTAATCTATCACTATCGGAGCTCGCTGCTCTCGACATGTGTAATAAAAGGGTGATTTTCAAGCCGATGAATGAAGAAGAACGTCAAGAGATGAAACGTAGATGCGGTGGATCGTGGAAATTAGTCCTTCGGTTTTTGCTGGCTGGTGAAGCGTGTTGTCGAAGAGAGAAATCTCAAGCAGTTGCTGGTCCCGGTCATAGTATCGCAGTCACATCAAAAGGCGAAGTTTATACTTTCGGATATAATAACTCCGGACAGCTAGGACATGGTCATACCGAGGAACAAGCTCGAATTCAACCTGTTAGGTCATTTTCATCATCATCAAGATCTGAACAGAGAAGAAAATATATGCTCTTGGGTTGATGGAGTGTTATCATGCTGTGCAGATCATTGCAGGGAATTCGAATCATCCAAGCAGCTGCTGGTGCTGCTCGGACAATGCTAATAAGCGATGATGGAAAAGTTTATGCGTGCGGAAAAGAATCCTTCGGGGAAGCTGAATACGGAGGGCAAGGGACTAAACCAGTTACAACTCCTCAGCTTGTAACATCTTTAAAGAACATATTCGTTGTGCAAGCGGCTATTGGGAATTACTTTACCGCTGTTCTCTCCCGAGAAGGAAAGGTTTATACATTCTCGTGGGGCAACGACGGTAGACTAGGACACCAAACCGAGGCCGCAGATGTCGAGCCCCGTCCTTTGTTAGGACCACTCGAGAATGTACCCGTTGTGCAGATTGCTGCTGGTTATTGCTACCTTCTTGCCTTAGCTTGTCAACCAAATGGCATGTGAGTTCCTCTTTTACACTCTCTTTTCTACATTAGTCCGGTTCAACAGTATCATAGGTTACAACAAATGAATGGTTAAAGTCTTTTGACAAAAATAATTTGGATCCTAACTTTTTTGCTATATTTGAATATTTTTATGGGTCATGTGCAATGGCACACTATGCAAATACCCAACACCAGCACTGACGCAATAGCATACTTATTTCAGGTCTGTTTACTCGGTTGGGTGCGGTTTGGGAGGCAAACTTGGTCATGGCTCAAGAACGGATGAGAAGTATCCTCGGGTTATCGAGCAGTTTAAGATATTGAATCTTCAACCTAGGGTAGTTGCAGCGGGTGCTTGGCATGCCGCGGTGGTCGGTCAGGACGGAAGAGTGTGCACTTGGGGTTGGGGTAGATACGGATGTTTAGGACACGGTAACGAGGAGTGTGAATCAGTCCCTAAGGTTGTAGAAGGGTTAAGCCATGTCAAGGCGGTTCATGTCGCAACAGGCGATTACACTACTTTTGTGGTCTCAGACGATGGTGATGTTTACTCGTTTGGTTGCGGCGAATCCGCTAGTCTCGGTCACCATCCATCCTTTGATGAACAGGTTAGGGATTGACTAAAGCCTCTATTGTTTCTTTTGCTTACGTTATATGATATAAACTTAATATAGTGTGTTTCTTTTTTTGGTCAAATATCCAGAGATCTTAGCGTTTTAATCAAACATTTGATATAAAAAAACGAAAATTGTTGTTTGATTTGATTTTGGTGTTATCTTTGCAGGGTAATCGACATGCAAACGTGCTAAGTCCAGCGGTAGTAACATCGCTGAAACAAGCGAACGAGCGGATGGTTCAGATTAGTCTAACGAACTCCATATATTGGAACGCCCATACGTTTGCGCTCACGGAATCGGGGAAGCTATTCGCTTTTGGTGCAGGCGATCAGGGTCAGCTTGGAGCAGAACTTGGTAGGAACCAAAAAGAAAGGTGTGTACCGGAAAAAGTGGATATCGATCTCAGCTAGTGACTTAGTGGTTTGGTTGGCAAGAACTGCGTTTGACATCAAGCAAAACAAACGCAAGAAAAATTTCGTTTGCTATTTATGTTCATAAGACTTGGAAGCTTGTACATATATAAGTTAAGGAATTTGTTTAACATTTCATTGTATAGGTTTTAGATTATTCTAATTGTTCATTGTTCAAGTTTTAGGTTATGTTGTTAATAATTGTCAAATAATTTCATTAAATCAATTTATTGTCAAGATTCAATTTCTATTTCATTTGTATAAGAAGCCTAAAAGGCTAAAACCCACAATAATCCCCAAATATTTTTTTATTTTATTTTTTTCTGATTTGGTTTGAAATAACTAGAAATACTTTTTTCCAATATTGTTTGGTTTACATTAGAGTACTAAATTTTGATTTCAGAAAAATCTAAAGAATCCTATGTATCAAATTGTTTTTGCTATATTTGATAGGATTAGAAGAAGCTTAATTAGAAGTAGAAGATATATGTAATTAGCATTTTTCCTCAGCCGTTAATATTTTTGGCAAAACCTCAAACTGCGTTACGCTTATCTTTGGACTTTGATCAAACAACTATATAAGCAAAGAGTCTCATTACACAATTCAAGAAAATAATAAATAAAGGAAAATACCCATAAAACATTTTTAAAAAACGTTTTTTGGGCATTACTAATAAAATAAATTAAAAATAATGGCGCGTCTTCACCTAGCTCTCCTCCTCCTCTTCGTAGCTATCTCCGCCGTGATTGTATCAGCTGCTGATAATGATAAACCACCGTCAACCACCACCGCCTCAGCTCCCACCGCTACAACTCCAACCGATGGCATCGGAGGTGATGTAGCAGAAGGTCCAGCTGATGACAATGCTATAGGAACAACTGACAACGACGATGCAGCTGTTACTCCAGATGATGCTGCCGGAGATGATGAAGTGGCTGTCGCCGGACCTATTGGAAGCGATTCTTCGTACGCTAACTATCCGCCACCTCAACAAGAAGCTTCCGGAAGCGGTGCCACCGTAGCTTTTGGCTTTGTCTCTGTTGTTGGTGCAATGGCTGGATCGCTCTTCTTTTTCTAGAGCTGTGATCGGCGCGTGAAAATAATATTTTGTAATGAATGTTTGAAATATTTTCTTGTAGATGTATAAGTATTTTGACTATCCCTTCTTCGATGTAACATCAATTAAATTGGGATGATACAAAACTATTTAATATGAGAAAAAAAAGTATTTTTTTTAAGTTGGGTCAAATCATTATTCATTACATGATTATAACATGATTTATGGAAGCCCTCTTGTCCCATTGGTTGACCAAAGGTTAATTAATGCTTCTACACCCAGAGGTCTGGGGTTCGAGTCTCAGATAATGCGATTTATTAATAAATTTGTAGATTATTAGAGGCAAGTGTGCAGAAGATCTCCAGCGATGTACAATTATAGCCGTTCGCCAGGATTCTACGCAGAAAGAGAAGGGTCCATCAAGATCATGAAGAAGGAGGTGAAGGTGGTGTCGTCTGTCGTGAATCTAATAAGGGTCGGAAGAAATTGTCCGTTGTAGAATCGTCTATGTAACAGTTCTCATAATTTGCAATAAATAATAAATCCAGACGACAAAAAAAAAATTACAACATGATTTTTTTTTTTTTTTTTGCATCTTATAAATTTACAAAATAGCACCCTCACCATAAAAAATTATTTTTACAAAATAGCCCACAAGAGATGGGCCGTATTTTTTCACAGGCCTAGCCCATCAACTTGTGAGCAAGCGCGTGTCTTTCACGACCATAAAACCTGCGAACCAGACGCGCGTTGATGCATTTCTCCATATCTCTTTAGCCGATAGAAGAAATTTTGCAGAGAAAGCGTCAATGAAGGTCCAACGGTCAACTTTTTTCGCGGTGACCGGAAAATCAAATCTTCATCACTTTCACTCGTCTTCTCAGGTTATCTTTTTTCTTCTCTGCGTCGTCAAAGTAAACTAAAAATCGTTTCTTTTGTCACTTCTACGAATAACCCATTTGCAATTTCAGAAAAAAAATCTGAAGTTTTTTCTGATTTCATTGCGTTTTCACTTGATTCATTGTGTCTTAATCGATTTCAGGGAATCACCATTTCCGAGCTTGATTCACGACAGTTTTTGTCTAAATTACTTGAGAGAAAATGGGGATTACATAGTCCTGCATCTCCAATTCAGCAGATTAGTGTTTCTTCTGCTAAAGGAATCGATAAATTCTCCTTTTTGAACAACACTTGTCCACATCTCGGAGATGAAATGTCGAAGTCGAAGCAAGATTCGTCTTTTTACATTCTTAGAGATGATCTTTTACATCCTCTTGTGAATGGTAACAAAGCTAGAAAGCTTGATGCTTTGTTACCACTTCTTGAAGATTATAAAGTGACTGACTTGGTGAGAATGTGATCACATACAAGATTTGTCAATTGGGTTCTTTGGAAAAGGCATAAAGATTAGAACTTTTGTTGTGTATAGGTTACATGTGGAGGTTGTCAAAGTGCACATACAGCTGCAGTTGGTAAAAGTTTGAATCTTTAGAGAATTAGATGTTTTGATTTCAGTGTGAATCAGTTATTTGTATCTTGCAGCTGTTTCTTGTGCTGAGAGAGGTCTAAGATCACATTTGCTACTGCGTGGAGAACAACCCGAGGTTTTGACTGGTTATAACCTTGTTTCAACTATGTATGGAAATGTTCAGTATATTCCAAGATCGAGGTATGCGAATAGAGAGGAAATGTTGAGATCTCATGCTGCTATGGTCGCTGGGGAAGATGGTTCTGTCTTATGGGCTAAAGACATTGTTGAGGGGCTTGAGGTTATGGATCATTTTTCGAGTTCCAAAGCTTCTCGTAGAAAGGTTTTGATCGTTAATGAAGGCGCTGGAGATGCTCTTGCATTACTTGGTAAAGATCGATTTTGGATATAGTTTAGGTAGTGGACCAAATCAATGTGGAAGAAGTAACCAAGATTATCATTTATGCATTATAGTTAACAAGGGCTTCGTCATTACACAGGTATGTTTCGGTTAGTGCAGTATTTATCACAAGATCATTTACTCGGGAAGAAGAGGCCGGTTAAATTTGTAGTTGATGCTGGTACTGGAACAACTGCTGTGGGCTTAGGAGTTGCAGCTATGTCTTTAGGGTTAGGCTTTGTTCATAAGATTTATTGAATACGCTTTGTGTCTGTTTCTTTTCCCGCTTATCGATTCGAAGCTTTTAGCATCTTGACTACCAGTTCCCTTAAACTTCTCCTCAGGCTTCCATGGGAGATCAATGCAGTGATGCTAGCTGATACATTCGAAAATTACAAAAGACATGAAGATCGCTTGATAGCAGAACTTACAAGGCAGTTTCCTACCTCGGTCTTCTGCAGCAGCTTGGATATGAATCAAATGATCAAATGGGTAGATCGTCAACACCCGAGAAAGTATGTGCATATGCAAGTTCTTCTTTCCACAATTGAAGATACACTGAAAATGATCTTTTTTCACTCCAAGGTTGAATCTTTAGAGTGGTTTGACTATCAATTATCTAGTTCCTTTTGTCCTTGCAGATTTGGGAAGGTCTTGGAAGGAGAAGTGCAAATGTGTCGGAAAATTGCACAGGAGACGGGAGTTTTAGTGGATCCAATGTATACTTTAGCTGCTTGGGAGACAGCAACAGAGCTAGTGCTCGACGAGAAATCGAGCATTGTAGTGATGCTTCACACTGGAGGCACTCTAGGGATGTTTGGTCTTGCTCAAAGATACAAATCTTGCTTCACTAACTTGAAAGATTTTGATACAATTTCCAAGACTTAGAGCCAGAAATCTAAAGATGGTTAGATTTGTAATTTGTAACTTCAATTTCGGTTCGGTTATATTGAAATTTTGTTCGCTCAGTGTTTGGTTTGGTTTTGTATGTACGGTTCCCGAAAAGAATCATACTTGTAGAACAAATAAGAAAATTTAAATACGTTTTTAGTTTTAGAAAATGCGAGAAACGGAAGCAAACGTGGTAAGCAAGAAGTGGTAATAAGTAAATTATTATTTTTACCTGAAACAAAAAAAGAAATAGAAAACGAAAACCAAGATTATGGTTTTTGGTCGTTGGTTTTTGGGGAGTCTTCTTCTCGAACCGAGATGTTCATGTGCACGTGCGTTTGGTCACTACTTCGTGTTTAACAAACACTTTCTTCACTATACTAATATCCACATTAAACAATACTAGTATTGCTTTTTAAAGATCTTTGATTCTTACATCAGTAAACCTTTTTGTTAAGTCGTTTTTTTTTTTATTGGTGCAACCAAAGAGTTAAGTCTCTAGCTAACTTTTAACCAAAAATAGTAAGTCTCGAGCTAGCTATTGCCAGACCTTAAATGTTTTGGAGATTAGACACACTAGATATATTGATTTTGGAGATGCTAAAATGAACAAAAGGGAGAAAAAAAAAAACAAAGCGAAAAAGCTCAATTGGGACAAAGTCTAATGAGGACAAAAAAACATAATTGAGTACAAAGTGTATGAGTACTAGCAGCAGCCAAACCCTAAGCTACCTTTTGTGGTGAGCTATATACCCAAGTGTTTACGTGAATTTGGTTTTCATCTTATGTTTTGATCCTTGACCTCAATTATATTCAAGAAGTTTTATGCCCCCACTACTAATCTTTTACATTATCAAATAAGATTTAGACCCCAAACTTAAGCTTCGCTTGCTTAGCTCCAAGACCAGCTTTGGTTACTATTTTCTTTTTTTTTATGTCTACAGAATTAGTAGCTGGTATCCATACCGTTTGATTGATAATTTATAGTCGAAGCGGTAGAAGTTCAACTGTTTCAAAAGTAATAAATGGAATAATTTTTCTACGATAAATAGAGCAAGTTTATTGAAACAATGCTACATGCGGTAAAAATATTTTTATAGGCGGTTAGAAGGTTACACATTGTTTAAAAAATTTCTTAAATGTTGTCAATCGAAAAACATTTGAACCGTTATTTTTTATTGTTGCTAATATGTTTTTCTCTAATCGCATCTCGCCATCTCCTATTTCTGTAACCGCTAAAGTATACTTCATAGTTCATTTGATTACGACATTGTATTAACAATATTATGAATCAAGACTCCAGAGTAATAGTAAGACAAAAGAAAAACTAACAAACAAAGAAAAAGTGAGATTCCAAGTACGAAACGGTATATAGCATATTGCAAATCAAGAGTAAGACGAAAGAAAATTTAACAAAACAATCAAAAAGTAAAATTCTCCGATAAGGTCCATAACAAAAAATTTCCTTGTCAATTTCTCTAATCACATTCAATTACTAGCTTTTCTTTACACTGTTTCAAGTATATACTTTTTTTTTTTTTTTTTCGACTGAATGATTTCATTAGCTTAAAAGCAGAGAACAAATTACAACAAGTCCACAAAATCAAGGATCGAAGACAATCACCATCAGAGAAAACAAAAAACGCATTACAACTAAGCAACACACATCTCTTCAGTGAACAAGTCCTTTAACCAAAAGGGGTAGCCCGAAGCCACGTATGATTGTCTTCGATCCTCCAAGGTAACGCTCTTTGCGATCAAAAGAGCACCTTTGTTAGCATTTCTATCCTCTTTGCGCAATTTCCAGAAGGGGATATAGTCAAGCGCCTTCGAGACTAACTCAGCTTGAAGCTTGAAAGAAGGCCATGCCGCCGGTCGACACACTGCTTGCAAAATATCACATGCCTCAACTGCAAAACACACATATCTGATTTTAAGACTAAACATGCTTTCAATAGTCCAAAGCCAGCATTGAAGATCAGCCTCATCTTTTGAGTCAATAAAAGCAAAGGATTTCCTGCTGTGAAGTAGAACAACACCAAAAGAGTTCCGCAAAACCCAAGCAGCACCTCCAATCCGATTAGCTCTGTCCCAGGTGGATGCCAAATTGCATTTTAACCACGGTCTGTCTGGGGGTCTCCAAGAGGGCAATGAGACCGCAGAGAGTCTGATATCTTTAACCGTCTCCTCATCTTCAATTTGTTGAGCTAAGAACCATTCAGCAGCGTCCTCCATTATCTTACCAATCATGTCCTGCACAACAAAGGTCAGCCCTTCAAAAACCAGATTGTTACGGTTCTTCCAAAGGCGCCAAAGGATCCACGGGATTGCTCTCCTTTTTTCCACCTGAACAGAGGAGCTCTTGGCCAGCTTGAGAATGAAATGGAGATTATGGTAAAGAGAATGGCCACCAAAGCCATCTTCAGGAGAGGGAATGTCAGCAAGAGCCCAAACCTGTCTAGCAAGAGTGCAAATGAAGAGAAGATGGTTGATTGATTCACCTTCAGAACCGCAAATCTGACATCTCTGATCCAAGGAGATACCTCTAGAGGCCAGTTTCTCTGCAACCGGGATTGCACCACTGATAGCTTTCCACATGAAGACTTTGATTTTGGAAGGAGCAAGAGCTGTCCAAATCATGTCTTTAATCGGGTTCAGGGAAGGAAGAGCAAGAGATCACAGTTCTGTTCACGAGATGCAAGCCAATAGCCCGATCTAACAGAGTAATCACCACTCTTGTTATGATGCCAAATCCAGAAATCTTGGCCAGAGACCACTGGTTTGATCTTGGTGATGAGATCAATATCTCCTGGGAAAAACAGTTCCTGTAAAATATGTGGATCCCAAGTCTTAGAAACAGGGTCAATAAGCTCATGAACCAGCAAATCCAAGTTCACAAGAATATTTTTCATTAGAGGAGCTCTCATTCTGCCATCAAGGATCCATTGACCAGTCCAAACACTAGTCGATGCACCATCACCAATACATAACCTCAAGCCTTTTTCCAAAAGAAGACGACCATGAAGAATGCTCCTCCATGCAAAAGATGGGCGGCTTCCAGCAGTAGCCTGCAAGAATGAAGAGTCCACAAAATACCTGCTCTTAAAGAAAAGGGAAAAGAGGCAAGAAGGGTTGTGAAGCAGTCTCCAAGCTTGCTTAGCAAGCAGTGCTTGGTTAAAAACCTCTATATCTTTGAAACCAAACCCACCCAAAGCTTTAGGAAGGCACATTTTGTCCCAAGCCACCCAATGAATTTTCCGGTTGTTCTCCATGGTACTCCACCAGAAGGCCGCAATTGCCCCAGACAAAGCAGAACAAGTCGATTTAGGCAGCCTAAAGCAGGACATTGCGTAGACTGGCATAGCCATGGCCACCGATTTAATCAGGATCTCCTTACCTCCCTGAGACAAAGTCCTGGCAAACCAGCCAGAAAGCTTATTCTTTAACCTTTCATTGATGTACTCCAACATGTCTTTTTTGGAGCCACTAAAGCATTCTGGAAGTCCCAAATAGGTGCCTGCGCCACCCTCATTGGAAATCAAGAGTTTGTTCTGGACCAGAATCTTTAATGGAGCAGCAACTTTTTCACCAAAAGTGATGGATGATTTATCTTTATTTATAATCTGTCCTGTTGCTCTTCCATATAAATCAAGGATCTCTTGGATAGTGTCACATTGGGAGATCTCTGCCTTACAAACAAAAAGAGTGTCATCAGCGAACAAAAGGTGGTTGATAGACGGTCCATTAGGAGAGAATTGCAGGCCATTGATCCTTCCATCTATCTCAGCTTTGTTTAAAAGGTGAGACAATCCTTCAGTACATAACACAAAAAGGAAAGGAGAAAGAGGGTCTCCTTGTCTCAATCCTCGTTGAGGCTCCACCAACCCAAAGGCCTGTCCATTGATTAAAACAGAGTAAGAAACCGTGGTGACACAAGTCATAACCAAATCAACCCAGACATCACTGAAACCCAAAGCTGCTAGCAAGGCCCGAAGATAACTCCACTCAACACGGTCAAAGGCTTTAGACATGTCAGTCTTAATAGCCATGAACTCCTTGGAAGTAGCAGCGTGGGATCTCAGAGCATGAACAACCTCGTGGGCAATTAAAATGTTGTCAGAAATGAGTCTCTCCTCCACAAACGCAGACTGGGAAGGAGACACAATATCTGGCAGAAATGGTTTGAGTCTTGACACAATGATTTTGGAGATGATCTTGTACATCACAGAGCACAGACTGATTGGTCTTAAGTCAACCATAGCAGAAGCATTTACCTTCTTGGGAATGAGGCAAAGCTGTGTTAAGTTCCATTCTTTCTGAAAAACGCCAAACTTGAAGAAATTCAGAACCTCAGCAGTGACCTGTTCTCCAACAACGTCCCAGTATTGTTGGAAAAAACAACCTGTCATTCCATTCGCTCCTGGTGCACTAGAAGGCTTAATGGAGAATACAGCTGCCTTTACCTCTTCCTTGGAGACTGCAGCACACAGAGAAACATTCATCTCAGCAGTTACTCTTGGAACAAAGTCTTGGAAGAACTGCATGTCAGCCTCCACAGGATAGGACGATGAGAAAAACTTATGAAAATACCTGGCAGCCACATCACCTTTAGAGGCCTCAGAACAGTGAATAGAACCATCCTCATCAATCAATTTATCCAGGCCATTTTTATTCCTTTCAGCTTTGACTGAAGCATGGAAATACTTTGTGTTTTTGTCTCCAGAATGCAACCAGCCATGACGGGACTTTTGAGACCAGAAACTCTCTTCTTCTCTATGAGCCAAAACCATTTCCCTTTTCAAAATTGCCATTCTTGAAAAGGAAGGATGGGTGGCAGCGTGAAGGTACTCAATCTCCTCCTGAATCTTATTGATCTTTGTTTGAGAGTTAGTCACGTTCTCTCTTTTCCAGTTACTAAGAGCTTTTCTGCATCTCCGCAGGCCTTGGAACACCGATTGACCAAAGGCAGAAGAGGAAGCATTCCAGGCAACAACAACCGCTTCCCTGACCAAAGGCTTGTGTAACATTCTCTTATCAAATCTGAAAGAGCCTCTGTAAGAGTCTTGAGAAGAAACTAAATGCACAAGAACTGGCCTATGATCAGACCCTTTTTTGTCTAAAAAAGCTTGATTAGAGGCTGGGAAGAGCCTAAACCATTGTTTATTCCCAAAGCAACGGTCCAATTTACACTGAATCCAAAGATCTTTGCGTCTACCACTCCATGTGAAACCATTACCCGTGCTGGATAGCTCAACCATTTCACAACCCTTCAGCATATTACCAAAATCCACAAAGGAGGCCTCATTCCTTCTTGGCCCTCCAAGTTTTTCACCATTATGAAGGATTTCATTAAAATCCCCAACCATACACCAACAATCCTTTCTAGCAATACCAACTCTAAGCAGTTTCTCCCAAACCTGAAATCTTAGACTACTATTGGGGTTGCCATAAACACAAGAGACGAAAAAAGTAGAAACTCCCATATGTACACGGAGATCCAAGAGATTCTTGTCAACTGAGAGAAAGTTAACATCCACTCCTTTCTTCCAAAACAGAGCCAAGCCTCCACACCTACCAACTGGGTCCACTGTGAAGACTCTATCATATCCCAACCAAACCTGAATATCTACAAGCACATTCCGTATGTTCATAGTTTCCATAAGGAACAATATCTCCGGGAAATGTTTCTTACGCATTTCCATGAGACGTTGAACTGTCAAGTCTTGAGGCCGCCCCAAACCTTGACAGTTCCAGCTCATAATACTCATTGGATATTGGACAGTCCCTCATTTGGGACCATCTCTTGTTTTTTGCGCTTTGCGACTTTTTGAGCATTTCCACCACCATCAACCAATTTCCCTTTCCTCTTGTCCAAAACTCCAACTTGCAGCCCTTCAGACTTAGCAGCCTCTGATATTAACCCTTCTGTGATTGCTGGCTTTTGTTTCCTTTTACTAACGTAAGGCCGTCTTCTACCTCTACCCCTATTCGGCTTTGTTCCGGAAGGGCTAGCTTCAGAGAAGCCAACCACATAAGCCGTAGAACATGGCTGCGAAAAGGAGGAGGATTGAGAATAATCAACAAGTATATACTAAAAAATAAAATCTGCACAAACGAAAATTAAAGATGAACATTTTCCACGTACTCAGTATTCGTGTCGCGTAGGGACTTTATATATTACGCCTCGTAAAACCAAGAACCCAAAGCCTACAACAAAAAAGTGCATAGGGGTATCAACGTAACTTCCACAAACGGATACTAATAATAAATCCGATTTAACGTAAAAACAGTCATTTTCGAGAAACTTAAATGCTTACAACACAAAAAAATTAAAAATAAATAAACATTTGTTCTCTTCCACTGTCTTGTCTGTAATAAGAGCAAAGACAGAGAGAGACGACGTTACAGTATCTCTCTCTCTCACACGATCAAGAAAACTTCATCATTCGTCGTAAAATATCATCTCCGGTATTAATGGAAGATTCTAGACTTTTTCCGTTCGCCGGAAACTTAGACCCTCGTGCTCAAGAGTTCATACCACTTAACCCTACCTCCTCCGGTTTTTACTTTCCGTACACTCCTCCTCCTCCACCGCTTCCTCCGCCGTTACACCCGTCGTCGGAGCCAAGAGTTTTCACATTCTTCAACATCCCACCACATCCGATGATGTTTTCTCCTCCTCCTTCTCAACCACCACCATCACCACCACCGCGTCCGTGTTTTAACGGCGTTTCAGCAGCTCAACGACTTCCTCCGCCGTCAAACTCTCCAACACGATCTCTCTCATTGATCTCCGTACCACGTGAAGTCACCGAGTCTACAGTGAGACGTGACTTGGAGGTTTACGGCGACGTTCGTGGCGTGCAAATGGAGAGAATCTCTGAAGGAATCGTGACCGTCCATTTCTACGATATACGTGACGCTAAAAGAGCAGTTCGAGAAGTTTGTGGTAGACACATGCAGCAACAAGCCAGAGGTGGAAGCGTTTGGAGCTCACCTTCTACTTCATCGGCGCGTGGGTTTGTTTCCGGTAGACCTGTGTGGGCTCAGTTCGTAGTTCCGGCCACTAGCGCCGTTCCCGGAGGTTGTAACCAAGGAACGTTAGTATTATTTAACTTAGACCCTGAGGTCTCTTCCATTACTCTCAGACAGATTTTCCAAGTTTACGGTACGGTTTTTTTATTTTCTAATTTCTCTGTCTTGATTTAGTTTAGTTTGTTTCCTCGATTTGTGGATATGTCAGGAATTAAAACATTTTTCAAAGACTTAAAAATGTTAAGCTATGATATAAATTACATTATTATTTACATGAATCATGGATTAATTGTTTGCATGCTATATTGAACATCTTTGGCTTTTGAATATAGATATTATTGGACAGTTTGTTTATGTGAGAATCTTTATTTCAGGTCCGATCAAAGAGTTGAGAGAGACACCGTACAAGAAACATCAAAGGTTCGTTGAGTTTTATGATGTAAGAGATGCGGCGAGAGCGTTTGACCGAATGAATGGTGAAGAGATCGGTGGGAAGCAAGTTGTGATCGAATTTAGTCGACCTGGTGGAATTAAGAACAAGTTCAGGCCATCTAGGCAACCGCAGCTACCGTTTCAACCGCTTCAACAGCCACCAATTCTAATTCCTCCTTTGAGGCGGCCAGTTACTCTCGTGAAAGATAAAAACAAGAATGTGAGCCCTAAAAATGGAATTATTGCTGTTGGTGCTTCTATGCGTTCGTTATGTATCATCGACCATGACGATAATAAGACCCGAGGAACCCGAGGAACGGAGTCCGAATGCGCGGAGACAAAGAGCAAGAATGTGGCTAAGTGGGAGAAGAAAAGACAGATGAAGAACATGGAACTAAGTCAGTTTCTTATCAGTGAAGAAACCATGGAAGATCCGAGTTGCAGAGATCCACGTACTACTTTGATGATCAAGAACATACCAAACAAGTACAGGTTGGGCTTTATAATCTAATTTATTTAGTATTATAAAAGTTTTTCAATGATTCTCTAGGAAACTAAAGACTAAATCTTTCAATAAAGTATTTATTTGGATTTAAAGTTTGAAGCTTTTTCACACTCTAGGATGATCAAAGATTTAGATCTTTCATTAAAATATTCACATGGATTCGTGTGCTATATATTCAAAGGTTTATATTCTAGATAAAATTCTCCAATGTTATGTTCCATCAAACTTTTAATTATATTCTTGTTTGATCATACCTTAATTGACTAACATTTTCCCTTCAGATTCTTGTAGGTTTTTTATTTTATGAGATTCCATGTGATTTTTTCTAAGGTTTAGTGTTTTTGTTTTATATAGTCAAAAGCTACTCTTGGATATGCTAGACAATCATTGCATTCACATCAACAAAGCAATCACCGAGAAGCACGATGAACATGAGTCTCATCATCAGCCGTATTCTTCTTATGATTTCGTGTATCTCCCCATGGATTTCAAGTAATCAAACATCGATATTCATTGACATATATAATCGGTTATATTTATGGTTAAAATCATAACTCTTTTCTTTGTTGTGGTATTAGCAACAAGTGCAATGTTGGTTATGGGTTTGTGAACATGACATCTCCGGAAGCAGCCTGGAGGTTTTACAAGGCGTTTCATCATCAACGTTGGGAGGTTTTTAATTCACGTAAGATTTGCCAAATCACATATGCGAGAGTTCAGGTACAATATACACGCATTAGTGTTTTGAAATCGTGAACTAAATAAACTTGAGATGGAAGTTGCACAATATCCACATTCCACATATACACATTAGTTAACCAAAGTCTTGAATTTTATGATAAATATGATAATATAGTCACAATGTGTTTATTTTGTTACTTTTGATCGTCAATAAAGGGTTTGGAGGATCTAAAGGAACACTTCAAGAGCTCTAAGTTTCCGTGCGAGGCTGAGCTATACCTGCCGGTGGTCTTCTCGCCTCCACGAGACGGGAAGAGGTTAACAGAACCTGTCTCCATCAACATCAACGGCTGCACCAGACTTAATCATGATAATCATCTTGAGCAAATGGACGGTCAAGATCACTCTCTGAGTGGATCATGTTGTGATAGTGACCATGATAACAGTCATGAAGATGGATTTTCCGGCAGTAGCATAGACTGTGGCCGGAGTATCACCGTGGAAGGAGAAACATCTTTCTAGGTGTTATTTGTAATGTGTATCATCATAAGATATAAAAAGTGTAAGTAGACATATCATAATCTTGGTTAGAAATTGTACCTTTTTGTTTGTTTGTTTGTTTGATTCTAAAGTTCTTTTTGGTTATCAACATGAATTAAATCACTCATGCAAAGTTCTTTTTGGTTATCATCAACATGAATTAATGAATCCTGCAAAGTTCTAAAAGGTCACATCTATATAACTCTTTTCTTTTCTTTTCTTTGGTATAAAGAAAATAGTAATATTTAGATTTATGTTGTTATTTTTAAATAGGGATATAGAATTGATAGGAGACTAAAATTGGGTTGACCTAGGGTAAGAGTTCTTTTTAAGGCAATACTATATTTGTTCTAGTGTTAGCTGTCTTATTCAGTGACCTGTGAAAGGGACAATAGAGGACTCTGTGCTAGCGATGATCACATTCTGTATCTCCCTCTGATTCATGGGGCACTAACACGTGGTTTGATATCCACCTTACTTGGTGCATGCCAGAGTTGATAGTGATCGTTGACTACAACTTTAATCTTTTCATGTTAGAGATATCTTTAGTTTTAAAATTTTGGTTCTTCATTGAAGGGTTATGAAATATTAAAGTTCGATTTAACATTGAAAATCATTCCTAGAGTATTAATTGAAAGATTTAGGATGTGACTGCAAAAGGGATTTTAAAACTTTAAAAGGTTTTACAACATTACTGAAATCATTCTTTTACCGGTCATATATTTGTAAGCGTTGTAGTCTTGTAGATAAGATCCACTAAAAGTTTAAAGTCTCTATCACAATAAAAAAAGATTTGGTACGTATTAATTGAATTCTGTAGCAATTATTTTACAGCAGTTAGTGTGCAAGTACAACAACCTCAAGCAATAACCTATATTTATTCGTTATTACTAAAATCCAATGAGTGCAAATTTTTTTTTTTTGGGTCAAACAAAAGTAAAAATCATCTCGATGAAGATAGATTTCGTATTATTTGACCCAAAAAAGACTGATTTCGTATTTAATAAATGAATTTTGTTTTTTTAAATGCATTTTCAATATCGGTTGTGATCTAGTGGTAAGGGAGAATTGGGGAAAAGTTGGAAAGAACTAACCCAAGTTTCACCCTGAAAACAAAAATCATATTTGTGTGGGAAATATGGGTTTGGGCTTTGGCCCAAACAATTTACATGGTATCCGGGATTAGACTAATTGGATACTCTGAGCATTAGTCGGAAAGCATTCCAAACTTGGAGTAAGGCAGTGTGGTAGTGCAACACCTAGGTGTTGCCGATAAATCCACATAATAGCACTTCGGTGTGTTTCCTCCGGAGCTGACTGGATCAGCCGATGAGGTATATAAAAAAATAATAATATTGGTGTCTTCCTTTAACCAAAGTGGACAAAAATTGGCCCAAACTCCATACTTAAACCAAAGAGATCCAAATTTTAACCAAATGTTGATAATGTTTCATAACAATATGGGCCTAAAAAAGGTCCATTAACTACATTCCCCTAATTTTGACCCCTCTCTCTCTATAAAAGCAAGTCCTTCATAACCCTAATTCTTTAAAATCCCAGTCAAAATCTCCGTAGCCGTCACCATTATCCCTAACCTCTTCATCTCCATAGTTTACGATTGATTTCAGTTCTTGTTTTTGTGTTATTCTCTGACAAATGTTTTCTTTAGATCGCTTTCGAAAGGCGTTGCGCTCTTCGTCATAGGGTTTTTGTAACCCTGAAGGGCGTGTCACCGAAAGCGTATAATCTAAAATCTTCAATACGATTCGTTAGGATTTTGCCAATTCGGATTCGTTCGAATTAACAAATTTCCTAAAGATCCGATGGTTTCTTTTGTTTCCATCGATTCATCGTGTTGAGAAATTTCGAATCTGTAATGTTTTTGAAATTGGAAATTGCTTCATAATGGTGAACTCTCTTAGATTATTGAAGTGAGAGATGTTCAAGTTTCCGGAGCAAAAATTAACCTGGCCAGAATTTAACAGCTCTGTGTTTAATTTTACTATTTTCACAGTGTTACCTGTCTTCTGGTATATTTCACTAAACATATGGGCTTTGGATTGATTTGTAGGCCCAATTTTTTTGTTAAAAGGCTTATTGATATATTGGTATGAAGGTTATAACCATACCAAAGTTTGGCTAATTAGCAAAACTAAATTCTAATCCCGCCATGCACCGAAAAAATTCTAGACTAAAATAATACAGTCTGTGGTTTTCCGGTGCCTTGTGAGATTAGAGTTTTATTATTTTGTGAATTTGCTAAACTTGGAGTTATTTTTTTTACTCTTTCAATTATAATTTGGTGAATTATCCAAAGTGAAAAATGAAAATTGGTAAATTAAACTGAACTGAATAAAAATCTGAGTCTTAAAAATTTGGTTATAAACTTAAAGATTGTTAATTTGTTGTGAGAGTGTTACTGAAAAGAGACTTCAGAGATTTGACATGCAAATTTTGCAATTGTAGCTTCGTTCTTCGAGTTCTTGACGGCACTAACCTAACAACACATACCATTTGCATTTTCAACCTCAAACATAACGTTTCGTGTACGTCAAGAAAAAACGTTTGTTCTTGAAATAGACCAATACCCTAAAACTGAGTCTTTAAGCAACAAAGCACCGAACGCATGATGAATCCTCTCTTTGAATCTTCGATTTACATATCTTTACGAAACATAAACATTAAACCTTGAAATCCAATCTTCAATGTTTATAGTTCACTAAATAAGAGTCACTGAGAAACAAATTACAAAAAATGTCTGACTTGTCATTGATAGATCGCATTTCTACTCATCTTTGTCTTCAAGATGTATCAATTGCGTTGTTAGGTTTATTCCTTTTTGGTTGCTTGCAAGCGAAGCTAACCAATAAAGGTGGACCAGTGCAATGGCCTGTGTTTGGGATCACTCCCGAGTTCTTCCTTCATGTTCACGATGTGTTTGGATGGGTTACACGGTGTTTGACGAAAAGCCGAGGAACGTTTCCTTACCAAGGAATCTGGTTTAGTGGATCTTATGGAGCTATGACTAGTGTTCCTGCAAACATTGAATACATGCTCAAAACCAATTTCAAGAACTTCCCTAAAGGAGAGTTTTACAAAGAGAGATTCCGTGATTTGCTCGAAGATGGTATTTTCAATGCGGATGATGAATCTTGGAAAGAACAGAGGCGGATTATCATAACTGAGATGCATTCGACTCGCTTTGTGGATCATTCTTTTCAAACGACGAGAGATTTGATACAGAGGAAGCTCTTGAAAGTGATGGAGAGTTTCTCAAAGTCACAAGAAGCTTTTGATCTTCAAGAGATTCTTTTACGGTTAACGTTTGATAATATCTGCATCGCGGGTCTTGGAGATGATCCGGAGACTTTGGATGATGATCTTCCCCACGTTCCATTTGCTAAAGCGTTTGAAGAAGCAACAGAGTCTACTCTGTTTCGGTTCATGATTCCGCCGTTTGTGTGGAAACCGATGAAGTTTTTCGATATAGGGTATGAGAAAGGGCTGAGGAAAGCGGTTGAGACGGTTCACAAGTTTATCGATAAGATGGTTGTTGAAAGAATCGCGATGCTTAAGGACGAAGGAACATTAGCGAATAGCAAATCCGACGTCCTCTCGAGGCTAATCCAGATCGAAAGTCATAAAAGAGGCGATGAAAATGATACCGTTAAGTTTTTCAGACAGTTCTGCACAAGCTTTATCCTAGCGGGACGAGACACGAGTTCCGTCGCGCTTACTTGGTTCTTCTGGTTGATAACAAAACACCCGGAAGTCGAAACCAAGATCCTCTGCGAAATCAGAGAAATCTTGAGCCAAAGAGAGAAGAACAATAACAATCTTGAAACTGGAGAAACAGAGAAGGGTTGTCACTTCACAGTTAAAGAACTAAACGATATGGTTTATCTACAAGCAGCATTGTCAGAAGCTCTTAGACTCTATCCACCAATTCCAATGGAAATGAAACAGGCGACCGAGGAAGATATGTTTCCGGATGGAACTTTCTTGAGAAAAGGCTCGCGGGTTTACTTCTCAGTCTATGCAATGGGAAGGATGGAATCAATTTGGGGAAAAGACTGTGAAATGTTCAAACCAGAAAGATGGATACAAGGAGGGCAATACGTTAGTGATGATCAGTTTAAATACGTCGTGTTCAATGCCGGTCCAAGACTTTGTTTAGGGAAAACATTTGCTTACTTGCAGATGAAAATGGTGGCTGCTTCAATCTTGTTGAACTACTCAATCAAGGTTGATCAAGATCACGTTGTTGTTCCGCGAGTAACGACGACTTTGTATATGAAACATGGTCTTAAGGTCAGGATTACGCCGAGATCTCTAGAGGAGAAGAAGCAAGATTCATAAATATAGAAGAAAAAACAGCTGAACTGTTTATACCTGGCTATTATTGTAAGATCATCAGTCATCACCCTTCTAAAATTAGATTAGGCACATAAATAATCTCTGTTAGTAAAATGTACAGTGTGTGTATTATGTGTAATACGGATCAAATGTTATATACAAAGCAAGAATTGCAATCAAAAGGTAAACTTTGAGTTAGGCTTATACACATTTCAACTATGTGAAAGCTAAATGTGTATAATCTGGTATAGTCGATCCAAAAACCAAACCCGATTTCTTCTCTTGATGACCTTGTTAAACTGATAAAGATTTCTGAAGAAATGTCTTGGAGTATGGACTAATTTGAAGAACATGTTTTGGTTTAGACCGCTTTCTCGTGCTAGTAACAAGCTTAAACCACTGGCTTCTCGGATCGCAACTCGAGTTTCCTTGTAAACATTTGCAGCTATTCGTCACAATGTTGTTATATTTCGAATCCACATCCAAACAAACAGAGACTCCATTCTTGTTTTTCGACGAGAGTTGCATCTTCGAGTCAGACAGAAGTTTCCATTTCGAACAGTAAGAATCGGAGAAAAACAGACGTAGCTTCACAGACTTTCCTTTTTCATAAGCTTTTAAACAGAGGATTTGTTCTTCTGTTAGTGATAAAACTCGATGAGAAGAAAGTCTCCAGCTTTCTGATCTATTGCAAGAACCAAGCTTTAGTTGAAACAATGATTTTCTTACAATGCAAAGTCCACTCGAAGGATGGAACATTATTTTCTTTGGTTGAGTTTCCATTAGACCTGGTCCTGAATATTGCAAAGTTGTTCAAATTAGTCACTAATCAAGACATCAAATAAAACAAATTGTAAGTTTGAAAAAACTTATTGTGTACCTTGAAAAGGAGACTGAATTGCAGAAATCATCTGCAAAATGGTTGTGTTCCTTATGCTTGACCAATTCCAATCCAAAACTCCATAAGCTTCATCTGATCCAATAGTTTTCTCTCTTATATAATAGCTTCCTGCAAGAGTCCATAGCGACCAATCTAGATCAAGATCAGCTGCTAAAGCCATAAAACAACTTAGAAACTTAATGTCATTTGCATTATTCCCTCTTTGATCAATCCCAAACTCACTCACAAACAACGGAACCCCTTTCTCGAGCAAAAACCCCGACATTTTCATCATCTTTTCAGTTTCTTTCCCGCAAATCTTGTTCAACTCATCTCCTTCCCAAGAATTCCAAAATCCATACCAATGTATCTCAAACACTAGTTTCCTCCTAAAGCTAACTTCAAAAGGTCTGTCTCGGAGAAACGATAAGTCAGTGGCGTAATTTAAACCCGAGACAATAACAAGAACATCCGGATTCACTGAGTGGACCGCTTCAGCGCCCTTTCTCATATACGTATACCAATCTTTAGTGTTCTGTTTAGGACCTCTAAGTTCATTCCTTAGACACATACCAACCACATTTGATGAAACATTGGCAAACATTGATGCCATTTTCTTTAACCCTTTGATCCAAACTTGAGGGTTTAAATGTTTATCGCCAAAAAAAACCGTTTCCATCATTGTCACTACAACACCAACCAGGTTGGCTTATGTGATTGTCTAATATCACCATTACTTTATGCTTTCCAAGACAAGACACTACTTCCTGTTTAAGACATATAACAACAAAGTTCTCATCTTTCTTAATCCCAAGAAGAAGATAGAAAAGTCAAAGTAAAAACTTTGACTTTTGTTACCTGGAAAGCTTTGAATAGAGGAAGATCAAGAATCGTTGGATTATGAGTTTGAAAACCAGAAACAGCTTCAAAAAGACGAAACTTGCGAAGAGATTGTCTCACAGTCATAAAAGCAGAGAAAGATTCATCGGTGGCTAAGTAGAGAGGCCAAGTCAATCTTACGCAATTGAAACCCATTGAGACGATCTTCTCTGCGATCGTGTCTAATGGCTGCTTGCTTAATCCTTCCGCCACCGCGGTTTCGAGATGAGACGGCCAGTTAACGCACGTGAGCTTCACGCGCTGCCCTTTGTTGCCGTCGTCGACGATCCAGCGTGAGTCGGTGGAGAGAGGGAAAGCGAAAGTGGTGATGACGTAGGGAAGAAGAAAGACAGAGATGAAGAAGAATTTTTCCATTTGGTTGTCTCTCTGTTTCATCCAACCTCTTTCTTTAATAATGTCCGTATCATTAAAAATTTTAATTTTCACCAAATTAGTTTTATGAAATTAACTAATACAAAATATCACTTTTTCAAATGTCCAATTTGTATATTTTGCAACATAATTTTTTTTTAATCATATATTAAAAATTTATTTGGGTTTGTCACATCGCATAAACAAAGGTTTAACATATAATAGCGTAATAGCATCATATATTAGATTTAACATATAATAACAAGGTTTACAACTTTATAAGTTACTTAATCGCGTTATTTATATATGAGATGAATAATATATATATATATATTTAAACCTTTTTATTTACTAACTTTAACAATCTTAAACCACTGGCTTATCGGATCACACGAGCTATCTTCGCCCTTCACACACTTGCAGTTACTAGCTATGAGGTTATTGGATTCATCCACGTCAAGGCAAAGTGAGTTACTCGTTGATTTCGCAGCTAAGAGCATATTAGAGGCTGAGATGGTCTCCCATTTTGACAAATTAGGGCTCGAGCAACTAGTCTCACTGAGCTTAACGGGCGCATTCGGCCCGGTGTTCTCTAAGCATAGAGACTTGTCTTTGAGTGTCAGGGTGTTTTCAGGAGTGTAGCTCCATGGTTGAGATTCATTACATAGACCGAGAGTGACCTTGGTTGGATCTAAGATACTTTGTAGCATGCAAAGTCCGGTTAACGGGTGGAACACAAGATTGTAGACTTTGGACTGAGTGCCCGGTCCTGGTAAACCAAGTTAGGAATAGTGAGATATGTCAATTAATTATGTATATGTTATGAAAAAACATAAGCAAATTCTATCTATTTAAAAAAATTATTGCAGCTAACACCTAAATGAATAAAGTTATAAAATCTAGAAAATCCTTGTACTTAATATTTACGCAAAGTTAATTAAATATGAACAAAATTTGATAAATTACATATTTTCTGTAATTACATATTTACATTTGGGAAATGTCATTTTAAGATACGAAATTGTTGACAAAAAAAAAAAAAAATCGAAATCTTCATAGAATTATGTAAATTTAAAGTGGTTCAAATCTATATAGTCTAGCTAGTACTCTAGTGGTTTGTAATAATATTGATGTCGTATCATATATGATCACCCTATCTTCAAATCCGATAGTGTACAAATAAATATATGAATTGTAGGTGACAAAAAATTCTAAAGCCACCAAATCTTTTTTTATTATTATAAAGAATTAGCCATCAAATCTTGATTTGTGAACGCTAAAATTAGTCTGATATTGCATGACTTTAACTGATAAAATAAATTTGTGTATAAAAAAAACATAGAACATACCTTGAAGCGGGGATTGAATCAGAGACAATCTTTGCAAGAAACTTTGGCTTCGAACACGAACCCAATCCGAATCCAAGATACCGTAATACTCGCTCATTCCGACCACACCTTCTCTGAGATAATAACTTCCTTGAAGTGTCCAAATCGACCAATCTACGTCATTTTCCGCTGCCCAACCTAATATACATCCGATATACCGATTATCGTTAACATTTTTGCCTCTCAAATCGATTCCAAACTCACTAAGAAACACCGGGAAGTCACGGAGGTTGAAACCGCCCCCGTTCTCGATGCTTTGCAGAATCTCGCCGCATGCCTCGTTAGGGTTTTTGGAACTCCATGTTTTTGTGTTGGTGAAAGAGTATCGATGGAGCTCGAACACGAGTTTTCTAGTGAAAGTTAGGTTTACAGGTCGTGATCGGACAAATGAGAGGTCGGTGTCGTAGCTGAGGCCAGACAGGATTACAAGTACATTAGGGTTTGCTTCGTGAAGTGCCTCGGCCCCTTGTTGCATGTACCTACATGCATATACGCATGAGAAATTAAAAAAAAAGAAAGAAAAAAATACACATGAGACAAATAAATATACATCTTACTTAGTTCTTAACCAAATATATGGCGGGAACAAAACGGAAGAAGACATGGTGAAAACCCAAACCCATCAGCTCGACTAATCAAATGGATTGATAAGCAAGTAAAGAATCAACTCTCCTCAATCAAAGCAAGCGGAGACATATATAATATACGATACGGGTCTCCAAATCTGGTTTGCGGCAAGAAGCTAATTTTCTAAACAAAATCTGTTGAAGTTATGTATTAAGCTCGCTCAAACACACGTTGCACTCGATGTACAAACGATATTTTCTTTTGAATTTAATTTAATATTACATTAATATATGTTTAGAAAACAACATATTTACTGTTGCTATCAAATTGACTAGAGCTAGGTACTTTGATTTTTGTTTACTATAGTTCTAGCATAAACCATTATGCGCCACTTATTATTGGCTTTAGGAAAAACATTAAAAAAAACAAGGAAAAATTATGAAATTCTTCTTATAGTTGTACTTTTTTCCTTAAAAATACACTTTTAATGTAACGTATGCCACTGAAGGTAAAAAAAAAACTGATTTTAATAATACAGAATAGCGATCTCTTACACACACACATGCAACGAATTGGGCAAACATGAAAAAGGCACGTAAAAGTAATACGTGCAAGAGATGGCCGCTAGTTGTGTGTTGTTTTTTCTTTCTATGTAACCGTTAAATAATTAATGCAATTCAAATTAAACCAATTATATAGAAAATAAACTCAAGTTTTTTTAAAAAGTCAAGTGCGAATAGGTTATCCAAATGTACGTACTTGAACCAATCGTCGACGTTTTGTTTTGGTCCTCTAAGTTCGTTTCTGAGGCTCATGCCAACGACATTGGAGGCACCTTTGAAAGTCGTGGCTATCTTGGTCAGACCGGCGATCCACGTGGCAGGGTCAAAGAAAGTGTCGCCAAAGAAACCGTTTCCGTCGTTGTAGCCACAGCACCATCCTGGCTTGGTCAAGTGGTTGTCTAATATCACCATTACATTTTTGTTTCCCAACTTATCTACCACCTTCTGCAAAAACGAAAAAAAAAAGAAAACGAAGATTTTTGTTTCCATACGAAATAAGTGATTTTTAGGGTTGAAAGCTATAGTCAAAGGAAATCCACATCTTTTTTTTTTAATACATCTTTTTTTTTTTAATACATCTTTTTTTTTTTAATACATCTTTTTTTAGGGTTAGATTTATTACCATACACAATAAATTGGATACTACCATACCTTGTAAGCTTCAATGAGCGGAAGATCAATCATGGATGGGTTCTTTGTTTCGAAACCAGAAATGTCATCATTAAGACCAAGACTTTGAAAAGATTGTCTCACAGTAACTTTATTAGCCAACGTCTCATTTGTAGCTAGATAAAGTGGCCAAGTTAACCTTACACAATTGAAACCCATTGCTACTATCTTCTTGGCCAAGTCATCTACTCTCTGCTTGCTCAGCCCTTCCGCCACCACAGGCTGCAAATGCGATGGCCAATTCACACACGCCAGCTTCACTCTTTGTCCTTTTTCGTCGATGATCCAACGAGAGTTTGTAGAGAGAGGATATGCCATGTTCTTTGTGATGAAGGAGAAGAATGAGAAGAAGATGATGAAGCAAAACATGCTTCTTAGCTCTTTTGTTGTCTTCATGTTAAATGTATTTAGAAAATTTTTTGGTGTTTGTTTTTTTTTGTTTGGTGTTGGTGAATCATTTCGAAGAGACGTATCTTATATAATATGACAAAGTTTCTTCAAAACAAGCTCTAAGAATGTGACATTTGGCACTCTACTCTTTTGACACATGTCATTTTCAGTTTATTTTTTAGTTTGAGTCCAATATGACAAGGTTTCTTCAAAACAAGCTCTAAGAATGTGACATTTGGCACTCTACTCTTTTGACACATGTCATTTTCAGTTTATTTTTTAGTTTGAGTCCAATAAAACTGTTTAATTGATTTTCGAAAACAATAACTACAATAATCCTCAAATCAAATTTTAAAATAAAATTTAAAATAATTTATTTGGCGTTTGTTCAAAAAAAAAAAAAAAATTATTTGGCGTTTGTTCAAAAAAAAAAAAAAAATTGGCGATAAAATAGTTTATGTATATGCGATAAGATATGTTATATTTTTAATTTTATTTTATTTCTTACATATAGCATATTGCCCTATGGTTATTTTATGTTGTATCTCTTCACTTTAAGTCTTTAATATAAATAATTCACATGACATGATTATTACATTTTTTGCAATGTTATTCTAATAAGAATAAAGTGAATCAATATTTTAAATAATTACTAATCTCTTGAGAATTGAATTTTTTTATAAAAAGATAATGAATATATTAATAAAATTTATTTTATTTATCTCTAATTAAACCACAAATATAATACATTTAATCATATATATTAATCCACCTTTTAATACTAAATTGTAACCTAAATCATATAAATTGTGTATTAACATTTTTTATCTATTCAATGGCATCAACCACACTATTAACTATTATTGTAACTCCCATAATAAAATCCAAATTATTTGATGATAAAATAATTTATTTGGCATTTGTTCAAAAAAAAAAAAATTATTTGGCGTTTGTTCAAAAAAATAAAAAAATTTATTTGGCGATAAAATAGTTTAAGTATATGCGATAAGATATGTTATATTTTTAATTTTATTTTATTTCTTATATATAGCATATTGCCCTATGGTTATTTTATGTTGTATCTCTTCACTTTGATATAAATAATTCACATGACATGATTATTACATTTTTTGCAATGTTATTCTAATAAGAATAAAGTGAATCAGTATTTTAAATAATTACTAATCTCTTGAGAATTGAATTTTTTTATAAAAAGATAATGAATATATTAATAAAATTGATTTTATTTATCTCTAATTAAACCACAAATATAATACATTTAATCATATATATTAATCCACCTTTTAATACTAAATTGTAACCTAAATCATATAAATTGTGTATAAACATTTTTTATCTATTCAATGGCATTCAAACACACTATTAACTATTATTGTAACTCCCATAATTTAATTTTAAAAAGTTAATGTATTTTCTCATGGTGGAGGTTACATTTAAATACTAATTTACTATAATTTATTTCATCATTATAAGAATAGCACAATACGATATACCAATCTCAAATCTCAACATGAGAGACCTAAAATCCATCAAAAACCAAAATACATGAGGTTTTGAGCGTAGTTTTTTTTTTTAAGTGCTATCTGTTCGTTTAATTTGATGCTTTAAATTTAATTTATTGGTTTCTAATCATTTGTTCTTCTTATATAATATGACAAGGTTTCTTCAAAACAAGCTCTAAGAATGTGACATTTGGCACTCTACTCTTTTGACACATGTCATTTTCAGTTTATTTTTTAGTTTGAGTCCAATAAATCTGTTTAATTGATTTTCGAAAACAATAACTACAATAATCCTCAAATCAAATTATAAAATAAAATGCAAATTATTTGATGATAAAATAATTTATTTGGCGTTTGTTCAAAAAAAAAAAAAAATTATTTGGCGTTTGTTCAAAAAAATAAAAAAATTTATTTAGCGATAAAATAGTTTAAGTATATGCGATAAGATATGTTATATTTTTAATTTTATTTTATTTCTTACATATAGCATATTGCCCTATGGTTATTTTATGTTGTATCTCTTCACTTTGATATAGATAATTCACATGACATGATTATTATAGTTTTTGCAATGTTATTCTAATAAGAATAAAGTGAATCAGTATTTTAAATAATTACTAATCTCTTGAGAATTGAATTTTTTTATAAAAAGATAATGAATATATTAATAAAATTGATTTTATTATCTCTAATTAAACCACAAATATAATACATTTAATCATATATATTAATCCACCTTTTAATACTAAATTGTAACCTAAATCATATAAATTGTGTATTAACATTTTTTATCTATTCAATGGCATTCAAACATTAACTATTATTGTAACTCCCATAATTTAATTTTAAAAAGTTAATGTATTTTCTCATGGTGGAGGTTACATTTAAATACTAATTTATTATAATTTATTTCATCATTATAAGAATAGCACAATCCGATATACCAATCTCAAGTCTCAACATGAGAGACCTAAAATCCATCAAAAACCAAAATACATGAGGTTTTGAGCGTAGTTTTTTTTTTTTAAGTGCTATCTGTTCGTTTAATTTGATGCTTTAAATTTAATTTATTGGTTTCTAATCATTTGTTCTTCACTAATATTTTTGCTTAATCCAATTATGCTTAGTAGCTCTTACCGCCATTTATTCTACAGTGAACCTAATTGAAATCAAATTCATGTGTGAGATCATACAACACTTTGTTGTTTCTTATGCCTTTTTGTATTTATCTCTTATAGATTTTTTTTATGTTTTAATTTGTCCCACATTTGTGTGAGATCATTACATTTGGTGGTTTCTTATGTTTTTGTATTTGTCTTTTCATGGAGTTTCTTATGTTCAATTTGTCTCAAATTTGATTTTGAACCTTCATGTGAGGTCATTATAATATTCTGGTTATCTATAGTTTTTATTTGTTATGTATTTCATGAAAAAAATCGAAGTCATCATCCTTATAAGGTAAATTACTTACGATTAAATTTTCTTATGACATCAATTTATATACATCACTTTTAATATAATTGATGGTGTTATTTTTTTATTTTGTTTTTATGTCATTTTTCTAAGTATATTTCAATCCATAGTGTCATATGTTATTACGTTTATAATGGTAAGATATGTTGTGTATATTTGAATTCTATTATTTTTGATCACAAAATAAAGAAAATATTTCCTTATATATATATATATATATATATATATATATGTTTTGTGTATGCAGACTATATTGTTAAAAAAATTTCTATATGGTGATGAATTTTGTTTAGCTAACAATTCTATATAGGTGAAAAGTTTTCAAAATCACTGAATACAATATCAAATCTCATATAAAAATATTTTTAAAAGATACCCAACACATATATAAAAGTTGCTCTTTTTTTTGCCAACATGAGCCATATTTATTTCTTCTTCTTTTAAAATAAATTATTATGAAAAATTAATTTTCTGATTAATGCGGTATAAATTGAAATAAGAATATTTAACGATCTTCAACTAAGCAATTTTCAATAATTACTCTGAAATCTTATATATATATTTTCCTTGTTACTATCGTTTTAAAATCGAGAATATACATATATAAGATGTTCTAATAATTGTTTTAAGCGATATGTGCCATATTGTTTTTATTTTGTTTTTCTTTTCACTTTCAAATAAATATTGAACATCCTTACATCCTGTTATTAATAAATGATTTTCTATTAATGGATCATTAATTGTATAAATTATTTCCTAATGATGTTTAAGTTGCCTACATTTTAAATAACTATTTCGATATTTTATATATTTTAAAATTAATATACCTAAATTTCCATTATTTTAAAGTAAATAGGTAACATAAGGGAAAAAGACAATATTGAATAAGCTCTTACAAATTTTAATTTTACAACACTTATGAATACTACCGTTTATAATTATGCCTACGGATGCTTATAATTTCCTTTCTAATTTAAAAGACTAATAGCTATGTGAACTAACTATTACATGAATTATTAATAAATCAAATTATAAAAATGGATGCAAGAGATATAAATGATAATTCAACGTAACATCCATGTTTTTTTCCTTTTTAGCGTCTATTTTTATTATTTAATATTTTTATACTAATTGAAAATTTTCGTAAAATATCGATTAAATATTTTTAATAATATTTGAAATCATTGTGTTTCTATTAAAGTTTACCATTAATGTATAGTCTTTACATTTTCTTAGCTTTATAACGGTAATCCAACATTATTTTGTAGTACTTTAATTCAAAATTGTGTTACCCTCTATAGATACACATAAGTTACAAAAAATCTCACTACATTAAAGTACAATTTATTACAAATTTGGCAAAAATGTGAAACACAAGGGATAATAAATTATTTTATTAAATTTATTTAGTTACTAGGATTTAAGAGTACTATTTTGTTTTCTATAATTGTGGTATAAATTCTATTCGTTATGGTAATATTGTAACAATCAACAAGTATTTGACTTTTAAGATAACAAAATATTATCCCAACTCTCCAATTTTTTCACTTCTTGACAACCGTCCTCTTTTTTTTTTTTTTGTCACAAAGCCCTCTCATTATTTTTCCAATCTCCCTCGAAATGTTAATTCAAAAGCCTTTCAAGTATATTGATAATGTTTTGTCAAATCATATGATTCATTTAAACTTGTAAATTACAACTTTTTAAATCATTGTAAAGAAGAAATAAATTGGAAGATTTTTTTGCTAATACTTTATTTGAATAATTTGGAAGCTTTTTTTGTTAATACTTTCTTTATAATATAGGTTCTAATAAGTTTTTAGGTTAAATAAATTTAGTTTTCTTACGATAAAATATATTCAAACTATTCCCATAGTATATATATATAGAAATGATTTAGAAGTAAAGTCGAAATCATTTCTGGTATTTAGGCTAATAAGCTCTTTCGTGATTTGGGAGGAAAACAAGCTTGGAATCATGAAATAAAGTTTTTAACTTTAAGGGTTCAAACACAACATATAAACCGTAGGATTGATCGCTTATGTTAATGACCTAACAATGACGTCAACACTATAATAACTCTTGTAATTAAATTTAGCTCAGTAATTATATTGGATCCAAGTCATTGACTCACATTTGGAGATTAATAGATTGATTTTACCGTGCAAAAGCAAGAGGATGATTACTAGTTATAAGGTCGATAACTTTCTTTTTTCCTTTTCTATAAGACAGGAATAGTATGACTTAAAATCCCTTTTATTGGTACGTCTGGAAGATGTGGATCCAATCAACGGAAATTTGACTTTGGAAACTTCACTTGTCTATTGAATTTTGAGAAATTGGGTGAAAAAAATCTTAGAATAGTGCATTAATTAGTCAAATAACACATATTGGGACAAAATGATATATTGTGATGTGTTAGGACAAAAACACCACTTGTGAGACTTTGAGATATGTCTCTCTAACGTGGCTTTCTTTCCCTTTTGCATTCCCTTTTTTTCTTCATCTTTTTACCCCAATTTAATCCTTCTTTTTTTTTTTATATATAGTTTTTCATCCTCATTTTTAATGATTGGATATCTCATCATATAAAAAACATTTCGTATATGTTATGATTGAAAATTTTAAAGATGGGCATAAGTTAATTTGAATTGAGTAATTGAATATTGTAAAAAAATTAATTATAGAATACCTAGTTATATAATTGGTTCACGTATGAGAAATTAATACATTTTAAATTTAATACGATAGTTCATATTTTTTGATAATATTTTTCCACCCTCAATCATTTATTGGTTGGAAATATATAATTGTGTTAGCAATTTAATATTAAGAAATTTGAGCAGACTAATTCATTATTAACGTTCATTTTTATTTCGAAATAAAGGATTTAATTGATAGTTTTTCAAATAAAGAAGGTTTATTTTGCAATATCTTTTTATATCAAGGGGTTGATCTTGCAATTCCTCTCTAATCTGTTGTTTTGGTGACGCCGCGTCGGTACTCTTTTTCTCTCGTCCCATCGGAATGTTTCGCCGGCGGCGGTGGAATAAAAAAGATTTTTCTCTTGATTTTGCAATTGAATTGCTTCTCTAATCAGGAAATTACAGATTTTGAGCAATAGCTTAGTCTCCAAGATCAATGGTTTCATAAGATGTCTCCAACCTTATTAGGTTAATCTCTGTTTTTGTTGTTTCATCATTTCCACAAGACTTACATTTTACACTATCCCAAAGTATGTTGCGTTCTTTCTAACATAATCTTACATACAGTTATACTCGCAAAGTATGTACAGAGAAAGTTTATTCGAACTTGTACAAAGTCTGGAACTGGAGTTTGGTAATCACTGAACTAGAACTGGGACAAGCTTGAGAGGTACTTTCTTGACGATTGTAAGAGTACCAACTTCTTCTGTATCGATGTCTTTATGTGTCATCCCATCTGGTGCTCTCCAGTCGAAGAAGTAAAGTAAGTTCAAGAGTCCCAATTCCACTATAGTGATCCCCAACCCCATCCCGGGACATATCCTTCGACCGGACCCGAACGGTAAGAGCTCGAAATGTTGTCCTCTGTAATCCACAGGATTGTTGATAAACCTCTCGGGGTTAAACTCTTCCGGGTTTGTCCAGAGTTTTGGATCTCTTCCTATCGCCCAAGTGTTGACTAAGATCCGTCTCTTTGGAGGAATATCATAGCCTTGAACCTTGATGTGAGCCATTGTTTCTCTTGGGAGTAGAAGAGGAGCTACTGGGTGTAATCTGAATGTTTCCTTGATCACCAAGTTCAAGAAAGGAACTTTATTGAGATCTTCTTTTGTGATTCTCTCTTTATTGGTGCCAAGGCGGTCTCGGATCTCGCCTTGAACTTTCTTCATTAGTTCCGGGTTTCTTGCAAGCTCCGTCATTGCCCATATCATAGTAAGAGCTCCTGTGTCTATCCCTGCGATTATTATATTCTACCAAACACCCAGAAACTATGTTAAATCAATGCAAATGTATTGAAACAAGTTTTGTTTTATGTTTTTACCGTGAGAAGTCCCTTAATATGATCTATTGTGAGCCTCAAAGAATCATCTTTGCCTTGTTTATGCACCACATCCAACATTACATCGACGATATCTTTGTGATCTTTCGATCTTCCAGGATTTGAATGATCATCGATGACATGCTGAAACAGAGCATCAAGCTTGAAGAAGACATTGTTGAGCCACTTGTGTTTCCCGGAAATCCAGTCAACAAGCCATCCAAGTCCGGCCATAGGGAAGAAATCAGAGTAAGTGAAACTAGCCTGAGCTGTCTCGGTTTCAAATATAAGTTCATCGATCTTGTCTTTATCGATAAACTCGTTGTCGTAGAAACTCTTTCCAAAAGCAATTCTAAACAGGATACTCGCAGCTAGCCAGAAAAGGGTTTTGCTCAAATCAACCGGAGACCGACCTACTGCTGATTCCGACAGTTTCTTGACCAGAAAGTTACATTCTTCTTCTATGATATATCCAAAAGACTGAACCTTTTTTAAACAGAAAAGCTCGCGTACCATGAACTTACGCCGCTCCCTCCACTCTTCACCGTATGGAGTAAAACTGATATCTTTAAAACCTCGAGAGATTAGCCTCGTCCCGAAAAGTTTAGGCCTGCTGCAACACTTTAGGTCATGAGTTCTAAGCACTTCTTCAGCTGCTTCCCTCGATGAGATAATAGTTACAGCGACAAACCCAAAGTGAAGAAGCATAACATGTCCGGTTCTTTCGGCTAGACGTTGAAATGACCTGTGAGGCAATTCTCCAACTTGGTGTAAGTTTCCGATGACCGGAAACGTAGGAGGACTTGGAGGAAGATTCCATTTAAAGCGTCTGAATTTCTTGACCAAAAAGATTAACAAAACGAAGGTGATGAGAAAAAGACAGAGTAAAGAGATTGCCATTTTTTTTTTCTTTTGGTTTAAATTGATAATGCTCTGTTTTGGTATATTAATAGTTCAAAGCGGCAAATCCAATGTTCAGTGAAGATAAAAGAGATAACTCACACCGCTTGCATTTTAATAGTGTTACACATTCGGTAGATTTTAGATTTTACTGATGATTGTTCATAAAATAAGTGTTAGAACACTAATTGTTTTACAACAAAAGTCGTTTAGGTTTACTGGTGCACCTAATTAAAATCGTGTTAGAAGTATTTGTGGATGTAAGATGGAAGATTAAGCTTGTGTAGTGACGAGACCAAGACAATATATGACTTCGTGTCCACTACATTTGTTAGTTTTTGTTCCGCCATAGATTATAGAGTAAAATAGAAGGCAAATATAATGCTTCTAAAACTCTCTTTTCATGATCCATAAGAGATTAATACTGTACAAGGTCTTCAACTTTTTCTATATGGACAAAATCACATTGGATACTTGAAATGACAAGGATAAGCTTGATCAAATAACCCGGATCATAATCGGTTTATGAGAGTCCGACTCATTGAGTGGTGTCGACATTTGCGATCAACCAAATTTTTCATTTTTATTTTAGAAAATGTAAGATACTATATTTGTTGCATTTTAAACTTTAGAACTATTTTCCAAGGACATGAAAATATTAAATGATTTCTATAACCGCGAAATTTGCTTCTAATATATTTTCTTTGGAATGCCTCTTCTTCCAAAACAAATTGAACTAGGGGTACAATGGAACCAACTCCAAATGCTACCCGTTAACCTTATTTTGGATAACTCAAATATCACCCCAGAAACTCATACTCGCTAAACAATAGTAACCTCGAACTCTCGCTCTCCTTTTTTATTCTCTCACATAAACTCTACTTCTTGAAATCTTGATGTATGTTCGGAATTGTTTCTTACAGATTTGTGATTGTCATATCTTTTGATCTAACCGATCCGTTTAGGTTTGTAAGCATTATTTCAGCTTGTCAAGAATATGGCTAGAGATAATATGTTAAACACACATCGCAATATACCGTTCTCTTTAATGTGTAATCGTGTAAACGGTGTTGCAACGATCCAAAAAAACAGACGAAAAAGAAATCCTTACTAAAGTTACTTAGACGCAGAGCCGTCCATGAGGCCAAACGAGGAAAGCTTCTGCTTGCGACCTTCTTTTGATTATATATAAAATCAGCCGCCCTTTTTACAGAATTGTTTAAGTAGTCTAGTGGTAAAAGGCATGTTACATCAAGGGTAGGTGTACAAATCGAGTCTCCTACCTCTAGCTTAGACGAATCAGATCCGAGCATATAAGGTTCTCGAGCTTTACATTCCTTAAACAGAAGTCCAGAACAAACAAATCGCATATGAAATGTAGTATTTATTGAAAATATACTTATACATAAGAGAAGCTTACAGGATTTGCATAATATTTTTATTTAAACATCTTCAAAGTTTGGAGTATGGTCTGATCACTGAACTCGAACTGGAACAAGCTTTAGAGGTATTTTCTTAACGACTGTAAGAGTACCAGCTTCTTCAGTATCAATATCTTTATATGTCATCCCATCAGGCAACTTCCAATCGAAGAAGTAAAGTAAGTTCAAGAGTCCCAATTCCAGAGTAGCCATCCCCATCTCCATCCCGGGACATATCCTTCGTCCAGACCCAAACGGTAAAAGCTCGAAATGTTGCCCTTTAAAATCCACGGGGCTGTCGATAAACCTCTCGGGGTTAAACTCTTCCGGGTTTTTCCAGAGTTTCGGATCTCTTCCTATCGCCCAAACATTGACCAAGATCCGCCTCTTGGGAGGAATATCATAGCCTTGAACCTTGACGTGAGCCATTGTTTCCCTTGGTAGCAGAAGAGGAGCTACTGGGTATAATCTGAATGATTCCTTGATCACCAAGTTCAAGAAAGGAACTTTATCAAGATCTTCTTTAGTGATTCTCTCCTTATTGTTGCCAAAGTGGTCTCGGATTTCGCATTGAACTTTCTTCATTACTTCCGGATTTCTAGCGAGCTCCGTCATAGTCCATATCATGGTAAGAGCTCCTGTGTCTATCCCTGCGATTATTATATTCTACCAAACACCCAGAAACTATTAGGTTAAGCTTTTTTTGTATTATTCTTTAATGATATTCAAATGCATATAAAAAAAAAATGTATTGAAACAAGTTTTGTTTAATTACCGTGAGAAGCGCCTTAATATGATCTATTGTGAGCCTCAAAGAATCATCTTTGCCTTGTTTATGCATCATATCCAACA